AAAACTGCTATCTTCTGAAACTTCAGAGGCTTGTCATTTTTTGATGTTGGAAGACATTATCTATTTTACTCTAGCTGCTTACTGAGGCAATTTCTTAAGATAAAACATTGATGAGGTTCACCACAACAGAAAATAGATGATAAACTTTACAGAGAAAAAACAAAAAAAAAATGTGTTTCTGCATCAGCATTGCTGCAAATGTAGTTTTGTTGAACTTGGTTTCATGTATTTGTGAAACCAATAGTTGAAAATGATATACTACTACATTTTAGTACTGTGTGTCGTTAAGCTGTTGACTATAGTGTAAACCAAAATAGATTATCTAGAAAAATAAAAAAAAGAGAGACAAAAATGAAACAGAAAATGTGGGAGAAAAGAATGATGAAAATTAAGATTCCAGTCTTAGAATTTATTTAAGAAGCCCATTGAATCTGTTCTCTTTAGAACAGAGTATTTTTGACAATTTATGAGACTCATATATTTGCTTTGCACTTGCTGCTGCTTCTTTTTGCATTTTTACCTTATAAGAACTATTCTTTCCCTTAAATCTCAGGAGCCAAACTCTGGCTGCTTCAAAATTTCCTCACCTCTTTATTTGCCATTATGAATATGAGGACAAGAGTTAGGATTTTGTTCTGGACCAGGACCAGAATTTGATCTTATAGAATGTAGTTTCTATCTTTCCATCTAGATCTCTGAAACATTCTCCCTTATCAGGAAAGACTTTCACTTTCCTGTAGTCATTGGAGTGGCACTTTTAATATCTTTGAAAACTTCTCTTTTGCAATCACAATCCAGCTAATTATTTGATTCAAAAAAATTAGCTGTTGCCCTGTCCCACCATGTGATTTGGGTTCCTCAGTAAACTCAACTATTTCTAACTTTTGATTTAATGGTTTTTTTTTTCAACTCCTCCTTTCATTTGAACATATAGAGGGCACTGCAAAGTTATTAATTAGCTTGCATGTAATATTGTTCTACCTCAGGCTACAGGGAGGTCCTAGGAAAGGGAGCTACATGGGAGACTGGCTGCTCAACAGAGCAGTAAGAATATACACAGTACCGACTGAGTTTTGCTGTCCTGTAGAGGTACACCAAATGCTGCTTCACAAAAACCAATAACAACACCTGAAGTCACTGGTCACAGGTCATCAAGACCAATTTAAAAATAAAGAAAAGTTTGTGGTACTGAATCACCAAAATGTTGCAAAGATAAAAAATGAGCACATGCTATCGATCAATCGTGCAAATAGATTTGTTTGATGTAGAATCGCCACAGACATTCACCTTGTAAAGAATACAATATCTGTGATGTGCAATCAGATAAAGTACAAGAAAATAAGAAATCCCTGCATCTAATAAAGCTATAATTAAACACTTTGATTAAGGTGAGGTTATTAAAGGAATGTATTTTCATTAAAATCTAAGCTATCAATTCTCTAAATATGGGAGAGGAATTGAAACTGGTAAGGCACTGACAGTTCTTGGCAGAATATTCACATATTCATTTATTAATTAGAAGTGTATTTTGACAATTTGAGTTTTCTAGGGCCTAATGCAAAGGCACAGAGAAAATAGGGCATACTATCTAAACTAAGCAAATAATCAAAATTTATTCAGTTACCCAAATGTCCAAAATAAAACTAGAATTTACTTTGACTACTAGAAATGTTTCTGATATTTGCAAATGATTGGTAATCATATTTTTGTTTTGAAAACTTTTTCCTAGTGTCCTATGATGGCTTCCTCTAATATTTCCTGAGCATACTAAAGAAGTCTTTCTCTCTGTCTTCAAGGAATTAGTCATCTGCACCTAACAGACTCCTACAATGATTCTTATTATAGGAGAGAATGATTGTAGAGCAGAAGTGAGTGCAAGGATGTACTAAAGCAATACTAATATACTAATGATAGGATGTACCATTGTCTACAGAAGTTAGAGTAGATGGAATGCAAAAAAGCAGAGAAAACTTAAACTAGGCCTCATGAATAGATAAACAGTACCAGGTTGGGCATAGGAAAGTCCATCTGGGAGGCAAAAGAAACATGAATAAAGTAAGAAATTGTGGGGAGCTGTGCAGTTGGGTCAGATGGCATGGGTGTGATGAGCACCACTTTCGGTTAACAGGGCTATGAGGAGTTTCTGACTGCAGGGCAAGGCCCGGCAGAATGTCTCTAGTCACCTTATTGCTGCCTCACCGCATTGTATGGACACCCAATCACCTCTCTGATGTTTCATAGAATTCTCCTGAGGGTGGTGGTGTTGTTTTTCTGCTAATGTGAAGTGATTCCTGTAACTGGTATAACACCTCAAATTGATCAATCATGTTATGATAAAAACACCTTTAGTAATGTAAGGCTATGACACACAGCTAAAAGTATACAATAGTACAATTGAGCCCACTATGTTTCCAAACATCTTGTTATGTGCCTGAAGTTTGCCCTAATATAATTAATATTTTCCTTAAGAAATTGCTTGATAATATCTTGGAACAGATGGCAATCATGGAGGTACAAAGAGTTTGTTTACCATGCACCTCAAACTGTTACAGCACATGACATGATGCATTTTAGTTTTTTACCCCAGAAAGCAAAAGTATATGGGGGCATCTTTTATAAGGAAATAGATGTAAACCCCCTCAATATGGTTTAAAATCTTTATCTTATATTGGCACTTATATTTAGGGAAAGAAAACAGTTTATAGGATAAAAAGAAGTTTCTTGTAAAAGCACTCTGTTTGTAGATTGGCGGAGCTGCCTTGATGCCTTTCACTGCCCTTTAACAAAAGAACAAAAACAACTGAATCAGTACTAGATGAAGGTGACGGTAATTAATGCATGATTTGATTACGAGATTTAGCAAAGAATCTGTGTTATATGCTTTTATAAAACCCTTTCATTTATGATCTTTTAATTCTGTATTCTTAATATTTTAATCAATATTAGTTTGTGTTTAGTAAAAATTGATTTTGAGTATAAGTAAACTACTTGTCACTATGTAATTGCATGCTCTGCCAACCGTGGAGTTCCTGGCTTCAGCCAGGTGATTGCAGGTTTCAATGAGTAATGATTTGTTAAAAATGTTTTCTTTGAAGTAGAAAAATATTTTTCAGGATTTTTTCTTGCATTTTCATAACCATGATGTAATGAAAAATGAAACAATTGGATGTTGTGCAAGAGCTTGTGATGATTTATGTATAAATAAAGAAGGCAACTTTTCTGAGTTGTCCATTATGAGCATCACGTCATAGTTGTCCACGTCTTATCTCTTCCTCTTATTGTCTCGCCGATCCACACATCCTTTGCATGCTCTCAGTCAGCCAGAGCTGGTCTCCAGCAAGAAATTGTCACTGAAAGTCTTGCTGGATGTACTTCAGAAAACCAATAGATTCAGTGATGAGAAAGTAGACATCTATAAAACTGGATTTCCTGTTTTTATAATCTGCGTGTATTTAGTTTATTATTACTCATGGAGTAAATTGTGCATTCACATCAATACTTGAGGTTAATTGCCATATTTAAAGGAGATTTGCCAGGCTTGTCTATCACTTATGGAGATATTATTAATCAACACTTTAAAACAAGGAAAGTGACTGTGAAGAAATCCAGATTGCTGTTGTTATAGTTTATTGGACTTTCTCCCTTCCTTTTTGATCACCTTGCTTCTTTCATTGGCCCTGGTCCTAACTCTTAGCCTCTAAGTGCAAGCATAGCAACCAGATGAAAACAAAAGAAAGAAAGTTGAGGGTTCCACATGAACTATGAACTCTAAATATATCCTTTTCTTGAGTCCTAGAGTTAAATAACATTATGTTCACAGTGTTCCACAATGAGCAGAAAGAACAAAAAGAATACAAAGAATAATAAAGAATAAAACAAGAATTAAAAAGTATAAAATCAGGTAGCATTGTTTTCTATTTTAAATATCAGGACCAAGAGGGCTACACATTTTGAGACTTAAAGACTCATAAATCCAGTCAGGTTTTAAAACCCTAGTGTTCCAGGTGCAAATCAAGAACGTGAAATGGGGGCCCAGTGCGGTAGCGTAGCAGCTAAAGTCCTCGCCTTGAACGCACCAGGCTCGCATATGGACACCAGTTCTAATTCCAGTAGCTGCACTTCCCATCCAGCTCCCTGCTTGTGGCCTGGGAAAGCAGTCGAGGATGGCCCAAAGCCTTGGGACCCTGTGCCCACTTGGGAGACCTGGAGGAAGTTCCTAGCTCCTGGCTTCTGATTGGTGCAGAACTGGCCATTGCACTCACTTGGGGAGTGAATCACTGGACAGAAGATCTTCCTGTCTGTCTCCCTCTCTCTATATCTGACTTTGCAATAAGAATAAGTAAATAAATCTTTTAAAAAGCCACAAAAGTTAAATGATTTGCGAAATGTATCTCCATGCACTTGCTCACTCCAGAGGGAGTGTGGATTTGAGCAAAGGTCTCATGAATCCCTTTGCTTTTTCCCTCCACACCCACTGCATCAAGCAATTGCAGTTACACATCCACTCTCTCTTCCTCAGGAGCAAGACGGTTCTAAGGATTGTGTTTGCATTTTACAGATTCCTATTCACTATCTGAAAGTGCTGAGGTGGTCAATTTTTATCACTTCCATGTTTCTCAGCAATGTTAATCTTAAGTTAAAAAAAAATCTAGGCAATAAAAGAGAGTGTTATCTGTTTAGTCCATTCCACCCCCAGTAGTTATTAATTGCAGAACACGTCCAAATTCCTTCCTTGTCCTGTATGCTTCAGGAGAGAAGCAGACTGCTCTTCAGCAGGTCAAGTTTCGAACTCCTCGTCGGTTGGTACTGACACCAGATTCTTCTTTGCAGTCAAATTTGAGAACTTTCCTAAATGCCACTTGGTGTCTGAAGTGACACAGAAGTGCCTCTGATCTTTCGTAGTCTTCTTCCTCCAACAACATATCTCCTGTTCTGAGCTTTGCTTGCGGAAACATTTTCTGGTTGAACCTCAGTTCTCTTCTCGTGTCAGACTTCCCAGCATGGAGGCGAAGAACTTTGCAGTTTGGGATTATGTTGTATTTGCAACCCTTTTTGTCATTTCTTCTGGAATTGGGGTGTTTTTTGCTATTAAAGAGAGAAAAAAGTCAAGTTCTCGGGAGTTCCTGGTAGGGGGAAGACAAATGAGCTTTGGCCCTGTAGCCTTGTCTCTGACTGCCAGCTTCATGTCTGCTGTCACTGTCCTTGGAACGCCTTCTGATGTCTACCGGTATGGGGCCTCCTTCATCCTGTTCTTCATTGCATATGCATTGGTTATCATCTTCACATCGGAGCTCTTCCTGCCTGTGTTTTACAGGTCTGGCATCACCAGCACTTATGAGGTGAGAGAATTGGTCCCTGCTTTATTCCAGCAGGGTTGACCACTGTTTGTTCACCTGCAAAATTATTTGTCCACTTGCCTGAGTAATTAGATATTGTGAAAAAGAGAATAAAATGTTATTGGAAACCCATGTTTCATCTTTTGTTGCAGATAGATCTAGTTTCCATGAGTGGAATGAAAATAATGATCCTTCAGGGATCCTTCAGTGATTGATGTGAATTTGTGTGCAAACAGCAAATGCACTGCAGGGTCTGTAAGACGCTCTCAGTAAATGAGAGGTGATTCCATTTTTTGTTTTATTATTAACAACATTCTTCTGAAAAGCAAAACCAGAGAAGTGCTTTGGTTTTCTGAGAAAACTGAAGTACAGATAGTTCTGTTTGAACAGTAGATATGGTATACTGAGAATCTGGCTTGTTTTATTTCCTTTCTGAGACCTTTCCATCAGATGGTAGAGCTGAGTATTTTCACATAAAACATTATTAAGCTCTGGAGAAATGGTAATGGTTTTGAAAAAATATTTTCATGGGAAGTACTTGCTAAATAATACATAAATGGGAATCAGTTTAGCAAAAAAGTGGTGTTTTGCCATTGCAAGCATTCTCAATAAAATATCATGTTCAAAATTAAACTTACATATCAAGTCTGATATTTAAGTGTGATCATAAATAATTTTTAGGCAAAAGACATTTATTTTTCTTATACAATATTACACCCACAAAGTCACAACAGGAGATTCATAGCAGATCTATTTATTTTAATTTGCTAAGCAAAGTGAGGATAAAATATTATTTTGGAGCCAGCATTTGGTACAAGTGAGCTAATCCGGTGCTTTCTACACTGGTAGCCCATGTTGGAGCCCCATTAGAGCCCCAGCTGCCTGCTGATATACCTGGGAAGGGAAAGAAAGATGAGTTGAGTGCTTAGCTGTACACCAACTCTGCCACTTGCATTGTGAAAGACTTGGCTTTCTACATGTGTAAAATATTGATACTGAGAACTTTCATCTCAAAGAAAGTTCTTTTAGTAATAGTTAAGTTGTTACATACAAATACACGTAATAAATGCTGGCAAATGGTAAGTGCTATGTTTGAGTTTTATATTATTATTATTATTTTATTTTATCATTTTATGATGCAGTTCCAATTGGCTCCAGGATTTCCCTTTGCCCATCCTCAAATCCCCTCCTCATCACTGCTTTTTCTTAAATTATTACAATAGTATAATTCTTAATAAGTAGTCCTAAGTACATCATTCTGCTATTTAAGTATGTCCTGACACTATAGCTATGAACAATAGTGTGGAGTCCAGCATCCTATTGTCAAGGTATATTCAACAGGTTCATAATGAGTCAATCTTTGATTTGGAAGCAGAGATTCATGCTGCATTGTATCTTCACATCTGAATATGATAATTTCTTTTACACAGATACTATACATTTGCTTATATGAAAAGCCATTAAAAATGAACAATAGGAAGAAAAACAGAAAATGTGCCACATGAAATTAATTGACATTTTATTGTGTCTTCTGTCCTCAAATCCATCAGTTTCTCTGTAGAATACTGAATATCTGCTCCTTTGTTCACACTGATTTCTTTTTTCCTCTTATGGGATCATTTTAAGTTCAAAATTTTGTACAGATAGATTCTGTTTTCCTAACCTTTTTAATTGAGCTAGCCTGTGATTTGTCTTTACCACCAAAATGTGGCAAAAATTATTTACGTGAGTTTCAAATTCAATCTTTGTGAGGCTTGGAGCTTTCAATTTCTCCTCCTGGAGTGCTGACCTGATAGTGCAGTTTCAAGAAACAGAGGCTGTTGGTCCAGCTTCTGGAGCATGAGTGGACATAGGCAAAAGAGAGAGGGCACCCTAGCTAGTAGTAAATGCCATATGCCACACCAGGTGACATTCTTACTTGGACATTCTTACTTAGACATTCTTACTTGGTCAACGTGACAGCTGATGCATCTACATGAGAATTCTGTTGAAATAAGTGCAGCAACCTTCCTCCACACCTATTCTCACAGTTGTGAAAAACAATAAATCCTTGGTTTTTGAGCCAATGCTTTTGGGGTAGGTATAAGAAGACAATTACCAAATGATTTAAATGCCTTAAAATGCAGTGAGATTTCAAGCCTAGGATGTTTCATTATGTAACCTCATCACTACCCTGTGCAGTGTCAAAACATAATGAATTGTTCTAGGTTATAACTCAGGCTTAGCTCGTTTATAATGTCACACATTTTCATTATCTCCAATTGGACAGTTCATAATTAACCTCCTTTTGTTATCTTTACTTAAGGTTATTTTGTTCTTTTTCTTGAAATAAATTCAGTGTGTTTTAGTTTATCCTTACCACTAGTTTATAAGCTTGTTTATATCAGCTCTTTCATTTTCTAGAATTTTTTTGAGTTCTGAACTAATTACTTCCTTTAGAGTTTTCATAATAATGCACAGACTACTACTTCATTAAGTTTTCTTGTAAATTATAAATTGCTTTGCTTTTATTTCTTTAAAATTATAGTAGTGGTATTAAAGCAATTATGTTTAAATATTCTAAACTAGATTTTAAATGTAAAATATTGTTATCAAATATTATTTTAGCTCACTAAATGCTGTTGGAAATTTTTATTCGGCAAAATAGATAGGGTATGCTACGATGTGAACCAATGTTATAAGATCTTCAAGGACATTGAGGGGTTGACTTTTATGGTACATGAGATGATTCATTAAAATGTTTGGGCAAAAAAAGCACATTACGCAATATTTATTTTGAGAGTACTATTCTTAATGAATATGTAGAATAGCTGATGCAAAATATAATTGAGAATTTATTATGTTAATTGGCCAAGATTATGGTATTATTGGCAACAGAGGAGGGAACATTATTTTTAAAGTCTAGTTTTGTAAAAAAGCTCTAGATTTACAATTGTGATTTAGAAGTAGGAATTAGGCAGCAGAATGCTGAAGAATTTTGGAGTAAGGTGGAGTAAGACACTGTCATAAAACTAGGCACAGTCCTATTTGGGTTAAAATTAAAATGAAAAGTAAAGTTACTATTTTCCGAGATGGAAAAGAGGGTGGTAATTTTGGAATTCTCAAAATAATAATCAACTGCACTAATAGCAACTGAACCCCTGGCCTTTTTTTTAAAAAAAAAAGTAGCCATAAAATATAGAGGCTTCCTATTGAGTTTCTTGTTTTAGTTTTGTGGTGGTACACACCGAAGATGACCGCGGAAACAACGAGTGACTTTATTGAAAAAAAAAAGAGTAAATATATTCTTTTAAATGTAAGACTAATCAACTGTAACACTCTCTTTTCTTTTCATGGATGAGAAACCACAGACTCAGATCACAGACTGAGATATCAGCAAATTTGTAACTAGAGACCAAGGAAACTTAGCTTCTAACCCATTATTTTCTCATGTACCTTTTTCCCCCATATACTTTTTCATTTTAGCTGAACTGAATAAAACTGAACTGATCTCTAAAACCATTAAAATTTCTTTCATTCCTGCCACCTTTTATACTATTATCAATTGTTGGATACCATATCATCCCCAAATCCATTTATCAAACAACAATTTCTGCAGATCATAAATTTAGGCTGGTTGAACTGCACCCCATAAAGCAGTAAGATGCTCTTACTGGTCTCACTGGGGCCATTTTTTGAGACAGCTTCCTCCAAGGATGACCATGACAGGAAGGTCAGAAATGTAATTGATATGTTAACCTGACCTTTCTAATATACAATCACATGCAGGATCAAAACTAATGCTATAGAATCCACCCCAGGAATCTTTTTATCAAAGATCCATTCTGTTACATAGGGAGGGAGAGAAGGGCTCTCAGGGCCAGAGCTGGGCCTGAGTAAAACAAACAAAACAACAGCAGCAACAGTCTTTTCCAGGTCTCTCACATGGGTATACGGGCCTAAAGAGCGGGACCATTCTCAATGGCTCTTCCAGGACATAGGTAAAGGGCTGAATAGGAATGGAGTAGCCAGAACATGAAGCAGAATCCACATGGAACACTGGTGCTACCATCAGATTAGCCTGATGATGATGATCTTTGTTGTTGCTGTTGTTATTTTATTATTATTATTGGAAAAGCACATGTACAGAGAGAAGAGACAGAGAATAGAACGATCTTCTGTCTACTGACTCATTTCCAAATGTCCACAACAGCTGAGCTAACCCAAACACAGCACCAAGAGCTTCTTCCAGATATCCCACATGGATGTAAGGTCCCAAGGCTTTGTCCATACTCTATTGCTTTCCCACATTGCTAGCACTGAGATGGATGGAAAGCTTGAACAACTAAGAAATGAATGAGTGCACATTTGAAATACTGTACTTGGAGGTGGAGAATTAGCTAGTTAAGCTATTGTGCTGGCCCTTATGTCTCTCCCTTACATCATATTTGCTAGAAGTATTGCTATTCAAAGTCACATTCCTGCAAAAGCATATCCTGATAGAAGCAAATTACTCTAGGCAGGAAATTATTCCAGGGAGCATACACACCAAATTTCTAAGTAAAGGAACAATCAGAAAATAGAAAACATGTTTGCTGAACATTAAGCAGTTGATTTATGTGAGAATATATTGTTTGTGGCATGATTTAAGATAGGTTGAGTATGGATGAAACCATGAAATGTTTGTATTATCAAGCTTGGGATATAAACTTTATTTTGTCAACAGTACAGAATTATTGAAGACTTTAAGAAGAATGACATGGTTTTACTACTTTAAGTGAATCAATGTGACAAGTATAGATGATGGAAAGGGTGGGCAACAATTGGTGTTATGGAGATCACATGGTTGTTGCAGCAGCAACTGAGTGAAGAAATGAAGAACTGAGCCAAATTTGGGACAGTGGCTATATTAAAAAATTGTTTCATTGGACCTAGTGTAAGAAGCCACAGAATGTATGAACTGAACATGAATTGAGATTTTTATTATTTAAAATTTTAATTTTATTATACAATTTCTTAGAGTTGGAGTTTTAATAACAATCTACACATATTTTTTTCTCTTATTTTCCAGTATTTATAACACAAAAATCACATTATAAGTCCAAAGAAATTGGCCCAAAGGAGTTCCGAAAGTCATGGGTGAGGGGACATCTTAGTAGTTCTTTTCTAAAAGTTGCTGATTGCGTGTGTTTTCATTTCCTTTAGTACTTACAACTACGATTCAATAAAGCAGTTCGCTATGCGGCGACAGTCATCTACATCATCCAGACGGTAAGGGCAAACTGCTGATGCCCATGCAGAAAATGTAGACTTGCAAGATAGAATTTGCTTGTTATAGGGACATTTAAAGGTAAGGCTTAATACCAAGAAGTCCTTACTTTCCTCAAAGAATAGCACTTTCAGATAGGTGACTATGTTGAGAGTTGCATACATTTCGCAGACTGCAAATTTAGACCAGTAAGAAGAAAATGTATGTTGTAAACTACCAGAAAAATAAATTCTTAAAATTATTTCTCTTATTTAATCTATGAAAACTTTTACATATGGAAAGTATAAATGATTTCTTTGCTTCCTTTTACATGCCTGCTTTGTAGAACGTCATTTTAAATTATTTATTTATTTATTTTGAAGTTTGAATTACAGAGAGACAGAAGAAGGGAAGAAAAGGGAGAAATATACATATATAGAGAGATCTCCCATCTGCTGTTTCACTTCCCAGATGCCCATAATGGCCACTGCTGGGCAGGTTGAAGCCAGTAACCAGGAGTTTCAGTTGGGGCCCAGACTTGGGGAAGGAAGCAGTGAGTCTTAAAATTGCAATCCCAACGAGTGCTGCTAATGTCCTCTTACAGAGAGAATGTCTATTTCAAGGTTTTAAGCGGCCTTTATACTTACCAAGTCTGCCCGTGGTGCGTTTCATACTGCTTAAAAAGTACTCCAGTTTTTTAAGATAACTTTTTTTGGATTTCTTAATAATAAACCCAGCTTGCCAACAACTATTTTCCATTCAAAAACTCTCACACATATCTCAAAATTGTTGGATTCCATTTAAATTAAAACAAAGTGTTCATCAACTGATAACTGAATAAAAAAAATTGGGGCCCAGTGTGATAGCGTAGTGGTTAAAGTCCTCACCTTGCATGTGCCAGGATCCCAAATGGGGAGCCTGTTCTAATCCCGACAGCCCAGCTTCCCATCCAACTCCCCGCTTGTGGCCTGGGAAAACAGTCAAGGATGGCCCAAAGCCTTGGGACCCTGCACCTGAATGGGAGACCTGGAGGAAGTTCCTGGCTTCAGATTGGCTGAGCTCCAGCTCTTGCAGCTGCTTGGGGAGTGAATCATTGGATGGAAAATCTTCTCTGTCTCTCCTCTTTTCTGTATATCTGACTTTCCAATAAAAAAATTTTAATGTTATGTATGTGCATATCAGAAATTTGAAAATAGATCTACCACATGATGTGATCATTCTACTCTTGGTATTTACCTAAAGGAAATGAAACAAAAAAATTTAAAATCTATTGTTTGCAGCCTTGTGTTTCTATCAGTCTAATTTGCAGTAGCTAAGATATGGAATCAATTCTGCTATTATTTCATTGAATAGGTCTTCTAATCCACTTTCTTTTTCTACATCTTTTTCCACATCAAGAACTCCTTTTATATGTGTTTATTTGTTTGATAGTAGCCTATAAATCAAAAATTATTTTTGGTTTTCCATGTTTTTTCTTCTTTCTCTTTTAGTATAGTTGAAATATTTTCAAATACTTGCTTTATAGATATGATGCTTATAACGTCTTTTGCACCACAAGTCTGTTGCCAAGGTTTTTCATTGAATATTTTGATATATTCAACTCTTCCTTTCTTGAGTTTCCATTAGCTTTCTCGTTGAAACCGCTGTCTTTTGACAGAACGAATGCGTTCCTTCAACGCGTGTATTTGCTTCTCCGGAATTTTTGAGCCATCTCATGAGCCCTCTTCTGATTTCCTTTTCAGAAATCTCATCAATTTCTTTTTCTTTACATTCCAATATTGAAATTTTAGGTTCCTTGTGGGGAGTCGTGGTCTTGGTTTCTTCATGCCTTTTCTGCTTCTACTTTTATTTTAGGCCTTGGTAGGGACACTTGATTTTCTTATCTGAGGCTCTTTATCATGGAAATCAGCTTCTATAGCTTTGTGGGATGGTTGTTCGTCAGATATCAGGAGATGTGTTTGGGTGGCACCAGAGAGCTGTGGCTGTGCTTGAGAATAGGGCAAGAGTTCGGAGTGACACCCAAGTTGGGTGTGATAAATGTTTTACTGTCAGCAGGAGTGAAGACAGAGTATAGATGCTGAGATGATCACATCTTCATCCTCTCTCTGCCAAGGTGAATCAGCTGCTCAGGATAATTCCATAATGAGCATGCAACCCTTGTACACAGGCACATGAACTGCACAAAGGATCAGTGAACTCCTTTGTTATCGTGGGACTTGATGATTATCCACCCCAGTGATTCCATGAACTCTCAGCCTCTGAGACCAGACGCAATGATTGCCTAATGACACATCCAGACCACATACTCTGTCACACAGTCACAGAATTCCCACAGTTACAGGGAGTGTGGGATCCGCTCTCGGCCTTGTAAAGCTTCCACTATCCAAAGAAACAACCACAGGTTTACAATGCCAGTGCCCTACTCAGCAGAACTTGACTGATATTTTGCCTTGGCAAGTGAAGCCCAGGCACTTAAACAGAGTGAGAGCAGAGGAATGTATCATAGGCTACAGTGTGAATCCCATTCACCACAAGCCCTGGAGGCCAAACTTGAGGCAGTGGGGATCATTGTATACAGCCAATGAAACCACACATCCTGTAGAAGCATTATTAAGATGACAATTCCTTGTGCTTCTCACCAGGTGCCTCTGTTGGCAGAAGGGAGGAGAGCAACGGGCTGGTCCTTTATGAAGCTGTTGGGCGCTGTGCCTCAGTAGCAGTTCAGGCCAGATTCAAAGGCAATTGTGATCATGAGTCCCTTCCTCAGGCAATATGCCCAATGTTATAGGTTAACCACACGTTCTTCTCACCCTGCTCTAGTATGGCACAGGCTGAAGGAGTTGCCAATGATGTTCTGTTCGCCACTGTGGAATTGGACCATCCCTTCTCCTTCACAGCATCTCTGTTCCTTTTGTAGAACTGCCAGTGCTAACTTCTTTCCCACTGACTCAGAATTCAGTTCTTTTCTTTGTCTCCTGTCATTGTCCCACAATAAAAAACAGTCTTTTTCTAATTCTTGGATCTTCCCAGACACTTTAAAATTAATAAAATTTTGTATTTAAATTTTGTATTAGAGCTAACTGCTAAAATGTGAATCTCTTCCATGATAAACCCGTCAAGTCAGCAGATAGCTCAGTGTGACATGGGCATGAGGAGTGGGTAGAGGGAGGGACACTTACAATTACTTTTGTGTTATCGAGCATTATGCCAATTGCAAGTGCAAAGATCTCAAAATTAAAGCAGTTTTGGAAGTTCAACCATCCTCCTCAATCTAATACTTGAAACACCATGTCTACAAATCCATTCCGGTGGTGAATGATCAAAATTAGAAAGGGCAGAAGTGAAATGTTTTGTAGAAAGTTGCAGGACATTGCTAAATTGTAGTCGTGATTTTGCAGGCAAGTTTCTTTCCATTTCGTGTTGCTCCTGACCTGCCTGATTTGAATTTCTCCACTAGATTCTCTACACTGGAGTGGTGGTTTATGCTCCTGCCCTGGCACTCAATCAAGGTGAGTGATCAACACTCCTGTAAACATATTCCCTGTTTTCACACTAGAATTCTCATTTGGGGGAAATATTCATAAAATTTTTTGTTGGAAAGATGTTATTTATTGCTATTAGGCTGCTCTTCATTTTTGTAGCAATTACTATGGAAAGGTTGTAAGTTGAACACTGAAAAGGAAGCAAATAATTCCTAGTTTTATATCTCATACTTCTAAACTAACTATAGCTATAATGTGTTTTGTTTATATGGGATTTTTTGCTGTTTTTCAAATCATGATAATGACATTATTGGAGATATATAAGCACTAATTGTTATAATATATTGCACTTTCTCAGTTCCATGAAATGGATAATCTGAGTAAAAGAGTAAAGGTGTTTATAATAATTACATTAAGGGTTATGGTTGATGCTTTCATGAGAATAGAATCCAAAGAAAAAAGTGAGAATAAATTTCACAACATCCACCTTATTGAAAGTTTGCGGTATTCAATTCAATTTGTCTATGCTTATATTGAGAAGTTTTAATAGTTTACATTTGGGTGGCTTCAAAATCCTGACTAACTCTTCTAAGAAATAAAATTGAGACCAAAGATCAGAATCTATAGAATCTGAAGAGAAAATATACTGTTTAATATTTCATGAGATATTTACAAACTGCCTTAAGGACCTAATAAAATAATATTAATAAAAATGATAAAAATAATATTTCTCAAAGGTAATAAAATTTAATGAGGAGAAACTCTAATTCGAGATCCTTTTGTCCAAATTGAACAATTTCAAAGATATTGGGATTCTTTTCTCCTGAAAAACATACTCTCACTTTCTTCTGAGAAATGTGTCTTAATGCATTTTTTTGTTTCCTAGTGACTGGATTTGATCTCTGGGGCTCTGTGTTTGCAACAGGAATTGTTTGTACATTCTACTGTACCTTGGTATGTAAATAGCTATGAAAAGAAAAATCTTTACCAGTAGCTTCTAACACAGGATAGGATAAATGTTCAACAGTACTGGTTCTAATTATGGAAGAAATTGTTCATCAAAAACTGAAGAAGCAATATTGACTTATCTGTTACAGTTTCCTATGGAATGTGTGCTGTTTATTTGAAACTCCTTTTAGTATGAAGAAATAGCAGGATTTGAGCTCTGAGTTCATTCAAAAAAGCAAAGTATAAAAATATAACACCGGTCAAGGAAATCTCTCTTTCATGAGAGGGTAGGCGGAACTGTGCAAATTCTGAGAAAAAAATCTCATTAACAGTGGTCCTAAACCATGGATAGCATTTGCACTTTACTGCCTACTAATGCAGAAAAACAAACAAGCAAAAAACGAAAACAAAATAGAAACTACACACACAAATACGTAGGAGTTCACAATGATATGATACTTTAACATTTAAGGAATCTACAGCTTGTAGTCTATTGCTTATGAAAAGCTTGGATTATATTTAATATTTGGTTTTGTGGATTCAATCAACAAAGAAATGTTGGTAGTGATGGCAGTATGCTTTATTATAATTAACTTTCTAAAATACATTAAGCAGCTATTGTTTGCCTATGATCTTTACATGGAATTTCTATTATTAAATTTTTAGTGATAGGGCTAGGTACTGACTGTTATTAACCAATTATAAATATGCTAGCTCCTCTATAAAAAATAATTGGTATAATGGAGCATAGCATTCATGTATTTTAGAGTTATAATCCTGTTTCATGTTCTTTGTACCACATAACATGATCATATAAAATTTATTTATTCATTTTAAGATTCATTTACTTTTATTGGAAAGGCGGATACACAGAGAGGAGGAGAAACAGAGAGGAAGATCTTCCGCCAATTATTCACTCCCCAAGTGGCCACAATGGCTAGAACTGAGCCAATCCGAAGCCAGGAGCTCTCTTGGGTCTCTCATGCAGATGCAGGGTCTCAAGGCTTTGGTCCATCCTCGACTGCTTTCCCAGGCCATAAGCAGGGAGCTCGATGGGAAGAGGGGCCACCGGGATTAGATCTCGCAACCATATAGGATCCTGGCGCGTGCAAGGCGAGGACTTTAACCACTATGCTATCGCACCAGGCCCATTCACATAAAATTTAATAAAGCCTTTATCTCCCTTATATATATTTGAATATTCTAGTTTCTTTGTATTCAGAATTTTGTCTTCATTTTTTTTCTTTTCCATTCTATCATGATAATTCTGTGTCAAGCACATTATTTTATCAAAGGTTTGAACAGTTTTTCTTTTCCTTCTTCCTTTATCATTTCATGTATGACAGGCTAGTTTGTTCTAAGTGCATGTCCAGGAAGCAACTAGATGCTAGATGGACAACTTTAGGTATGTTACTGGACTTGGAAGATATGCATCTACTCAAAGAAATCCATTACTCATCCAATAAAGTAATAAAATAATGTGACATACAAAAATGATTTAGAAAGTATGAGTTAACAGATCCATTTGGAAAGAGTAAGTGCAAAGAGGTACAACTGTTACTGCAGTACAGTACCTAGAGTTAAATGCAATGTACAGTAGTAGGGTTTGGTTACAATAAGCTGGGGATTTTGAAGATAGTTGAAGCAGTTCTAGAATCGTGATGCACTTGGGCTCTTTCAAGAAAACATGTTCAAATCCTTTTTTAAAAAATGGAATCCAAGATTGCATCCAGGATAACTGCAGATAAAACAATAATCTCATTATAAAATATAATTAGAATCATAAAATAAAGTATACGAGTGAGGATCAGCACAGCAACCAATCATAAACTCTCAAGGAGAGCACCTATTGGGATCCCAACATACAAAGAATGTTTGTATACTACATACTGAAATAAATGAGGAAGAGTCACAGATGAGTAAGGAGCAAGAATGACCGCATGGTGTAACTGCTACAGTAAAGAGGAGACGCATTTGAAGAGAAAATCGGTTATATTGGAAGTTATATTTGAAGAAATAATCTATAAGATAATAGATACAGTGAATTATGAGGAAGTGAAAAAGAAGTACAGATAGAAAGATACACAAATATGGATGATAAAGACAAGAATCTACATGATTAGAAGTTGTAAATGTAAGGATTAAAAAACCAAGTTCCTATTTAGACACATTAGTGAAATTACAGAAGGCAGATAAAAAAAGACCTAAAACAAACAAACAAACAAACAAAACAGAGAAGGGAAAGGAGTCACTTTCAGAGGTCCCTTTAGGCGTATTTCTCCTACAATATAAGTGAGGAGTAATTAAAGCACTGAGGACAAAAAAAACTGTAAGACTGTAACTGTGTTTTTAAAAAACTGTTTTTCAGGGATTGAATATCAAGAACTAAGGGAACTAGGGGAATAATTGCGGGAAATAGAAAATACATTATAAAGTTACAGTGTTAAGGTGGAAGAAGGAAGAATATGAAATATGTACAAGTGTTTGCTGATCTATGCAGGTTTTGTTATCAGCATTATTTAATTTTATCATCTAATTACATATTAATTCTCATAGTATTAAATGGACAGATAGCAATCAGAAATGTGTCTGTATGTGTATGATCTTGGAATTGAGAAATTTACTCATAAATTGTACAATATATAATTTGGAAAACAGTAATCAGATTGAAAGTCATATAATTCTTGAAATTTAGGCTATCAAAATGTTTACCTTTTCAGTCAAAACTATGCCACAATTCTAGGGATTCATTTAAATAAAACATTTAAAGTAGAAAATGTAATTTAAAATTCACAATTCATGTAAGTGAAAATAGAAGCACACAAGCACTGAAAAAGTTCATGTATAGAAATCTCGGAGACGCACCTGGGATAGCTTACTGACACAGCAAGTTCAAATAAAACTAAATTCCTTGTCTCATAACAGGTTTCATTTTTCCACATTCCACATGCCTTTGTGAGATTAATCTTTTAGATGCATATTTCTTCATGCTTCACTAGCCTAATTGCCTTTTTACTCCCTTTTAGCAGGATTAAAACTCTTTAATACAGTGTTGGAACTCTTCTATGAAGTGAATCCAATCCATCCATCCAGTGTCTTTTCAACATATCTGTTTATCTTCTCCTTAAGCAGGTGAAGAGTCATCACAACCAAACCAAAGTGATACTCTATTTATCTCATGTATTCACTCCCATTTTAATCTCTATTCTGGTCATCTTGTGGATACATAAAACAAAAACACCAGTAAAATGCATTTGTTTATACAAGTGATTCCTGCCCTTCTTAAGTTGGTGATTTGAGGAGATGAAACTTAGAGCCAAAACACAGATTGATTAAACATGTGACATGGAAGACACAATCAGAGTTGCTAAGATAGGTGGTGTGTGTATGTGTATTGTCTGTATTTGTGAGAGAGAGAGTCTTGTTTGAGACATGAAGGTAACCTTATGGTCGATATAATCTCCCCTTTTATCACATTTGATAAAGTGACTTGTTATTTTTATCTTATGTCAAGTTAACATTTAGGATTATGATTATTTTTGCAGAATCAATCCCCTTAGTCTTTGAAACCTGAGGCCTGGATATGTGGTCTTCATACCACTGAAATCTAAGGTTGACATTTGGTTTGAAGACTTAATGTCTTTCAGGGAAACCAAGAGAGTACTATCTGTGAAGGGGAGAAGATTTTCTTTTTTTTTTACTCTAGGAGCTGAGGTTGTGGTATGACAGGTTAAGCCACTGCCTGCAAAGCTGGCATTACATGTGGGCCCCAGTGACAGTCATGGATTAACCATTTCTGATTCAACTCCTTGCTGTTGTGACTGAGAAGGTTTTGGAGAGTGGCACAAATCCTTGGGTCCCTGCACCATGTGCAAGCCCTGGATGAGGCTCCTGGCTCCTGGGTTTGGCCCAGACCAGCCCTAGTCGTTTAGTCATTTGGGGAGTGATGTAATGGATGTAAGATCTCTCACCTTTCTGATCTCTCCTCTCTGTAACTCTGCTTTTCAAGTAAAATTAAAGAAATTTTTAAAATAAATTAATTATTGATCATACAAAATACATTCTATACCTTTACCATAAAATGCCTATTTTTGAAGTTGAATTTTAATTATAAAACAGAGATGGGACAACCCTAATGCTTTCTCTTTTATTTTCAAGCTAAACATGAAGCCTGTCATCTTTTCGCAGAAGTTCCTGACACTCAGAAGGAGTAACTGGGGATGATAATATCTATTTTTGAGTGTTAAAAATACCATGCTCCTTAGTTTCCTAATGACTATTCATTTTCAGACACCTTTACAAAAAGATGTATTTATTTTTATTGAAACGTCAGATATACAGAGAGGATCAAAGACAGAATGAGTTTCCATTCGATGTAACACTCTCCAAGTGACCACAATGGCTGGAACTGAGCCAATCTGAAGCCAGGAGCTTCTTCCTGGTCTCCCACACGGGTGCAGGGTCTCAAGGCTTTGGGCCGTCCTCATCTGCTTTCCCAGGCCACAAGCAAGGAGCTGGATGGGAAGTGGGGCTGCTGGGATTAGAACCAGTGACCATATAGGATCCCAGCGCGTTCAAGGTGAGGACTTTAGCTGCCAGATCACCACACTGGGCCCACCTTCACCAAGTTCTTAAGAAATTATATACTAGGACATAGATATAGAATATTCTATTACCACTGCAGCTTCTCTTTTTTTCTCCCTTCTTCTTGTGCACATATTGTCAGCAATGACTCAGAATAACCTGAGGAGTTTTCACAGGTATTTGGGACTAGGCTCCAGCCCAGATGTCACTTAATTCATAATGCTGGTGGTGGGATTTGGACAATTTCTTTCCTACATATTTTTCCTTTTAAATTTTTCAAGAGAGTCTTAGGAGGAGCCCAATTGGATAACTATTTCCGTAGCTGGCTTCATAATCATTCTGAATTCTGGTGGTGGATTCATTCACCTTCAATCTGGTTTGATTACTTAATTATTTAACAATCTTGTATCTATAAAGAGCCTTTCTCCTTAAATATCTAGATCAATCATTCCTATCTTTTTCAATGTGTTCAGTGTTTAACCATCTCAGGGTCCTAACAGTATTTATTGTCACTAGATCTACAAAAAAAAAAAAAAAAGTTTTACATTTTACAAGCTAGGCACAGGTGATATCCTTAGTTTCTTTACTTCCTTATCATCTGTGCTGATGAAGCTCAAGATATATTGATTTTTCATCTCAAATATCTTTTGAATTCATGAGCAGATTTTGACTTTTTTCTCCACTTCATTGTTAATATAACTACTTTTGAAGCTGTTGTGAAGGAAAAATCTCTGATGAGGTCACTCCAATCCTTCTCATTGTTCCTGAGAAATAATTCAGGTGATCTGTTAGGATTTATCTTCCCTGTGTTTAACAAAAATCTTCTCTTGGGATGTCTCCCACGCCACTTGATCTATATTCCATCTTTCTTCTCCTCCTGGAGTTATGTTCCCCTCCCTTCATAGTTGTTGGCCTCCTCTTCTCTTTGTCATTTATATCTGTTGAAGTTCTGTCCATTCTTCAGAGCTTAGCTTGACTGTCACTTCATCAAGATCATGTCAGGACCGCTTGCTAAATTCTCGCATAACAACTTCTCCTTCCTAATCCCGCTTTGTTCCTTTAAAATAGCTAGGTGTTTTATTGTCTAATATGTGTTCCTCTCATTAAATGATCAACCTTGTGATATTAAGGAAAGAATTTGCATCTTTCACTTACCATTTTATTCCTGTTCAACATGGAGCTTGGCAAATAAAGATGTTCAGTTGGAGCAGGAATTTAGCACAGCAGTTAAAACACTGCTAAGGACACCCACGTCCAAATGCAGTGACAAGGTTTGAATCTCATGCCTCTGATCCCATTCCAGTTTCATGATGTGAGCTGTAGGAAACAGCATGTGAAACCTTAAGTAATTGGATCATGGCCACCATATTAGTTATTTAGATTTAGTTATGGAGTGAGGATGCACTTATAACTCCCTGGGTGGAACACAAAGATTAGTTACTCCTCACTAGGGTTTTGAAGACTTCTCTGCACACCCCTCCTCAAACTGTTCACCTAAACTGTTGACATATGTCTTGTTAGAGTTATAGAGTTAGACTACCTGAAAAACAGCCAGGTTCTGCAAAATCGTGCTTCAACGCTATGAACTGCTAAATGCTAAAATTAAAATAGACATGAGACAGCTGAATAGTAATCTATAGCCATTTTAAGGTGTATAGAACACAATTGTATATAAACTAATAATTGTAATGTCAATGTAGAAGTCATAGGATGTGGTTCAGAACTTGCACTCTTTTTTTTTTTTTCTTTCTCTCTCTTTTAACATGCTGGTTACACAATACCATGTCAACTAATTCCATTACGTTATAAATTGTTACTGATGTAATGTCGGGGTTTTTAATTGATTGGGATGATACTCTGTCGGCTCTACCTTCAGACCAGAGAGGGTCTCCCCAAGAAACTGCTGAACTTATCTGGACAATAAGATGCTGGACTCTATGCTTTGTAGATGCTTGCAAGGAAAGAATCTCAACTGAATCTGAACTGTAGTAATGCAACAAGGTGGAGAATTCACCATGGGGGAGGAGGGGTTTTGGGGAGGGAGGGGGGAATTCCAGGGCCTGTGAAACTGTGTCGCATGATGCAATGTAATTAAAAAAAATTAAAAAAAAATAGATTTAGTTATGGGTTCCTGAGATCAGCTTGCTCTAGCCTTTACTGTTGGAAGCATTTGCAGAGTGAATGAGAAGGTGGAATAGGTCTTCTTTCTCTTTCTCTGTTTCTCTAAATAAATAAATCAAAAATAAATAAATAAATAATATGATTGAATGAATGAATCTATTAGTAGTAAGGAACACTGCAGAGTTGAAGGAGTGACAGATTTCATTTTTAAGAACTCATATTCATTCTCCATTTCAGGGAGGATTAAAAGCAGTGGTGTGGACAGATGCATTTCAGATGGTTGTCATGATTGCGGGCTTCTTGACAGTTCTAATCCAAGGATCGTCTCGTGCTGGTGGATTCCACAATGTGTTAGAACAAGCAAAAAATGGATCCCGACTAAATATAGTTGAGTAAGTACAATGCTAATGGTTTTAGAAATTTAGTGGCATGACCTCAAAACTTGAAACAATATCTGGGTAGCAAAGCAATATCTAAATTTTCTTATTTCTCACTTCCTTATAGTTTTGATGTAGATCCTCTCAGGCGGCACACTGTCTGGACAATTGTAGTGGGAGGAACATTTACTTGGCTTGGGATCTATGGAGTTAATCAATCAACCATCCAACGATGTATCTCTTGTAAAACAGAAAAACATGCTAAGCTGTAAGTTAACAATAAAGAAATTTTTTCCTTGGTTATAACTTTTAACCATAGTATTTACGCTGATGTGTATGTGTGTGACAAACAGAGATGGGGACATTCCATTAACTATTTCAGTCAGTGTTTGAGGAAGGCATTGTAACTCTCAGCAAGGAAATGGCAGAGCTTGGAGGCAAACTGGTCTCTGCCTTTGCTGTTAGTTATTTGAGGTCTCTAATTATGGACAACTGACTAATTCAAATCAGGTGCTGTAAACAGTGATGGAGAGGTAAATAGCATGCATCCAGTGTTCAGAGTTTTCTGAAGATGTCCCTGATTTCACATTTGATTCAGTATAGGATCTCTTCCACTGTTAGCTTTGTTTTTGATATGTTATGAGATAACCTGAGACACTATTAAAATGTTAAAGAATTTCTTTGAGAAAACAATTATTGCTAAATTTTGCAGTTCCAGTACAGAAGTGGCTCCAGGGCTCTATCAAAGAAGTGCATGGATTAGACTTTGATAGAAAGAAAGCAGAAATAAAGCACAGAAAATATGTGATTGGTGATACCCATACATTTCCTCATTGGAGCTCTTATCCTGGAAAGTTCGTGGTTATGTAAGTTAGTTGGTGGCTTGTGATCAGTTAATGTAAAGTTTCATTTTTCTTTTGATATAAGGAATAGCCCAGATTATACTCCATGTATGTTTCAAGTCAAGCAAGGTTCACCTCATTTATGAAGCAACATTTTTCCCTGTCTGTGATTCTTCAGACCTGGGATCCACTTAAATTTATTTTAACTGTTGTATTCACCCTTCAGGTTTCCAAAGACAGGTAAAATTGAAACATCCCAAAATAAATTTTCATGCTTTTTGTTGTCTTAGAAAAATTCAGTTTGAGGGTGGGATGTCTGCATACAACTTGGAACACCTGGTGTTTAGCCCCACCTTGCCTTTAAAACAAGCTTTGTGTGAATTCACATCTTGGAAGCAGGTGATGATGTCACTTGCTTGGATTTCTGCCACCTGTAAGGGAATCTTGCATAGAATCTCCCAGTCCAAGCTATTGTGAGCAGTTTTGAAGAAAGATATTCCTCTCTGGAGTATCAATCTGTTTCAAATCAATTAAAATAAATTTATATAGCATTTAAGAAATTTAAAAGTTAACTTTGATTTTCAATGAATTAATATCCAAAGCCAATATTTCCAGAAAGTGGTTATTTCTACACTGGTTTGTTATGTCTCTGGAAAAAAAAAGATGTTAAAATGTAAGTTGATTTTTTGAGAGTTTCATGAATTGGGTAGGGGGAAAATCAGTTAACATTATATGAGTGACTGGTATGTGAAATTTAATCAAAGAAAATAGATCTCATACTACACATAATGAAGCTTTTGAATATGAAAGAGCTTTTCCACTTAAAGGGAAGTCTATTTAAATCTTACCTTATTTGGATTTGATATTCAGTCTAAAAATACAATGCTGTCAAACAAAAAGTTGAAGACAAAACATACAATGATTCTCAAAGGCTGTGGGGTTTTATGTTTTTTAGCTAAAGGGAAAAATAGAAACAAAACCAAAAATCAAGAAAAATCGTATTACCTTGAGCTTTTGATAATGGTGTCATCACATTCTAGAATGACATTCATACTACTATTAGACCCATGTGTTTTCTTTTTTAGGGCCTTATATTTAAATTTGTTGGGTCTCTGGATCATTTTGGTGTGTGCTGTCTTCTCTGGCTTAACCATGTATGCCTACTTCAAAGACTGTGACCCTTGGACTTTTGGCATTGTCTCAGCACCAGATCAGGTATGGGTGACCTTATGTCAAGGTCTGAGTTTCCTTTCTTTCCTCTTTGGTGATACCACAACACCATAGGTTTTAATATGGTCAAGAGAGCTGTGAAAGAGGAGGCACCTCACCATGCTATCAAAGCCAATGTCTGCAGGCAGGGCAAGGATGGGGGGAGTAGAAGACAGGCTTGAACTCTCATACATTAAATCTGTCATTGGACTTTTGGGCTGTTTCTACACACCTCTATTCTCAAGTGAACAAAGTTGTATTCATTTCCACAGAACATCTACTCTGATCTCAGCATAGATTACAAACCCCCTCAATATGCCATTTAAAGTGTGCTTTCTAAAAGTTCAGGAAGAGAGGATATGTTCAGGAAAAGCAGTCATCTCCATCCACTCTGTTCATATCTTCAACAGATATGAGCCTCTCTTCAACAGATAGGGAGCCTCTCTGCTCCCTAGGAGATCTTCTTCCATACACAAGAGTATAATGAGATTTCCTGAAAATTAGTGATTTATTTCAAGGATTCAGTTGATAGCATTCAAGATAAACACCAAGGAACATGGCATAAACAGAAAACAAGAAAAATCATTTTATTATTTCTAAAAATTGATGCATTCCAACATTTCAAACAAATCTATAAATGCCCATAATCCCATCTTTCTCTTTTGGCTCCTTTTCAGCTGATGCCATACTTTGTCATGGAGATATTTTCAACCATGCCAGGGGTTCCAGGACTTTTTGTTGCTTGTGCCTTCAGTGGAACACTAAGGTTAGTATATAACAATGCTCCATGAAAATGATGACCTTGATGAAATGACAAGGATGGCACAAGCCAACAGAGTTCACTAAAGAGTTGTGTGTCAAGTGCATTGCTGAGTATTTGCTCATGAATTTTCACACAACATTTGACATGGAAACTTTATTCATATAATTGCCATTTTGCAGTTGAGGATATACATTTAACAATGCTTTACACAGTGTAATGGGTAAATGCTTTAACTAGTGTGATTAGGAAACTGTGGAGGCAGAATGCAAGCCCAGATTTGTCACTTCTTAGGTATATCCATCCCTAATCCTTTCTGCTTGTTATCTTAACTCAAACAGTGCTGCCTTTCCCCACAACTTCTTATTATCTTTCTATATGTCCACTCAATTTACTGGCATATTTACTTTACATATCAATGCGTCAATACAATCAATTCCATACACGCACATTTCAATAACTCATTCTGGTAGCTCATGTAGAAAGAACTAATGATAGGCCTGGTCAAAGATCAATTTTTAAATTATAAGATGATCTATATCAAAACCCAAACAGTGTTGGATGATTCTAAGTAGCAGCTTACTATCTTTCAGATCTTTTTCTCACCCTATAGAATTGAACATTGTTAATTATTTCTTGTTAATAAACCAGAAAATTCCAGTTAGTAAAGAGATATTACTGCATATAGCTTCATTTATTTAGTAACATGCTTCAGAATTATTTTCATGTGATAATATATACCCATTACATGTGATAGCATGTATGTATTCTCATTACTAATCTTTGATGCTTTTTTTAACTAGTCATTTAATAAAGATTATTACCAACAATGTCACAATATGTCTCTAAGTAAAATCTTACAATGAAACATTTGGACTACTTTCCAAGATGGATTTTTGGGTTAAAGGGTATATTCATTATGTAATTTGATAGATATTGCAAATCTCCAAACATGTGTGGTATTTTATACTAATCATTATGTTCTCTCCTCACAATCTTTAATATTGGGTAATATAAGATTTATAAACTCACCAATCTGATAGGTACAAAAAGGTAAGTAATTTTAATATTAAATACATTAATCAAAATTGAGATTGGCTAATTTTCCTTACTTTTATTTTCACCTGTATTTACTTTTCTGTAAAATTCTAGTTAATATTCCTTTTTATTTTTCTTTTGAGATTATCTCTGTGCGGATAATTGCTTATTGATATGGGTCTAAAACTTTTTTTGTCATTTTCTGCCTATTTGTTTTATTTATGGTATTTTTGAGACCATAGAGACTTCAATTCATATACATACATCTTCCAAATGACGGCATATGGGTTAACAAGAGTCTCAGAAGTTTCCCTACTTTATCATTATGAATAGCCACCTACATACATTTCAGTGGATTTGAGGATTCATTAAATGCTAAAATTGTTAATGCATCTAAGCTATATGTGGGTTGTAAGAAATTAAATAGAGCGCTTCATTTTCTTTCAAAATTAGCAGAACATGACATCTCTACTTTCAGGTAGATAAGCCATAGTTTCATCACCAACTAGAAAAATTGCCTTAATCACTTTCCATTGAAATTCTTTCTATATTTTATATTGTTTTGATCTCTTAGTCTGTAGTTATGATCATGCAGATAATTTTAATGATTGTGCATTAAAAGAGGCATGTTAAACATGTACCTAATTTGTTACCTTTCTTTTAATTATCTTATTATTTATTGTTGTTTTCAAATCATGATACCCATAAATACTTTAGAGATTTCTTAGTTTTTTAATAGCTAAATTTTCTTTTAATTCTCCTGCATAACTATGCTTTCAGGGCAATAATAAATAATAGAAATGGTAGCAAAAACCACTGTTGTACTATGATCTTAAAGTGACTCAGTTTTATGAGTAAATATCATGTCAACTTTTGGGTTGATTTACATTATTTATACTTAAGAGTATTCATATAAAATTTCCAATTTTTAGAAGACCTTTTATTTATGAACTAGTCTAAATTATTTTAGTATTTTAATATTTAAAAATATATACAAATGTTTGGCATGTATATAATTTTTGTTTTTAAAATTTTGGCCTATTTTTGTACTGATAGATTCTTAAAATAATAGTACTTTAAAATTTGTTTAATAATTTTATTTATCTCAGAGTAGTAGTATTATATAGTTTGACTTTTGCATAAAAATTCAAAAAGCTCAAAGCAATATTGTCCTGTGACATTGGTGTTAAGACCCCATGGGAGGTAAGGACAAAAAAGTGAACAGCTGTGAATCAAACACAGCTGGGGATGACGCTTAGTCTTTTTTTTATTATTATTATTTCTTGTTTCCCTCATAGCATTGATCTTTCATATAATGCATTATTATGAAAAAGTTTGGGTTAGCAAGAAAGCTTCATAGCCATTTGAATTTTTCCTTTCCCTAAGTTCAGTGGGGCAATGGATAAACCCACCAGGAAACATGCCTTTATTCTTAAGGAAATGAGAATGGAACCCCACAGTATTCAGTTTCAATTCCTAAAAAGTAGTGTTGAGAAGTTTTAATTTGCTACCTATTTCATTCAGCTTATATATTATCTTGAATGTACTGGTAGGATGTACTCTTATAACAATTTTAGAATTAAAACCTACTGAATAAATGGTTACTAAATGCTTGTGTTCCCTGTGGAATGCAATTTGCCTTTCCAATTCATCATCATATGTGTTGTCCCCAGAGTGAATAAAAAGCTGCTATTTAGAGAAATTGATAAAATGGACAAATGATACTGATCTCTGCATTAAGAGAATCACTACTTCCTGATTGCACAGCAACCTCAACACATATCACACACACACACACCACACACCACACACACCACACACACACACACCACACACACACACAACACACCACTCACACACAGCACACACACCACACACACATACACACACACCACACACACACACCACACAGCACACACACACCGCACACACACACACATCACACCACAGCCACACACACACCACACACACACACCACACACACACCACACACACACACCACACACACATACACACATACACACATACACAGCACACACACACACACCACACACCACACACACACACCACACACCACACACACATACACACATACACACACACACACACACACACACACCACACACCACACACCACACACACACACCACACACCACACACACATACACACATACACACAAAGCACACACACACACCACACACCACACACACACACACACCACACAAATACCATACCACACACACACACACCATACCACACCACACACACGCACACACCACACACCACACACACAAACACACCACACACACACACACACACCACTCACACACACACAAAAACAATTTTGGTACTCAATGGTAGGACATTTAGCATCTTGTTAAGGGAAATCAATGTTAATTACAGTCTAAAATTCTTAATTCTTCTGTTGAGATAATGGAAAGGTGCAAAGCATTAGTACAGACGAAACTAGGCAAATTGAATGATCAGGCTTTGTATATACTGGGCTACCCAAATAAAGATACATTTTTTTTTAAAGAACTGTGCTTTGCCTGTTCATCCTGATCAAAGACAAGACTGCTGATCACATAGCATTATTTAGCTTGTGCTGTGTTTTCTCTTTTTTTCCTGTAGCACGGTGGCTGCAAGCATCAACGCCTTAGCAACAGTGACATTTGAGGATTTTGTGAAGAGCTGCTTTCCACATATTTCTGACAAGAAGAGCACCTGGATCAGTAAAGGCTTATGTAGGTACAGCTGGTGGATACATGTCGTGAAATACATTTGTAGTATGTGCCCGAGCCCTGCGTTTTCCATTCTGGATACATTAATACATAAGCAAATTCAAATGAAGCATTTGAAGATTCAAGTGCAGATTCTTACACTTCCGAAGTTTACCTTACTCTGATCTTACACGGATCCTATTTTTAGGTGCTCATTTGTACTTACCCTGTGCTTTAGATCCATAACATCATCTTCATCTCTTCATTATGTTAATCAACGTATTACTGCTCTTTGACTGAAATTATTTCTGAAAACACATTGAAGTCCATTTAAAAATTTCAAGTAAAAACTGATGTTATTCTACCACATACATAAACATATATTTTAAAAAGTATGATTTTTTAAAAATCACTTAAATTAAGGAGAATAATAGTATGTCTTTTGATTTCATTTTATTTTTATTTATATAGCATTAGAATGTTTGCAGGTGGCAAATAACTGTTTCTGATCATTTGAGTTGATACAGTGCTGGGAAAATCCACAGTGTTTGCTGCAGCCGTGGGGTTTTCTCTTTCTCTCTCTCTCTCCCACCTTAATTGTTTTGTTTGGCAGGCGCCATTATACCCCAACCGTTTATGGCGCACCCTCAGACTTACGACTAAACTCCATCTTCAGTGTTGGTTTTGATTGCACTGATGAGGGTGTACAGATTTAGGAGCAATACAATGAATTGACTCCGTAGTTAGGAAAACAAAAAGCAGGATCTTTGAATTGAGGGTTGTCTGCCTAACTTCTCATTTGAACTGATAAATGTTGGTCCACCTGAGATCTTTAGGGAAAACAGTCAAATTCTAACTACTTTTGTATCCTAAAGTCCCCAATAAGATGCATATTCAAGTCAATTGAATTAGTAGTCATATTTAGTTTGATAAAGCGTACTCAAACAGGATGAAGAGAATCATTTTATCTCCAGTTCTATTACAGTGTCTGTATGTATCTGCAACTCTTTTTCTTCTTGTTTTATTTAGCTTAAAGGGTAATTATCAGAATTCAAAGTATTTATAATATGATTTTTAAACAAAGCACAACAGATTTTTAAAATTTATGTATTTATTTATGTTGGAAAGATAGACATAAAGCGAGACAGAGACACAGAGAGAAAGATCTTCTAGTTGCTGGTTGACTTCCTAACTAGTCGCAATGGCTGGAAGTGAGTTGATCTGAAGCCAGGAACCAGGAGTTTTTTCTGGGTCTCCCATGTGAGTGCAGGGTCCTGAGGCTTGAACCATCCTTTACTGCCTTCCCATGCTACAAGCAGGGACCTGGATGGAAAGTGGAGAAGCCAGGGTATAAACTGGTGCCCATATGGGATCCTGGCAGGTGCAAGGCAAGGATTTAGCAGAAGCTTCTTGTCTGGGCCCAAATTTTTAAATGATTATTTAAGAACAGACATCTTGCATGGTTGATTAGATTTTGAGGATGCTCACATCCACTACTGGAGTACCTGCTGCAGGTCCTGGATGTGTTCTCAATTTCAACATGTACCCTGAAAGGCCACATATGATGGTTTATGCACTTGACTCTTAGGCATGACTGGGATTGAGCATCTGATTCCTGGCTTTGCCTGACCCAGCTTTGAATACATTTTGCCTCTGAAATTCAGGAGCAAAAACCCTTGAGGATATATTCCAATTCGGTCTGTATATTGTAAAAAGCATGAACTTGGTAGCCAAGTTGCCTGTATGGCTCATCACACCCCTGCATGTGGTCTGTGATGACTAAACAATGGATGCCTTCAGGTAGAGGCTGCATCAGAAACATCTCTAGGTGGGAGCTCAATGAATGCCTTGGGATCCAGGATCTTCCAAAGAAATGGTCGGGCATTGTTTTTTTTTTCTTCTTTCTTCAGGTATCTTGTTTGGTGTAATATGTACCTCCATGGCTGTGGCTGCATCCCTCATGGGGGGTGTTGTGCAGGTAAGGAAAGAGGAGAAAGAATATCATTGATGTTATAGCAACTTTCTTCCCACTCTGTTTTCTGGTGATGATTAGTGCTTAACATGCCAACCTCCACAAGTACCGTAAGTAATATAAATAATGTAAGACAATGTAAAATTTCCACCAAATTATTTTTACAAGGGAGAACTATTAAAATGAATAAGACACAGTGATAACATACACTGAAATAATTTGGAAACATTTTAAAATCTGGATCATAGCATGTATGAACCTGAAATGGGAGTAATAATAACAATCATAATAGTAAAGGCAATAACAGCACTTATTTTATTCTAGATGCAAATGTGTGCTTATTACCATATTGAGGTTTCAGAAGTTCTCTAAGAGACTTTATAATATAGGTATTTAATTCTATAGGTAATCACAGATGAATGAAAATGTGTTCTAGTCCACAGAGCATGTCAATAGCAGAGCCAGATTTATTAACTAAATCTTTTGAGCTACATATGCCAACGTCCCAAATTGTCCAACTCGCAAAACAGTATCATATATGCAAATCATCAGATTCTGGTTCAACTATCTCAAGCACTTATGGATCTAATACAAAATTAAGCAATAGTGATTGAATTTTAGCTACTAAGTTTTGAATGCTTTCTAATTCACTAAGGGGTTTACCTTTGTTGATTTTTTCAATAACTAATTACATTAGTTTCATACTTTCCATTTCAACATTCTAGTATCACACGACCGTTTACTTGTCTAAATAAAATAGCTTGTGGGGCTAGAGACCAAGTAGTTTATCTAATAAGCCATGCACAAATTGCTTTATTCCAGCTACATGATAATCTCTAAGATTTGAAGCTCTTCTATTTCTAGGCATCCTGTTTACTCAGCAAGGATTCGGTTAGTGTAGCTTTTCTTCAGTGACCTTCAGCACGTTTAGGAGGTTTATTATGTTTGTTTTTTCCCATTTATGGAACTTATACTTCCAAGTTGTCTCTGGTTACCCTCAATTCCACTGTTTTGTCTTCTGTGCTAAAATCAGCATTTACTCTTGAGCATTTTCTCTTAAGTGTCATATCCAATTCAGTGATAATTGAAATTATTGCATTATCTCTTTTCAGATATCTGTACATGTCAGGCCCCTTTGGAATTGATGTGTGCAGGGCCTGGACAGACTAAGGCTCCAGCACAGGCTGGTGGGACCCACACGCTGGTACTTGGAGGGAGCTGATCATCTGCTTGTACTAGATGAGGAAACTGGGCCCAGTTTCTTTGGTGTTTAAAATATGTGCCACACAGTTGATACAGTTTAGGAGGTGCTAATAGGCAGGATATAAAAACCCTGATACTCTGTTTCCTAGGAGAGACATTTGTCTCTAAGGAGGCACACTCATTTTTGTGAATATATCTGTTTTTGACAGGCACAGAAAACCAAATATGAGATCACATAATTTAAAGAATTAAAGTGTAGCGAGGTAGTAGTGTGAGGGAAGACTGATAAGCAAGTAGGACTTCCAGTACTTATTTTGAAAAATGTCATTCTATTCAATATGTTATAGTCCAATAGAATATCATTTAATTCTGCAAAAGGCTGTATGACATCTGGGCATTATTTATTTATTTACTTATTTATTTATTTGAAAGAGAGTGCAGATATCTCGCATCCACTGGCTCACTGTTCAACGCCCCTCGGCAGGTAAGGCTGGGCTGTGTGGAAGAGACTGAAAATATATTCCATGCCTCTCAAGTGAGTGACAGATAGTTGGTTCTCTGACTTGCCATCTGTTGTCTCCCAAGATGTACTGGAATGAACTCAATTACTCAAATATGGAAATAGACATCCCAAGCAGCTTCATAACTGCTAGGTCAAACACCTTTCTTCAGGCTCATCTCTATCTCAAAAAAAATACTTTCAAAGGTCTGGAACTATGCACCACTGGGCTTAGCTACCACCTAGCAGAATGGCATCCCATATGAGCCTGGTTCTAACTATGTCTATCCCACTTCTATTCTTGCTCTGTGATAATGCACCTGAGGAAGCAGCAGCTGATGGTCTAAGTAATTGGGCCCCTGTCATTCACTTGGTATCCCCAGATGTCGTTCCAGGGTTTTGATCCAGCCTGTCCCAGCCCTAGTGTTTGGCAGCCATTTGGGGAGTGAAGCAGTGGATATAATAAACTCTGTCTCTTTCTCTTTTTTTTCTATGACTTTGCCTTTCAAACAAACAGAGAAGTAGTTTAAAAATTTTAAAAAATACTCTTAAAGCTCCAAACTGTCTAATGTTCAAGACTTTGTTCAGGAATAAGGGTAAGCAATACCAATTGAAAGAAGATAATAGTGGATGTGGAAAGTTGGCTTCTGAACCAGCTCCTCCTGATGCATCCTGGAAAGTAATAGATTATAGCTCAAGCATGTTGCTCCTGACCCTCAGGAGGGAGAGCTGGATAGAATTCCTGGCTCTTAGCTTTGACATGGCCTGCTCCTGGCTGTTGAGACAGTTGGGGAATGAACCAGCAGATGGAAAATCTCTGTGTTCCTCTGCCTTTCAAGTAGCATAGGGAAATAAATATTTTTTTAAAAAAAAAACAGAAGATAATAATGATAGTACTTGATGTTAAGGGATGCCATAGTACACACACCTAATTCTGAAGTATCTTGTGGATTTCATACTGAGTATCCAACAATGAAGATAGTAAAAAAAAAAAAAAAGAGTAAGTAGGTACACAGATACCTCACTTGACAAATGAAAAGATTAAAATACATAACAGGGTTCAGTATTTTGTCCAAGTCCAGAAACACTCTCAGTCTCATCGTACATGTCCGTAGTCCGTACATGTCCCTGTGCGTGTGGGAATGGTTCAGATTTCATATGAACTCTGAGTAGGAGGCTGAGTTATGAGTTTTAAGGTTTCTTCCAACTACACATGGTCAATAACAACTAAAGACTAAAGGTAACAATGGATATTAGTTTGGTTTTATACACAACAAACTACATATATGTATGTATATACATTCATACAGAGACTCTAACTATTTTTTCCATTCCATCAAATGAAGGTCCTATTTTCTGAAGCCTATTAATAATGACTTTCTAGGACATTGTTAATTTTGTTGCTAAAAGGAGAGATAAATAAAAACACTGTCTTATTGGCTGTCCTATACAATAGTTGGCAAATTAGCTTCCCAAAATGGCAACCATATAAACTGTGATTTAGTACTGTTAATCAATGAAAGACATTTAAATAATATTAAATTTAATCAAATATTGATGTGGGGGAATGAAGAAGGATGCCTTTAATCATTTACTTTTATCTTGTGAAAAGTGTATTGGGCCTATTGATCTCCCTGAAGATTAAACAGGAAAAAGAATTGTAATAGTACAATTTAATATCATTCAGGACAAAGGAATTTTAATACAGCTAGAAAGAACTTCAGGGACCCTTGGCGCTATGTCTTTATTTTTAATATAGTAGAAGTAAAATTCTCTGAATAAAGGTGTTGATAACAGTACATTATCGGAATACTACTGAATGGCAGGGTTATAATTACACATTCAGATTCTGGATACTGACTAATAAACGACTCTCTAAAACCTCTTTCATTATATGGGAAAGAAGAAAGCCATCAGGGTTCCATGACGAAGACTTCATTTTCTAAAGAATGACTTTCAGAGACAAAATGCAAGTTTTGGAGACAGGAAAACCTGCATTTATACCACAATTTCTCACTTTCTAAATACAAATAAGTAATATAATTTGTCAGCCTTGTTTTCTCATCTATGGGTCTCATTTAATTTTATCTATCACATTGTAATTGTGAGAATTAAATGAAATCATTTGAGGTTCCTGGATAGCTCTGCTCCATGGATAGTGTCTGACCAGTATGAAACATATGTTAGATCTTTATAGTATTTCAACATTAGTTCCTTGATGTGAAAGGCCTAGAATTGTATTGATGAGAGGACACAGGACTACATGAGAGTGGGTTTGTGTTTGTAACACATTCACACAGGCACATGCTTACTTGTGCGCATGTCAGAGCATTTGTAGTTTCAATACATTTGCAAGTCCCTGAGCCAGGCTTTAGGTTTGCAGCAAATTAGTTTGATGATTGCTAATTCACTACACTCAAAACATTTATAAACTGAGAAATATGGAAATGCATTGATAAGACATAATATGGGACATAATATGGGAGAAAGAAAAATGGGATATGAAGTGTCTAGTGACTTCTCTATAATGCCTTAACTTAGTGCTTCAATACTCTGTAAGTAGGGTTGGTGGAATGGGGTAAGGAGACAGCGAAAAACACAATTATTATGAAAATGACAGAATTGTTCAAACCATAGTAGAACAATTCATTAGCCGTTTAAATATAAATCATAAGTTATACTTGAGTTACATTATGCACAAGTTTGTGACAGAAAAAGAAAATATGAATCAGTGAGTTTCAGATTGAGAAAAAGATGTTTCAACCAAATCTAAGTCAAATTACCTTTGTTTCAGTGCATATATTCACGCACCACACACACACACACTTATATACACACATGCAAGAGTTCACAGAAAACAAAATCTAAAAACCTTATGTCACAGATTTTTAAATTCATAAATAATTCTTTCAAAATGTGCATGAACTTTATGAAGGCTACTACCTAAGTTCAGTCCAAGTCAAAGAGAGTGGCAATACCAAGTAGATCATGGGTGCAGTGGAGAAAAAAGATTGCATTTGTTGTGTTTTGTCTTACAGGCTGCCCTCAGCATCCTTGGTATGTGTGGTGGACCGATGTTGGGTTTGTTCTCTCTGGGCCTCATGTTTCCTTTTGTGAACTGGAAGGTAAGCATCTCACACCCATCCACATTCTCAGCTAACACTGGGCTGCAGCTATAATTTTCCTCCTCTGGATCCTGTTGTGGAAAGGCTACGTGTCTGCCAGGAAATGAATCTATTTCATTCATCAGGAAAAGAATCCAAAACAGAATTAAACAGGACCTTAGCCCTCTAATCTATGACCTCAATGAGTAATTTTTGCAACATAAAACAAACAATTGAAATAGTGGTCATGAACACCCATATACCATGGAACCAGGCTGGCTCTATATTAAATTTAAATGTAATGCATTCCATATATTACTGGCCCACAAAATAATTATACAAAAAGATACTGAATTCAGAAATAGTTCAGATAAAGTATAATTTTAAAAGCATAAATAGAAACACATAAATTTAATTTTTCTATATGATTTTGACACACAAAAATTATAACTAAGTATATTAGGGAGTTGATTTACACATAAGAGTTTGTGAAAGTATTACAATCTTTGTTTTTACTCAGGAAAATCAATTTGTTTTCAGATAAAGGCTAGTAAAGAATATAAGTTTGAATCACTGCTTCCCTTGTCATTTACCAGGCTTCTTCTATGCAGACTATGCATACAATCTCTGAACCTTGCTAAACACAATTCCCTATGCAACTACCATCTCTTATCCAGGGTTGACGCTCTGACTGAAATCTCCATGCCCTTTGGCTGGTAGGCTAAGGGTCCACAAACTGTAGATCTCAAATCAGAACTAGCTGGCTTCTGGTTTTGGGCACAGGCTACAAATCCAAAAATGTATTGGTCATTTTTAAATAGTTGGAAAAAAAATCAAAAGCCTAGTCTTTCATGACACATGAATACCATTTCAAATTCAAATTCAAATTCCAGTGCTCACTAATACAGTTTTACTGAAACAACTCCAGACTCTTGTTTGGGTATTGTCCAGAGCTTTTTTTAAGCAACAGTAACATGGTGATGGTGACAGAATTTACAAAGCCAAAACTGTTTACTATGTGACAGTTCACAACAAAAGTTTGCAGACTTTTAGTTTAGACCTAGGCCCAGGCATTTGAGTCACACACATTACTTTACGTTCCTGAACAATAACGGAGAAAATGTTCTGGACATTCTATCAAACACTTTTTTCTACATAAACAGAGAAGACAATAAGTTGCTTTTCTTATCAAAATGATTCAGCCGTTTAGCAGAGACCAAAAGCATGAAATGCTGTTTTCCAGTAATTCAGGCTGCTCTGTCTTCTTTGCAGGAGGAATGACTTACGACTTTCTTGCTGTTTGTAAAGAAAGATTACAATGGAATGAGAACAAAAACAAATCAGTTTCCAATATATAAGTTCAGATGGAAAACTGCAAAACTTAGGAGTCAGGGACTCTGCCAGAATCATTTGAGAAGAGACTGGGAGTAAAAATTTCTTTGCAATAGTTGCCTATGAAAAATGATCTCATTGTCTCCGTTACATAGTTTCTTTTACTTCTGAAATTCTTCTGTTGGGAATTGAGCTTTCAAAAGCTTTATAAGTAATAAGTAGAGGAGACAAAGGGGAGAAAATAATTTTTTTCTTGAAAAATAAATAAAATGATCACTGAAATTTTTCAAAGCCTTTATTTCAGAAACAAGTTACTCCTAAATAAAAGAACACTGTGTGAGTTGAAATGATGGCAACTGGGCCCTATCCAATTCATGCAGACAATATTGTGGTGGAAATTCAGAGTCTCATAAGCATAGGGCACCATCTCCTTATTCTCTCAAAAGTTAGGTTTATCAAATCTCTCACTAATGTTTGCCTTCTTTGATCAAGGGTGCCCTAGGTGGTCTTCTTACTGGAATCACCTTGTCATTTTGGGTGACCATAGGGGCCTTTGTCTACCCTGCACCAGCCTCTAAGACATGGCCCTTACATTTATCAACAGAACAGTGTGATCATTCAAATATGACAACAACAACACCTCCAGTAACAGTAACCAGGTATGTTAATTTTAAAGTTGGTGTTAAGTTTCAGAGAGTTGAACTATTAGAGGCAGGTGATATCTTTGGGAGTGTGCCTAAAAAAACAAACCTTGCCTTCCTGTGAGAATCACTCTGGGTAGCTCCCACCCTGGAATGCCACCCAGGGCGCCAGTTTCTGTATGTATTCATGCCTCTGTGCTCAGATGTTTAAAATGAATTCAGTAGAAGAGTTGTTGGAGGCATGTGCAAAGCAGAAAAAAAAAAACTGTGCAGAGCTGTAAATGTGTGGGAGGCACAAGGGAATAATTCCTTTGAAAGAATAGAGAATCTGAGCTAAACAGGTTTGTGAACAATGAACAGAATAATTATGGATACTGTGAATCAACAGCTCTGCTGTGAACTGGCTTTGAAATCAAGTACAGAAATATAGATTTTAACAAAGGAGCCTGTTTCTTTTCAGTTTCTGGCAAGTATAACATTGTAAGATTTCTAGTGTGGGAAGAAAATTATAGAATTTCAAATGTGGCTTTGGAGTGTTCTTTTTTTACTACTTATGCCAAGTGGCACTTTGTGCATATATATTTTAAATGTATATATTTAGATATCATGCATATTTATATTTACATGCATATATAATTGTACTACATTTACAAATTTCTTCTTCACATTCTCATTGAGTTTGGGGAAAAGTCTAGCAGATGCATGGTTTGTTGGCTTTGTATTCAGAGAAGTGTCTTAGTTTGGGACAGACCCAATCATACTCATTAACACTTCCCTGCACTGGCACGTCTCCTTTGGGTTCTTCTTTCTAAAATTGGCTAATATTTATCTATTTATAGTGTCCAGTCTGTTACAGTGTCTCATTCCATCTGTGCTTATTATCTTCAGTTTTTGGAATGCTAAACCTGACTGTGGCATATCTTTAATTTACTACCAATCTTTCCTTAAAATAGTGGTATTTGTCATTTTGTGATGAATTGGCTTGAGGAGAATATAAAGCACAATTGGTTTATTATTGATTTTTTTTGGGGGGGGGAAGAACTGAATGAAGAAAATTTAGCTTTGGGGTTTTGAGAGGTGCTCAGCCCTCAAGCTGGGCCTTGAGCAGTAACTGTGGATCATAACCTCGGATAATGTGCAAACAGTGACGTTTACTCTTGTTCCTTACAGGCCTATGCTAGCTGACACCTGGTACTCACTCTCGTACCTTTACTTCAGTGCAGTTGGCTGGCTGGCATGCGTTCTTGCTGGAATAATAATCAGCTTCATCACAGGTTGGTTTTGCATGTTTCTGTCTTGGGAAGCTAAGAAATTATGAGCTAGTGAATTACATGGCTATCTTCTTGGTTTGATTTTAAATGTACTGCAAAAAGTGTTCTTCCTAGAAATATCTACCGCACTAAGCTGACATGCAAAAACATTCATCTGATTATTATACATCTGATTATGTATATATATATGTGAACTGTATATACATACATATATAGCATCAGTTAAAATTTAAAAAATGTTTTAACATATGATCCTCACATGAAAAATTATTTGTTGCAGAATAGTGCAGAAGGAATGTAAAATATTAGAAGTGGACTTTCCTCCATTCATCTCAGTAAAAGACTGATATTTTTTCCTTACTTGGCATCTTAAAGGACCATTCTTTGCTAATGTTCTAGATAAGTCAGAGTATGGTTTTTATCCATGTTGTCCTTTGCAGACCAGTCATCTAGACTTCCAGCAAAACTGCTCTACAGTGAGCAGTTTTACTGGAAGCCAATTTGAGTACCTGTATTTACCATGTGTAGCATCAGATGTTTCAATGTATTTGTGTGAGAGTGTTAAAAACCACCTATGATTGGTGATGGAACTGTGGAAAACGGGAGAGAACGACAAACAATAAGCCCACAGTGCTCTTATTCTTCTGCCTCTTTGGAGCACCTGTATGGATTGAATAGACTACTAAGCTACTCTGTTTTTCTACTTTAGTTACGTACCCCTAACATGTATGGTCAATATGCCTACCATCACAGAATATGAATGACATTTCTGGTTAATCGAAAACACAATGCATAACCTCCAGTGCTTTACTAATCTGGACCTTCTATAACTAGTCACTCATTTACATCTGAGAGCATCTTGGATGTGGTAATGAACTTATCTAGCCTTATTCTTTAATGCAAAACTTCTTTCAAATTTTATGTAAATGATTTTCAATGGAAAGTTTTTCATTTTATTTAGCTTTCCCATCAGTATTCTGACAACTGTGGACATCTCCTTGGTGCTAATGGAAAACAATTACAGATATCAGTCAAATTGTCAATCATCACTTAGTAGAGAGCCAATGTTTAAACTGTTTGATTCCAATGTATTATGTGCACACTGCATACTATGGCTTGCTAGTCCATATATTTTCCAGATGTGCATCAGAATTGACATACTCTTGCGTTAATGTTTTATTTGGATTTAAACTTCTTTGCCAACCTCTGTATGAACAATGGTGTTTACATCACTGAGCTTTCTTTCCTCCAAATGTCACAGTCTCAGTGAATTTCTTTAAAGTGCCAAGGTCTATTACAGTGTCGTTATACCACAAAGCTCCAGAAAAAATATTGAACCCGGTCTTTTCTGCTGGTGACTGTCTAAATTGAGGTCCCAGTGCTAACCTGAAATCACAAATCTGGTGACTAAAGGACTCTCAAAAATATTTAATCATACTTATTAGCAGTTTTTTTTTTAACATTGAAATGTGTTTGCAGGATAAAGTAGGGGAAGGCAGAGAGAGGCCTTGTGTGATCCAGTGCTCCTTGTGTCATATTTCATTTTAATCTTGCTTGGTCTTAACAAGTTATGAATTCAATTGTGATTCTTCCAGATAATCAAGCAGTTCAAATGTTTGCTCTTTGTTTTACGACAAACGTTGACAAATGGAAATGTGCTACGTAGGTTACAGTTAATTGATAGCATTAATCATTCTGTGTATTGCTGATAAACATAATCTTGGTGTAAGATACCCTTTCAACTCTTCGCTGGTAAAATTCAAATTTCATTGGGCCTCTGAACTTTATTCTTTTTCCTTTATCTTTTTTAGGTGTGTATAATAAAGGGTTATTATCCAAATTAACAACAAATATCACTGTTGATTTGTCAACTGGCTGGAACATTTTGTTTTAACAGTAGTATTGACAGACTTATTAATCTTTGTTTTCCAGAGAAGAGTGTTCGCTGCTCATTGAATCTTGCCACATTGTTCGCTTTCTGATACTGGCCACAGATCTCAAATGCAAAGATTTTAGTTTTCCTTGCATTACTTTCATTACTCTTGATTTTCTTGGCTCAATAAACCAAAAGCAATATCTGATCTTTCCTGCTTCCACTTGTTTTTGTGAATAAAGTTTTGTTTTTTAGAAATACAATATAACCTTTCATTGTCTGCGGCCTATGCCTGATTGCACTACACAAAGATGGAATTGAGCAGTTGCAACAAAATTCCTAATACATAGTTATTATATAGTCATTATTAAGAAAAAAATCAACTACTTAGGATACAAAAGATAACATCTTGCCAGGGAAATTTATTATTTTATTTTCTAGATTTTCAAAATTGTATAGTGCTATATGATGATCTGATTGTATGTCTGTATTCCAATTTTCAATTTGCTGCCATTTTGATACCTAATTATGATTATCCTCATTTCAGTTCTGTCTCCAGAGCTTCTCTCTGGTAATACATTCACATTTTCTGTCTGTTTGTCTGTCTGTCTCTCGCTCTCACACAAACACACTTTTCCCTTTGTTGAAACACCATGGATAATCTGTTTTATCCCTCAATTTTTGTAGAACTCTATTTAATGCTTTATGCTTTTTTCCTTGCTTTCTTGCCTTGCAACGCAGGTTGCTGTCTTACGGACAATACTTTTGTATAGTTTCTGGGAGCTTATGCCTTGCACAAAGATGCTGAGCCAAATAAGAAGCAAAGGATAGGCTCCAGTTGTACTCCATTCATACTCTCATTACCATGGCAAACTGCTTCTGCTCAAAGGAAAGGAAACCTTCACTGAAAATTGTAGTAAAACTAGTGACATTTTGTTTTTAAGCCTAAGCTTTTCTTTTTATTTAAGAAAAACTCATTCATCTGTAGAAAACAAAACCATCTTTAGATTTTTCTGTCTCACTTATTATGTCCTTACTCCTGTGGTTTCTTCGCATATCTGGTTTCAGTGAGGCTTGTCAATAGGCCATAAATGCCCAATATCCAAGGCCATGCTCATGAAAGAAACTACAAAGCACTACTGAGGGAAAATACAAACTTTCCAGTTTGAGTTTTGCTTTTTGTTTTAATCCTCCTACTTAGGAAAACTGATGTCTTATACCTTGCTTGTTTTCCATTATTTTTCAAAGGTGTTTATTTTCCCAGTGGGAAATGAAATCTAAATCTATGTTCCTGTTCACCAATCTCATCTTATGCCTTTATCCACATCTTTCAAATCACAGTCACCCTTAGATTGAAATTTGGAGCTTTACAACTCTCCTTCCACCACCCACAGTGCTGAAATTAGAGCAGAGTGGTGTAGACTGCAAGATCACATATGCTTGTTTTCTTGCTTCATCATTTACTAGATCTTAGTAACGATTCCCATCTCTATGGGTTGAACAATACTTACATCATTAGAAACATTTAGGAAAAGGCACTTACTAAGTAGAGGTGTTCCATGTTTGAAAAATAGTTATAGTTAATAGTAGTAAAATGCTATTTGATTAAATTTTTTATTGATATGAAGATGGGTTATACAATGTCAAGCATTAATCTGGAATTTTAGGAATCCGTACAAACACACAAACACACACCCACGCTCACACCTATAGAAAGATATTTAGTTAAAAGCTTTTGAACTAGCACAGTGTGTGGCACACAGGGGTAACTAGATCATTATATCTAAATACTAATTTTTCATTGCCCTTTACAGACTCTTAAACTAAAACTGAACTGGCTACCAAACTGAAGGCTATCCCTGGGAGCATTGGATATTAATGCAGAGCTGTCATGGCTATAATATCTGCAAAGATTTTTATAGTTGGAAGACTAACAGCCTTAGATTTGTGATTTGGATATTGATGCTACTGTTTTTCCACAGCATGATTTAAACAACTGGGGCATCAACTAAATATGCTTCAAGGATAGGAAAGGGGACCCAGAACAATGAATCATTGGCTAAATCTTCACCTTGCATGTACCAGAATTCCAAAAGGGCACCGGTTCATGTTCTGGCTACTTGGCTTTGCCTCCAGCTCCTTGCTTGTGGCCTGGGAAAAGAGTAGAGGATGGCTCAAAGTCTTGGGACCCTGCACCTGCAGGGGAGGCCTGAAAGAAGCTCCTGGCTTCTAGCTTCAGATTAGCTCAGCTCTGGCCTTGAAGGCCATTTGGGGAGTGAACCTGCAGGCAGAAGATTTTTCTGTCTCTCCTTCTCCCTGTAAATCTGCATTTCCAGTAAAAATAAGTATATCATAATATATAATAATAAAGTGAAAGATAGGAAAGGTAGGTGTGAGGAAAGTGAAAAGTAAATGAGGGAATGTGATAGCGCTGCTTATCCAGGATATTAAGGGACAAGAGAAAATAAATAATAAAAGATTGTTTTCAATTTTACAAAATATTACTTTCGACGATTTCTGACATAGCTCTGGATTTGGATAAAATAAATGAGCCTTCTTAAACAAGGTTGTTATAAATGCCTGTTATCCTTTTTTATCCTTCAAAGGGTATTAATAGTTTTAATATTATTTAAAATTGTTTATCCTGTCTTTGTTTAACTCTATAGCAATGAGTTTGTCTAAACTGGCAATTAATGGATGTTTAAAAATTAACCCCTGCTCCCTTCAGGAGTTAAGTATTTTCTGCTTATTAAAGTTGTTTTTCACCCCAGTATTGAGAAATAATTTACTTATTGAGTTTACAACACAGAAATCTTTAAATGAAGTGTGCAACTAACTAATCCAGCTTTCCCTTTCTTAATAGGTCCCCAAAAAGGCAAGGATATACAACCACAGTTAATTAGACCAGTTTGCAATTTATTTTGCTTCTGGTCTGAGAAATACAAGAGGGTATGTTGGTGTGGAGTTCAGCATGACAGTGAGACACAACATGTGAGTAGATGTTTGAGCTTCTGAAAGCAACGTGTTGGCCTGAGATTCTTGTTTTGCCAGTTTAATCCACTTGCAAAGTTGGACCTGTGGAGGGAAAGCAATGGATTTTAGAACCTGCAATTGAGTTTCAACTTAAGTTACTTCAGCTGATTATCTCTTAAATACATAAATGTGTTGATAGACAAACATGAGTTACTTACAAGTATTCAATATCCAAAATTCCTTCTAATTCCAGTGAGGGTGAATAATAGGAAGATTACAAACCTGGACAACAGAAAAAGACTCAAATATGGGGCACAAAATCATGCGGTGCTTATAAGCACAGGCTTTAGAGAGAGCTCGAGGTTAAATCACAGTTCTATGTTTTACTTCCTTTTGGTAAGTTATTTAATGTCTGTGGGCTTCAGATTTCTTATCAGAGAAACTAAGTGTGGGATTAAGCATAGTATTACAGACATAACATTTCAAGTTCCATGAAATTTGAATTAAAAATAAGCTTTACTAGGGATAGGGGTTGATAGTTGGAGAGACAAAAGGTATATGGAACATTCTCAGATCCTGATGCTCAGTGTGTCAGATAGCGCTCAGGACACCATCCAAGTACTATTAGCTCATCAGCCAAAGTCCACTACAGGCAGCTAGTGATTAGTCAAATGTTATCAAACTACTGATTGCAGTAATCAAATTTAACTGTTCCAGAGGAACCCGGGGTTGCCACTGTTTAAAGAGACTGTGACTGCCTAGGGATGGATTTTAAAGGAAGGACTCAAAGGAAACTTATAAAGGAAAATAAAGCTACATGGGTCGGCCTTTGCAATAGGAGTTATGGCATTTGATGGTGGTAGGACCTTTGGAAGGAGCCTGTCATTAAGTTTGCATCTTAACATGTTAATTTACGGCAGAGTTTTCTTTATTTTTTTTTTTTTAGTTTTATTTTAAGATTATTTTCACTCATGTGATAATAAACATTTTATCTTTTTAGGGCTCTAACAGAATAACTCCTAATCTATATCATATTAGATATTTCTGAGTTGCTAATTGCTCTCTTTCCTAGGAAAACATCATGATAGCAAGTACAAGAGGTCTTCAAAATGTCCACAGTGAATATATACTACAAGAAATTATGATTGACTTCATTTTTATTCCCAAATAAGCTTGTCTTTAGTTTTAGTTTTACATGAAATTTTAAAGTTAAGTCGTATGTGATGTGGGGCTGTCCTTAAGGTTACAATCTAAGAAATCATCACTTTGGTAGAGTTCAGAATGGATGGGATAAAGTGCAGCATCTTGGGTCAGGGTTGTTTGCAATGTCCATTCGAAGGAGAAAGCTAAGGATAGTGAAGTCCAACAAAACAGTCTTACTAACACACATTTTTCATTTTATTCAGGAGAACGTTGAGAGTGGCAGTGACTGGAAACAAGGGGTTGAATCTGCTTTACAGAATGGACTCAGTGGAGAAAGCGTGGCTCATGTTCCAGGATACGATCCGAAGGACAAAAGTTACAACAATATGGGATTTGAGAAAGTTACTCATTTCTAGGATGATGTGTATGAGCCTGCCAGTGCAGGCACACAACACTCCACATTCTCCTGGGCTGTTGGTAGCTGACATGTGTAACAATCATTGGTAGAAGAGAGATTTCTGAGGGTTATTTATACTTATTTATGGCTACAAATCATATTCCTCAGTGCTATGAGCACCACCACCCCACAACTATCATCTTTACATCTACCAGTTAGTCCTGCTTCTAAAGATGCTATGATAAAGCTTAAAATTTAAACTGTTGAGCACAGGAAAGATTGGGTCTGGTTAGCATGAGAAACCATAAAAAGTGATCCTATTGTTTGTCCATACAATGCTTTTTCCTTTCTATTTCCTTACAGTTTAAAAGGAACTGGGTACCACAGAAAGGCTGGAGCCTTTTATTAAGGCAAGGTAAAGTGGAAAGCAATGTCCTATAGAAAAAATGCGAGAAAAGCATTGTGTGAAAAAACATTGCAAATGGTTTAGGAGACTGGAAAAGATTTCATGGGTCTCTAGTTAGAAACACGTGGTCCATGGAGCTTATATATTCTACCCATTAGGTCAAACATAAACTCAGCAAAATTAAACTACAAGGACAAATACAAGAATTTTAATGGCTTAACTCAACAGCATTTTTAAAGGTCTAGGGGACTAAATGTTCAAAGCAAAGGTGAGATGACAAACTGGGAGTTTTTTTTTTGAAAAATAGAAGAAATATATTCTGTAAAGATTAGTGCCACTAGGGCCCTATCAGGAAAGATAATATAGGAAGCAAACCAAAGCCTTATAAGCAGGCGTAGTAGCATAAATATCAGATATTTATTATGGTAGGGAGCCAACTGCAGGACCTAGAAATGGCATATCATAAAAGTAGGGAAAAAATGTTCTAAGTAGGCAGAGAGAGTGTTCCTAAGATTATCTTATTACAAATAAACTAGAAGTAGAAAGTGTTAAAAACACCAGAGGTAGATACTAATATTATTAGAGAGAGTGAAAGATTTGGATTACTGTCTAAAAAGAGAGATGAGAAAAATAGCATTTGGGAAGGTAGACTAAAATAAAAAGGCCATTTTGTGGAAAATACCTGAAAATGAAAAAGAGACAAAATTTCTGGAAACATTTTCTGATGTCCAACAATGCTAATGAAACTCTTGGTCTAAGAATATGCAAATTGGGAGTTGGAAATGGTTTTCTCAATAGTTTGGCAGATAGGGTACTATGTTTAGATATACATGCATTGTACATAAAAATATACATTTTAAATTATATTCATAAGAACATACATTGAAAGCTGGTCCAAATTTCATTGGCAATACTTAATAACTCATGATAGAGAAGGGAAGACAAATAACGAAATGGGAATTAAAATTAGCAAGAAAGCAGTATATGCTTGCTGTATCTATCTATCTTCTTGTATATGGAATTAAATTTGGAAACTAATAATAGTTATGATTATATGATTATTTTCTTTCTCTAGCTGTGTCACTTTAGCTACCTGAAGATGAAACATAATACAAAGCAAAATGATGTAATGGAGAAAAATCACTATAAAATTATGTTTTAATGTTTAAATATAAATGTATGTGCATATAGCATGTATATATATATATGACTTAAATTGACTTCAGTATTATGAACTTTCACTTCAAATGACATGAAAACAAAATATACCATGCACATATTTAGAAGGTCATGATTTTTCCTAAGCAGAGTTCTTTAAGGTCTGAGTTCTACTGGAATTGTTACTAAAGGCACTAAGTGCCATACAATGGGAAGACACTATTATCATTACTCTTCTGTTCAACAACAATTCTGACTTCTTTTGCATGTTGAAATCATTGATATTAAAAGACAATATTTGAAGAGTTTTAAGAGATATAGCTAGGGTCCTCTTTCATTCTTCCTATTAGAAAAAAACATACAAAAATATAAGGCTTCAGATAAAGGAAAGTATACAAAAATACATCTTTCACTGCAATATTCATTGTGCAGTATGTAAACCAAGACTGACAAGTGCAGAGTCAATGGATTCAGCTGAAGTATTGCTCACCTATCTTCATCTTTCCCTAGAAATATCACCTGGGAGTTGTGCCAAGTCCCATCCACGGAAATAGATTAGGTGTGCGGATGTGATCTGCATTGTGGTAGAATGGATCGAGCCACTCTGGTGCTTGCTTTGAGTCCTGGCTGCTCCATTTTTGATTTAATTCTCTGTTTACATGACTTAAAAATGTTGGAAGATGTCCCAAGTACTTGGGCCCCTACATTCAAGTAGGAGAAATGGAGGGAAGCTCCGGGCTGCTGGCCTCAGACTGGCACAGCGATGGTCCTTACAGCCGTTTGGAGAACCAGCAAATGGAATATCTCTCTGTTTTTCTCCCTCTTCCTCTGTATACATCTGCCCTTAAGTAAGTAAACAAGTAAGTAAGTAAGTAAACAAGTAAGTAAATCTTCCAAAAACAAAAAGTTTGAATCTATTTCCAAAGGACCAGAGATGTTCTCAACAAACGATGCAATGAATAATGAATTCCTAGGATAGCCCCAAGTGTGTTAAATTCAATGTTGGTCTCCATGCCTTATAAATGCAATCACAGATACTACTTAGAATAGAACAGAGTTACTCTAACCTCTATTTTACCTATCTTGATACATTATTTTAATGAATGCTATACTCCTTGTCAACCATTTCAAGCAAAATTATAGCTCATTGATTGAGCTTGGATTGGGGTTCGAGGGCCTAGGTTCAATCACAAGTTCTAAAAAAATTGTCCTAAAAAAGTTGAGGCAATACTTTTTAAAACTTCACTCACCAAACAAATGATGTTCCTAAGTCACAGGGTTATTGTGGAGAGCTAAAATCATATAAAGTGTTCAGAATGGTGCCCAGCAAATATGCAAAACTCATAATTGAATGATTATATGACAAATATGATAAAAATCATATTACTCTTACCTGACATTGTTTTACTGTTTCTTTTTGAGATTTTCAACACACTAGATAAGAACATGTATTACTGCTTTAAATATAACGTCTAAGTGAAAGGTCATATTATTTCTAAACCATAGTATTTTAATGCCAGCATTAAATACATTATTGTGCAGAGAATATCGTATTTACAGATCCTCAATTATTGAAAAAAGAGAGAGAAAACCACTATTATAAAAATGGACAAGCTTGTTACTAAAAAATGAAATATTCATGTTTTTGATTTGTCGGTACAAAATGTAAAGTTGTAAATTTGATAATTAAACAATATTCTAAGTTTATTACTGAAGCATACTTCCAAATAACTGTGAATGTCTAAATAAAAATAGATGTGGTGAGACTTCCTTTGTTTAATTTAACTATTTGCTCAATATGAATGTATTTATTGATATTATGGGACTATATTATTTTATTCTAAATATAAAAATATAAGTAATAGACGAGGGGAATTTCAAGCTACATTTAAAAGATAATATTATTGAAATATTTCATGGTATTACAACATTAGTCAGAAAATACTACAAAGTCAAAAGGAGGGATTTCCCTTTTAAAAATTTGTATATATTTCTTAACTTTCTGTTGTTGATTTTTATAGTTTTTCATTGAAGTGAATGTATAGTAACTGTATATTAGAGACTATAATATCCACATATGAAGATACAAAGCAGTATGCATCTCTACTTCCAAATCAAAGATGGGTTCCCAATGAAACATTTAAATATACCTTGACAATCAGATGCTGGACTTTCTGCCATTGTCCATAGCTACAATATCAGGACATATTAAAATAGCAGGATGACAGATTTAAGACTACTTATGAAGGACTATACTATTGTAATAATATAGGGGAAATCAGTGGGGGGGAGGATTTCAGAGGTGGTAAGGGAAATTCCAGAGCATATGGAATTGTATCATAAAATAAAAATGTAAAAATTTAGTTGTTTTGACATACAAAAATATACATTTAGACATTTCATGCTTAATTGCAATATTGTAAAGCAGCTAGTATTATTGGGAAAGAAACTGTTTTTATTCAGGCTAACCTTATTTTATAACCCATTTTCGAACAACTAAAATTTATTTAAGATTGACAATAGTGGGTCTGGCCTGATAGCCTAGTGGCTAGAATCTTCACCTTGCATGTGCCAGGATCTCATGTGGGTACCAGTTCTAATCCCAGCAGTCCTGTTTCCCATCCAGCTCCCTGCTTGTGGCCCAGGAAATCAGTGGAGGACGGAGCAGCAGCTTGGGACCCCACATCTACGTGAGAGACCCAGAAGAGGCTCCTGATCCCTGTTTTCCAATCAGCTCAGCTCCAACATTTGTGGCCACTTGGGGAACAGTGAATAGCAGACAGAAGATCCTTCTCTCTGTTTCTACTCCTCTCTGCAATCTGACTTATCAATAAAAATAAATAAATCTTAAAAACAAGAACTTTTAAGAGTCCTTATCAATAGGCACTATCTCAAAAAATGATTCAGTCTTTCTCAACAGAGCATAGATGCTTTAAACTAGCTTTACTCCTTTATGACAGCATGGAAAACACACTTCATGTGAACCATGCACACTGCACACATTGAGTATTTACAGATAAATCATAGTCAACAATCAATGTTTACAATCATCTGACTAGATAGATGTTTGTGACTGAATCCTTTAAGAGGGAAAGTAGTTGAACTTTGCTTCTTCTGGCCATTCATACAATGTCATAACAATAACAAAACCCTAGTAAGTGTTTCCTGATTAAAAATGTTATTTCTGCTCATGTTCTAAGGCCATAGAACATACAATCTTAAAAAAAACACACACACAATTGTTTAAGGGCATATTCATCTACAACACTGAAACCAAGATTGTAATCAATATCTAAGATTAGGGGCTCATGCCAGTGGTGTAACACGTTAAATGATCAATTCCATTAATGGCTGTTCCACTTTCAATCTGGCTGCCTGCTAATGGCCTGGGTGAGCAGCAGAGGTTGGCTTCAGTGTTTGGGCTCCTGCACTCATGCTGAGACTTGAAAGAAGCTCAAGGTTCCTGGATTCAGATTATTCCAGCTCTGTGTGTTAAAGTTGTTTGGACAGGGAAGCAGCAGTTAGAAGGTCTCTCTCTCTCTGGCTTTCCCTGCTTCTCCTTCTTTGTAACTTTGCCTTTGAAATGAAAAATATCTTTACTAAAAATCTGAAAATATTTATATAGATAAAATGGAAAGAGAAAAAGAAGAAATAAAGTTAGCATTTTTGTTGTTAAAATGTGAAATAATCTACGGATTATTTTTCATTCAGAAAGAAGACAGAGTGTGTATCAGCAGATAACCATAGTAGAAATTTTGTCTGTTTTGGAAATCCCTTAATTTCTTTCACCATTTCCAAAACATTGTTCCATATTTATCTCCTCTATCAGAAGCTTCCAAACACTCAAACTCTCTCTTCCCACTTACGAAAATTAATCAAGTAGAGTATACTGAACAATAATTGCTAGAAATCCTTGACTCACACTTGTTGTTAGAACACATATTCAGTTTCACAGTTCATCTGTTGGCACTGAGTTGTGTGGATAGTAACAAGACAAAATGTTACTAGGCAGCTTGAATTCCGGTGGGACTAGCTATTCACATGACAATACTTTCGTATGTGTGTTATTTAAACAGGTCTGATTAACAGTCAGATAATAACTGACAACATTTTGCTTTCTAGAAAACAGAACAGAGATATTGCCTTTTCCACAGAGAATTAAATTGAGGAAGAAAACTTTATTGAGGAAGTCAATGCAGGTTTACCCTGAAAACTTCCACCTTTTACCTTCTTAGAGAAATACATACAGCAACATTCAGACAGGTCACTGTCTAATGTAATCAACAATCTCAATCTGGGTCAATTATAGGAAAAAAATGTACTGACACAACAAAAAGTGCTATGATGATGTTTGCATTGATGGTATCACAGCTTGAATTTGGTGCCAAACATGATTTTCTTATCAACCTGTTCCTTATTAAGATACCACAATATAGATGTGGTTAGGATGCAGTAACCGTATTATTTACATGCTCTAGAAGAAAATCTATCAAATGTGGTCATGAATATGATTTGTTAAAATATGAACCCAGACAGAAAATTAAAATGAAAATAACATCTCCACTACAAAGAGCTATGTTCTGGTGAGCAGGACAGTGAGTTGAATGGTGAGCAAAACATACTTCATTCCAAACAAAAACACTTTCCCACCACAAAGTGAAAGTTTCAGACAATTCTTGAAAAGTTCTTTTTTCAACTCCTAAGAATACTTGGAATGAGAAAAGATGCTATTTGACTTGCTCATGAAATAAAGAATCATCTCTGAAACCATTAAAATGCTACAATGAAGAAGAGTGTGGAAGAGAAATAGCTGATGATCAAAGAAGGACTGAATTACACATATCTTCAGGAAACCTAGTGGTGTTCACCAACTCCTACAAAAAATTATGGCAATAATTTGAGTTCACATGCACACACCCTCAGAGAGACATTATCTATCTATCTATCTATCTATCTATCTATCTATCTATCTATCTATCTATGCATAAACACATCCTGGACCTATGTTTGCCTGTCCACAATTGATTGACTGGCCGGTCTACAAAGTTTTATCTGCTAAGTAAGTCTTCAGGTAACCTGAGTTTTCAAAGTGAGCATCAAATTAAAAACAATGTGCAAGTTGGTAATGTCTTACTGATTGTTGGGTACTCTGTCCGTTCCATGCCCCAACAACCCCTGCTTAGAACCCATTACATTTGTAAAGAAATTCTTGTCCCGAGGAATATTCATGGTAATTGATGGAGCCATCATAAATGTGAAAAAAATGTGTTATGTGTGACAGAAATATTACTACCCTCTCATAAACTAATCAAATTTCTTCTTTCATTTAGTGGCACAAAGCATAATTGAGACAGATGTGATATTCCACGTGCACAGTTATATTCAAACGCCTTGACACAGCAATGCTCTTGTAAGAATAGCAGACAAAACTTTCTTAGAGTGAAATAAAAACTTGTACGAATAATTATTTCTTCATAGGCCTAAAGATGAGCAATGTTCCTACCCATACACACTCAACAAATCCAAATTTAATATTTACAAGAGAAGCATAATTAAGCTTAACATGCAAATTATAGAAAAAAAACATTATGTCCGATATTTTTGTGAAAAAAAGTTTCCTGTTTATTTCTTTGTACAATAGATTGTGCTAAGACTGGTTTCGGAAGAATGCGCAGCATTTAGAAGTGGTATCTCATGCAGTCATTCAGCAGGAGTTTGTCTGAAAGTTCGTGCACGGGCTAAGACAATTTCAAACTACTTCAGCTACACTCTAGAGCATTTTCCCACACACTTCAGCTTTGAGCAACTTGCTAAGGCAGACTGCATGCACACACATATTAGTTATTTGCTTGAAAAGACAAGCTAGTATATGAAAATATATAAGCAGCATTCATGTAGTTTTAAGTTCCTGAGAAAATAGCATGTGCTATAAATTCTTGAGAAATAATTTGCATTCATATGTAAACCATGATATCAAATAGTTCTCTAAAGAAGAGTGATCTGAAACTGACAAATTATGAAGCACTATTAATATTTTCCCATCAATGTTGAAGACATAGCTAAATTCTCCTGCAATGCCTCACCAAAGAAACATTTCAGGTAACATTTTGTTTCTCTGTTTTTCATATTAGTTTCAAAAATATCAGAAAAGACATTTTCTAAATCAGTGTATAACTTTTAATAAAATATCTTTCTATTTTTCTTATGAAGCAACATGATTTTAAAACCTTATTGGACAATGTACAAAGGATCCTCAAGGACACAGTTTCATGATCATTATTTGCTCAACTGTAAAACACATGTCTTTTCTTTGTGTCCCTAATGAAAGCTTATTAGAACTCTGTAATGTGGCTATCAGAATTAGTTCCTATAGTCTGAAGGAGCAAGTGCGTTTTTCAAGGGCTTGGAGGCCAGTTTGGAGTCTCTTTTCTTTGCTCAGAAACAAAAGGGAAATAAGAAAGTGGCCATTCTTTACAAAAGAAATGACGAATGAACTACAACCTATTCAGCTTTAGAATTATAAAATGGTTTCCTAGGAAAGATGTTTTATAACTTTGTTATAAGGAAACATCAGCATATATTTCAAGTTGCTTTATTTCTTCCTATTGTATTAATCTGATACCTTAAATTTGGAAGCAACTGTACTTTGCTTAACTGGGCATAAAGTAATAATCACATATATGTGTATTTTTGTAATATTTGTGAGTCCTCCAATGCTAAGAGCAGCCAAACTTGGATTTCCTTGTTTTTCACAAAGAGGTATCTTTAATCCTACCACATTTTCCTTTACTCAGCACTTGGTTCCTATCCTGCTGCCAAAGCTTACGCCTCCTCTGAACATTCTTTAGTTTAGCACCGCATCATTCCTGCTTCATAAGGATGTTAACATTGAAACGGGGGACTTCTACAACAACAACAACAACAAAAAAGCACAATTAAAATCTCTACAAATATTTCCAGGTTCTTTCTAAAGGATTCTTAAAAATAAACCAAATTAATCTATCAATTAAATCATAACAGAAAGCTTTCAGTGATGGAAAAGGTAAGACACAAAATCGCATTATCTTACAAACAAGTTTCGTGCATGGTTTTCATCAGCTTATGAGTAAGAGTGCACATTTCTGTGAAAGCCTAACTGGTGCTGAGCATTTGGCTCCAGCTTTCCTGAACAGAGATATCATGAGAGCAAAGGGTTTAACTGGTGTCAGAGCTACAGAAACTGTAACTTGCATTACGTACTGGCAAGGTGCAAAGGTACAAGGGAACTCAATATATTTACAGCATTTCAAGGTAACATTCTGAGACACCTATAAGAAAATACAGCATTAAAGATTTCCTATGACAGCATTCTTCAGTAAAGTATGAAGAGTTGTGTCCTAAGTAATACAAGAATAACCATTCATATTGTAAAAATCTGTGACTGTATTGACATTAGTACAAAAAAAGTGCAGTGCAACTGGTTCTGCCAGTGAGTACCTGGACTTGGATGTAGCCAATGCAATAGAAAATCATGTCAGTGAATAGCATACATTTTGGAATTTTAGATTTCTTTTTGGTTTCACTACTAAAGGAGATATGAAAATTTCTGACTGCATAGTGAACATAGAGCAGCATAATTTTGCTGTGGCACAGGCTCATGATCTCAGGCCAGAGGAACAGAGAGTTCTGGCAGCAAAGGCAAAAATCAACTTCAGTCATTTCCTGCAAGCATCTCAACTCAAACGGAAGTACTAAAGTCAGATTAGCACGTGAGCTAAGACCACATGACAATTTGTTGTGCCGGATTTGTGAACAGTGACATAGAAAGCTGTCTCTAGAAACCTCACCATCACCCTTTTGATTCTACTGCAGGTAACAGAAGGCAAAGGTCTCCACACACACAAGTCCCTGAGGCTGCTTCTGAGAATCACATCGTAGCTTCCTAAATCTAACCCTGGCTTGTTCTTCAAGAGCCATCGATTTCTTTTCTAAAAACCAGGATATTCCCCAACCCAAAACCGGCTGTCACACATTTCCAAGAAGCATATTACAGTATGTTTTGCCAGGTATGCCTTCCCACTAGACTGCATTTAGAATTTGAAGTCATCAGCATTCCTTCACAGGAATGATGACACCCCTGCTGGGTAACAGACATCAACTAAGGCCATTCATGGTGAACAGGCTGACCGCTTTTTCTCCGTTCTTGTTGTAAGTGTTCCAGTTCAGCCTCATACATCATCTCTTGGACTAAGTATTTCTCTCGTCGTATTCGTTCACGGAGGCCCTTTGGCACATCTGGAATCAGGTATGCGATGAATGATTTAATTCCAAATACAAGGTGCTGCAAATTTAAGAGTGGAAAGCGCAATTTTTAAAGATCTCAAAATACTAATTATGTAAGATTGAACAGTCACAGAAAATGCTTCAGGTATCTTGCAAACCAAGCATATGACTAATATACCATATAGAATATTAACATTCTAAAAAATATGTTGCTAATTTGTATCACACAAATATTAGGAGCAAAAGATTGCTCCCTTTGTACTGAAAAAATGTTGATATTACTTTAAAGATGCTGTATGACTGAATTTTAAATGTGTATGTATAAAATTTATAATGTAATACTATTATGACATGCATATTTATACACAGATGAGAAAGAGCATGTTTAAGGAAAATTCATGACCAGTAGATTATAATGCACACTCTGTAAGCCTCACAGTGTACAATCATCCAGAAAAATCTTGATAGTAATAGAGATAGCATTATTTTTGGAAAAGAGTACATTTTACTCCGAGGACATTTTATAGATAATTGCATACAGGGAAAGTAAGACTATAAGAAACTTTTCACTGAGTATTCTATATTTTCCCCTTAAAATATAACATTTTTCCCTAGTCATAGCAGAGAAAGTCATATTTTCCCACATAGAAACAGTCAGCTAAGATCGAATATTTTATATTTGCAGAAATATATAAGAATGTGCCACAGGAAAATAGAAACAAAATTTAAAAATACTTATTTTGATTTAAATTGGTAAAGACAAATGTGGTTCTAGTCTAATATAATGATAATAATAAAATTTATAAACTATTCCTTCTAGAATACTTAGTATCCATTTATGAAGAGAAAAGTACTAAAAAGTTTTTCTCAAGCTTACAAATATTACAATACATTTTAATCTAAAGAATATATTTAACTTGAGAAAAAAGTATTTCTATTAAAATTCAATAAAACATTGCTGTTCACATGAATTTTGCGCTGATAGCCCTTACTCTGAAACTATGTAAAATTAAAAAAAAAGCATCTCAATAGATCAGCAAAAGTCAAGCAAATTGCATTGTAAAGTATAAAATATGATTCATTGTAGCAACAAAAATCTTAACAAAGTATGCAAATTGAAGGGTATGAGCAAGCAAAATTATGCTTTAAAACACCAACTAAATGGGATATCAATATTTTGAATAAATTTAGTTTCCTAATTTAATCGAACAGTTTTTGCAAATATTAAGAAACATGACATTTACAAAGGGAATTCCAATTGAACTTTTTTCCATTATGAATTAAGAAAACTTAAATATTCTAAAACTGATATAAAAATTAATAAATTCAAGTAATTGAACAGTGATTTTCAAGGAAGAAAAGCGTATTTTGAATGTTTTACTTTGTCAGATATTAGGATTATTGTAAAGTCATAGCATTTTAAAAAGTGTGATATCAAACTGAGAAACACACAAATGGAATAATACATCAGAATATACAGATCTGAGTCAAATTCTCAAATATGCAAAAAGTTATAATATTGTAGGAGTGGAGTTAAAAGTCAGTAGAGGACATAATGAATTATTTACTAAATATCATTATAAAATTAACCAACTATATGAAGAAGAGAAATGAGTTTTTCCACTCATGATATAAAATACTTTCTGATACTTTAAAACTACAGCAAAGGTAAAATTACAGAAGTATCTATTGAAAAGATAGTAGTCATAAAATTCAGATAAAAAAAAATTTCCTAAATAGCCTATCCCAAAACAGCACAAACTTCAAGGGAAAAACAATAGTGAGGGAAAGTACATTAAAATAAAACATTATTTGCTGATAACCAAAACTAGCAGGTAATAGACAAAATTATACACACGCTATGTTCATAACTGGCAAAGGACTAATATATAAAATATATAAGGAAACATCGGGATTTGCTAAGAAACAGAGAGTGTAACAAAAATGATCTGTGGTCATATATTCACACAAAATTTGGTTTCTAACCCTGAAAGTAACTAGCAATGGCATAGCTGAAGAAATTAAAATAAAAACTGAAAACAAACTAGTATCTTAGCTATACCCAACTGTAAAACATTAGCAAATTAGATGAGATTAATGTATGTTGAAGATGTAAGGGAATGAGGTCTCATCCAAACAATTAAGTAGTTGCTGTCCTTTCAGAAGGACTGGCATCACTACATTACTATGTGAAAACCAGGATGCAATTACATCTTAGAAATCTTGTATATGTTAAAAATACAAAACATCCTGGATTATTAATAGTAAATTCATTTGACATTGTGAGGACTGATGCCAGTGCGAATGCCCATGCACTGGAGAATATGATATTTTAATACCATATCACATGATAAGAAATGACAGACAGTAAACAGGAGCTAAACATGGACAGAACTCATTTTTAGATATTTCTCTAGAGAAAAACCAGAGAGATAAAAGAAAACCAGTCACAAGGATTCCTGATCAGAGGTCACTCTATACTGAGGCCCTGATTACTTCAATCCCCAAAGCGGAAATGAACTAAGGGTCAGTATGAAGACATTCATGACAGCATAGGTCCTTACCCCCAAATAATAGTAGGATTCCCATTATTATTATTATTATTAATTTTACTTTTATGCTAGGTTCCTTTATTTCTTCTTTTTTTTCCTACATTTGTCATGTTATGATATGTTTATGTTATCAGAAACTTGAGCCTGTGATGTTGAATGAATAACTAACTACACCTTTGTAATAACTTTGGGAGAAACACTGGGAGGGGGATAGTAAAAGGATAGAGGGGGAGAGGGAGGATGATGGATGACCCCCTTAGCATGTAAGGCTGCACTGTGACAAAAATAAACAAGTATATTAAAAATGTGCATACACACATCAAAACCTCACTGAATCACTAAATTGGAATGATCCTTTAAACTCTTGGGCTACCTGCTATAAAGTAGAAAGAATCAAGTGACATTTTTAATGACTCAAGGAGTTAGTGACAAGGAGTCACTGAATAACAGAATTGGAGTCCTGGTTGAGATCGTTAGAAGTTAGCATTTCAGTTTACGCACGAAGGACATCTCACTACATAATTAGAAAGATTTTTTGAGATCAGTTAAAGGATTAAGCTTCCTTGAAGACTTTGTCCAGTAATCCAACCTCGTTTTACATTTTGGACCATAGAAAGCAGACTGATATACAATGTTTTTAGAAGCTTTACTGTTATCTTAAAATATATGCTCAATTCTTTCAAGTGGTACATTCTTCATGGTGTCTAGCTAATTTTTGGGTAAATAAGATAATACCAACTGTAGTTTTACACAAATACAATGCAATATTTTTACATGGCTGATAATCAAATCTATATATAATTTAATGTTTTTCTTTTAACATACAAAAGCACATGTATTCAACTGAAATTAAGGTTGATTTTTATAAAATCATTTTTTTCATTCTGATTTATTATTTTATCAGATGATGAAGCCCATTGTTTCCTTTAGAAACTTGGATACTGGGAGGCTCAAAGGCTTTTCCAATCATTTTTGGAGCAAGTTCCTTTATCCTGATTTTCGACTGTAGATCCCACTAACCTATATTGTTCACTACTCAGCTCTGACTGGATTTATTATAATGGCTTAATTCTGTCAGAAACTTAACAGTTGGACCTATTGAAGAGTTTTTTTTTTTTAATTAGCAGGCACTGACTTTTAAATAGGAACATATATAACACTTGGCAATGCATTCACCTACAGTAATTTTCTTCATAGTTTGTAACTAACCTCAAACACAATAATGAAGGCCAATCGAGCAGCAAGGATATGCCAGTATTGTAAGGTGAACTCATAGGGTTTGGAACTCCAAGGGGGCCCTCTGTAGTCACGATACCTGAAATGCACAGAAAGAAAAATATATAGTTTAAAGTAAGACTAACCCCAAATTTTCTTGAATTGTCATAAAATTTAAAATGACATAATAAACAGTTTCATTAACATGCAAATGGGAGGAGATGAATGGTGGAAGACAACAGCACAGATAACCATTAATTTGTATCTAAATACCTGCAATAGCCGGAATGTCCCATGCCAAGCTCACTCAGATCAAAGAAGGATAGGCTGTTATTGACATATCCCTTTAAGCAGCTGGAGAAAAAAAAAAGAAAGAAAGAAAAAGAAAACCTTATAAGTTTGCAATCCAGACCCTTCATTAGAAATGACAGTTTCACAAATGCTCTGTATCCTTGTATTCTAACTCTGAACTCTTACAAATGGAACCACGGTATCCCATGTCTAACTTTGATTACACCTCTTGCCAGTTTCACTACTTTCATTTTACCTTTCCACTTGATTTAACTTGCTAAGTAGTTGCTGTGTACTAGACATTTATACCATTTATTTTCTGTGCAGTAAAGCTCTCTATAAATATCTTGAAAATGTGTATGCTATAACTGATTTTTTTTAAACTAACCAGTCAATAGGCATTATGTATTTGTTACTTATTTATTACCTTACTCAGTGCATCTTTATCGAGGACCTCTAGCCTGCTACAGAAAGTTTTGATGCTGAACATTCAACAGTGACTGAACAGGGAAAGTCTCTATCACATGTCAGTGGGAGAGAAGACAAGACTCACAATTAACGTAACTAATGAATAAATTGCATCAAATTTAAAAAATAATATATGCTATCAGAATAAAAAGGGACTGGCTCTTCTAGATAAGCAATACTGGATCATCGCTCCAACAGTAACCAAAAAAAAGCATCATTTTACACTCATTTAAAATGTGCTGAAAGCTAGATAAATGAAAAGTTTTGAGGAAGGAAATGCACTTGGATAAACTGAAAATCATTGATTCTCGTGTTCCTCTGTTGGCATCCCTGGCAATTCTGAAATGTTTTACTTATCAGTTCATTTTAAAATGGACATCAACTCTACTATAAATTGATATAGATGTCATGTTTCAAATAAAACAACTATATTTTCTGAAAGACAAAAATATTATGAGAATGACGCTGTTTTCTATGTTTGCAAATTCCTATCAAGTCTGTTTAAAAGGCAGATAGCTAAGTCTCATTGCTACTTCTATAGTAAATCTGTTGCAATATGTTGTTTTGGTTGGAGACTAAGCAGAAAATCTGACATCGTATAGATGAGTACTAGGAAAAAGAAGGGAGATTTTAATAGCACTTCACATAACTCTGTAATTTTCATTGATATCATGTCTCAAGTCTATGTGTAATAGTTCTCTGAATTGTGCAGATCTTCCAAATCCTGACTTGTTTATACAGTAGCATATGAGAAAATAACAATTATTTGTATCACATTTTAATCAGTAAAAAAATTGGAGTGATGAAAAGCACTGAAGATCAAATTATGCATAAAATTGATTTAAAATTCTGTTTCAGTTTAAACTATGAACTTCATTAATAGCAACAAATAACATGAATCATTTTCCTCATGACAGGCTAATTTGTGCATTATGTCAAAGAATGGTTGCTGAAAACTCAATTGTGAATTATTGCCGTGCATGGCAATCACTGGCTCAAGTTAGACGTATGCTCACAGTAAGCCCTTAACAATCACACAGGGTCACGCGGCATCTTCCTTCGGTATGTAGAATTGCTTTGCACACACGTCTCATTGTGCCACATGAGATTGAAAAGTCTTATTCACAGGAGGATGAAGAGTCTACCGAGTTAATAATTAATACTTCCCTATCTCTGCTACACTACATAATTTCAACTTCTGTCTTGCCATATACTTTACTTACCCTAATATCCTGCCACCTTGCTCTGAAAAATTTGCAATCTGAATGAAGCAACTCCAAGCTAGCTCCTAAACATACCTTTAAAAAAACTAAACTGGGTGCTCCTACAAACACATGGTGTCAAAAAAATCACCTAAGTCCTCTATATTTTTTTGAACGACAACAGTCTTCCGTCCTAATCTGAATACAGAGCACTCAGGTTCTATCTACAAGAAAGGCAAATTCTGAAATTTAATTAGGATCAGCCTAAACCAATTTTACCTGCCACTAGGTGGCAGTGAAGATATTAGCAAATAAAGCTTAGAGTCAAGAGGGAGGACTAGCATATATATTAAAGCTCTTAAAATTTACTAGGCCATTCCATTTTGACAACTAGCCTATAAATCTCTCAGCCTGTACTTACTGGGGAGGCTCCCTATTTGCTTCTCCTGGACTTTACTAGGCAGGACGTAGAGTTAAATTCTTTCTCACTCACTAGGTTGTCGGGGATTTCCCTGCTTACCTGCCTAGAACTTTTCTATTCTTCAATTGTTAAAATGCAAAGTTTTGTAAAGCCGTGCCTAATCACTATATACTGCAAAGTTTAAATTGTGGCTTAAGATTCTCCCCAAAAAAACTATCAATTTATGACTGTTAATGCTAAACAAGAGTGACTGCACAGAAACTTGGATGTTAAGTTTGTACTCAGCTGTTATATATAATGGATGTTCATGTTGATCCTTTCACTGTTTCTGTGCCACTCAAAACCATGTTAGCTTAGGAGAAAAAAAAAAGGTTTACAGCAGCCAGTTGTGTATTTACTAAGGAATTAGTTACAGGATATGGTTAAGAACTTATATTGTCTTAAGTATCGGTCACTCAATACCATGTTAATTAACTTCATGATGTTGTTAATTTCTACGTTTCTTCCTGTTGTGTAGTGACATCTCATTGAAAGGGATGATATTCTGTTAGCTCCACTTTCAGACCAAGGATGGTCTCCCAATGAAACTGTTGAATTTATTTGGACAATAAGATGCTGGACTCTGCATGATCCATGGCCGCAATGAAGGAATCATGACTGATTATGAACTGTACTACTGTAACAATATGGAGGAATTCAATATTGGGGGAGGGCTTGGGAAGGGCCTGGGGAATCCCAGAGCCTATGAAACTGTGTCATAAAGTGATATTTAAAAATAATTTTAAAAATGTACTAGGCCATTTTGAATATCGAGAAAAAAAGTTAAACCTTATGGTTGCATAGTGTTCACAGCTCATTTATGTTATTGTCAATGCAACTTATTAATCATAGCATTTTGTCATGAGCCAACTAGGTCATAATCAATGATGTGCCTGCTAGACAAAGGCAGAGAACCGTCGCCTAAGACATACAGTTAACGTAAAATTAAACAATACCTATGACTTATTAAATTGAGGTGTCTGTGTTCAGAAGCCTATTTCCGTGATCTGAGCAAACATTAGCCAGCAGAGTTCAGTGTTAATTTCATCCTCTATTAGGGCTCCTTGTGATGCGACACATTTCTGATCAGCTGCTATCCTAAGCTTTCCCTGAGGAAGGAGGAGAGGCAGATTCTCCCAGCCCTCCTTTGCGTCCTCCCTCTTGAACATCTGAGAAACGGGGTGACCCATCACCTGCACCTGTTAATATTATCCGCAGGACAATGTTTGGAGACATGTTTGATTGAAGCATCTCAGAGGAAAGGAATGTTGCTAATGATATGTACTGGACAGACTAGAGGCATGCTGCTAAACACTTTGTAATGAACAAGACACGCCCTTCTTTCAAAGAGTAGAATAGACTGATTTAAAGTAGCATAGAAGTTGAAAATCCATGTTTTAATGACTGCATTTAAATTTTAACATAATGCAATAAAGGCAGGTTTGGGGCTAATCTTTCTGTAACTTTAAAATATCTAGCTGTAAACTCCCTTGAAAATCTGTGATCTTAGAGCTGACAGTTCCTTCATATTTCGCTTCTCTCCACTTACTACCTTCGTTCTCTTCAACAATTTGATTAAGCAGTGTGCTTTTAATTTTCCATCTCCACACAGAATTGCAATAAATGATTTCTAAGATCACGTCCAGTTCTGGAATTCAACTTCTGAAAGCCTTATCATGCTTTTAAGAATTTTTGTACTAGTGATGCATTCAACATAAAAAGATAACATCTAAAGTGATTTAGAATTAAAAACAAAAACCACTGTTCTATTTTAACCTCACCTGATTTCATCTGAGAAACAGTGTAAATGCAGTGATCAGAAATATTACCCTTAATAGTCACAGAACAAAACTTCCCAGTATGTTCCCATTTTAATGACAAAGACAATACAGCAGGAAAATGCTCAAATGTCAGCCTTACTTTTCATTCCGTACTCCATGATTTGCACAGGGGCCATATTTGTATTCATAGACAAAACGTGGGATGTAATCAGATGTAATGGCAATCACAAATGCATTGGTGATCACAGCCAGTATACCAATTCCTTCAAGGATTCCAAGCCAGATACCTGGTGGGAGAAAGGTTAAATACAATGAATAAAACCGAAAAAGAAAAAAAGCTCTCCAATCAGATTTTGGAAAGATTTTACTTAAGCTGGAGTCACACTGTGTCTACAGTTTAGTATAGTAAAATATAGCATCTCATGCCAAATATTATTGCAAATACTTTCTCCACCAAGGGAAAGCCTATCTCATTTACTAAGATTTTTAAATTAAAATATCATTAATATCTGTTTCATGTTTGTGATGATGAGATTTGGCACAAATGTTCAAGATATTGCAAAGCCTAGTGGCTAAAGTCCTCGCCTTGCACGCACCAGGATCCCACATGGATGCCGGTTCTAATCCCAGTTGCCCTGATTCCCATCCAGCTCCCTGCTTGTGGCCTGGGAAAGCAGTCAAGGACAGCTCAAAATCTTGGGACCCTGCACCCATGTGGGAGACCTGGAAGAGGCACCGGACTTCTGGCTTCGGCTCCATGCAGCTCCAGCCGCTGCGGTCACTTGGGGAGAGAATCAATAGACAGAAGATCTTCCTCTCGGTCTCTCCTCCTATCTGTGTATTTGACTTTCCAATAAAAATAAATATTAAAAGAAAAAGATATTGCAAAGCCAGAAAAACAGGACATGGAAAGGCACTAAATATAATAAACAAAAATCATGTAGTTCTACATGGTTATGTGCACTCTGAAATACATATACTCATTATGACTCTCTTCTTATTCTCTATTACATGTCTGTTTGAAATACCAAAAGGAAACAGGAAGCCTAAGTTTATGTTAGGCTCTGTGAATAACTCCTAGTTGACATTTTCTACTTTCCAGGGGGTCAACCTGACATAAGCAGGTTGGATACTTGCAAAAGCTTTTGAAGTTATATATAGAATTAACATTCTTTTATTGTAGTCAGAATCGATGTTTCCAGTCAGATTACAACTTAGTTTAAAACAGTAACTAAAAAAATAATCCTGGGAAAATATTCAAAAGTGTTAAAGGGAATTGAACAGCAGTATTGACCCAGCGGTTGAGCTTTAAAAATCTTAATAGTTGTCTGCAGTGAGTTGCAATTAAAACATAAACAAATAAGAAAGAAGTAGATGTTTGCTTTTTGAGGAGAAATAGTAAAACATAAAACTGTTTTTCATAAAAGATTGTTAGTGTAATAGAATAAGATTTTGATTTTACTCGTCATATCACTGTCACAAGTGAGAAAACTAATTTTATTAACAATTTTTGGAAAACAGTCTATTAAAAAAAGTGGTGATGGCTTTCAATAATTAGTAGCAAATTCCAGAATAAGAAATGTAAATAAAACAAAGAATGCCAGCAAATCACAAACTGAAACTGAATAACAGACATTTAAACATTAATGCAAACTAATTTTTTACAGAATCATATGCTTCAAAGGGCCTTCCTAGAGATGTTGCAAATGATGACTATAAAGGAAAAGTATTAATTTGATTACATATAACATTTACAACTTCATGATCAAGTGAATACTTTAAATGCAGGGGTTTTTTTTATAAGTTTGTAATGTATAACTATATTAAAGGTTAATATCCCCAGTCTGGACAGAGAGATTACTAAATCAAATTTAATTATCAAAATATACTAGTAGCATCTAGTAGCAAAATAAGAATATATTTAATTTTGTAGTTACAAAAATGCCAATAATATAAAAAATACACATTTATTCTGTATGGATCATCAAGAATAGAAAAATATCCATGTAAAGGGAAACTTGTACTACAGATAATGTTCCTGAGCAAACAGGGAATTAATGTTCATGTACTAAAGATAGGAGGGTACCTTGGCTCCTTTCTGGAGGGCATGGGGAAAATTATGGTTTGAAAATTTAAATATACCTGTTCTTTGAAAAGATGTTGCATTCTAGGAATCTATCCTGAGGAGATAATTATACGAAAAAACATATAAACATGATCTCAGGGTTGTTTATCACAGTCAAAGTTTATCAGAGAATCACATTTCCAGATTTCTGACAAGCTGCACATATCACGCATGCAAGTGTAAATATAAGCTTCATTTTAAATAATGAAACAGCATGGCTGAATGAATCGCTCCTCAAGTAAGAGTGTTGATTTCATTACTTTGCTAACTAAAACCTAGGTTTTGTGATGATTGGCAGTCCTCACTCATGTGTTAGGATGAGGTGTTAGGATCAGACCATACTGTCTTCATTTTTGTCCTACCATGACAAAACATGAGGGTACATTTAAATCCGTTAACACTGCAGGGCCAGCAGCCACCATATGGGATGGCTGCCCACAGAGTGCAAAAGACCCAGGCCTGTGCTTCTTGAGGAGCAGCCATTGTGCCTGGGGGTGTGGTCCTGTGTGCCAGCAGGGGCGTGGGGAGGCAGAACAAGCCTGGGGATCTCCCCAAGTGCATGGTCTATGGATTGATCATGGAGAGAGCTAAGGAGATATGTGGAAGGAAAGGCTGCTGTGAAAGCCACCGTACTTGCAGACTGAGCCATTTGGAGGGTGCAAGCCACAGGATTTTTATTGGTCACCCAGATGTACCAGCTCATGTGGGAAATCTCAGCTGGGCTAGTTAGCATGGATCACAGCTGACCACCACCCACCAGTACTCACTAAAGCTAGGGCTGGGGACCTGCTTAGCAGGGCTAGATCACATGCCCCCAGTGAAAGTCAGAACAAGGGTTGGGTAATTGCAGCATGGGTCATGACATTAACCAGCACCTGAGAACCAGGTCTGGGGACACATTCTGTGTGGGATATGTGGGCCCACCCCTGTGGAACTGAATTTTCTGTTGGCTTACTTAAGAGCTGGAGGTGGTGACAGACTGAGTTAGGCACGATCACAGAACTGTTTGACATTCTTGGATACTGGGATTGGGAACAGGCTGGGCAGGTCCATTCTGCAACACTCACCGGAGCACCCAAGAATAAGGTGTGTGGGGTTGGCCAAGCCACAACTGCCACCAGCTCATACAAAGGCCAGGTCGGAGGGGTCAGACTATGACGGGTAAAGGACTAGTACCTGCTGACATGTGTGAGATATAGGTCTGGGAGTGGGCTGGTGGAGGAACTTGGGAAACTCCCTTGGTGGGTCATTTCTCCCACTGGTAAGCAGGTGATTCAGACTTGGGTGTTGGTCAGACCAAACCACGTAGCTCCATTTGTTGGCAAGTGTGTAGGTTGGTTCTGGAGGTGGGTATACTGGACAAAGATAGATCAACTTTAGCTCTCTGACACATGCTGAAGCCATGCTGAAGTTCTGGTCATCTTAGGCTAGGCTATCACACCTACTGGTTTGCATGAGCCAGGGATGGGAGCAGACTGGGCATGGACAGACTGCAGCAGCTGTCAATGATTGTTGGGACTAGGGGTGGACCAAGACAGCTTAGGCTGCAACATCCAACAGCAAAGGCCAAGACAGGAGATGGGCTATTCTGAGCTGGGTCAGAACAACCACTAGCACTTATAAAATATGTGGCTGGGAATAGGCATGATTGGGGAGCTAAGGGAATGCCCTGACTGGGTTGGGGTTTCCACTGGTGAGTTGTGAGCTGCAACTGGGTAGCAATTTGGCTTAGACATGAAAACAATATCCCTCAGCCTGGATGTGGACTGGATCTGGGGTGTGCCTGACAGGGCTAGACTTCAGCACCTCCTGGTACTCATGAGAGCCAGGGTGGTTATAGGACAGGTTGGGTATGGTCTTGGGACTCACTAAACCATGCAAAAGCTGTATCTGGGCTTAGACCAAGGGTGGCTAGGTTATTACAACCAACAGTAAGAACTCGAATGGATGTGGGCCAGTTAGGCAAGGCCACTGTTCCTGCCAGTACAGGAGGTAGACTAAGTCAGACTGGGCCAAAGACCCATCAGTGGGTGAGATCTGCCACTGGAAGATGACCTGTAGATGAGTTTAGGGAACTCCTTTTTCAGGACGTAGTCTCTTCAGGTGAGTTCAAAAACTAAGTCTGGGAGCAGCCCAGATCGGGACAGATTTCAGTACCAACAGCATAAGTGTGAGTCAGGACTAGGGGCAGGCCAGGCTGGACCAATTCGTAACACCCACTGGAAGATCTGAGGGTCAGGACAGGATGCAGGACAGGCCAAGTCAGGCAACAACACCAGCCAGTCCAAATTAGGATTAGTGCTGTGGACTGGCTGGGTTGGGTAGTGGTGCCCACCAGAATGAGCTGGAACTGGGGCCAGGCTTGGCTAGGTCAGTTTACAACACCTGTTGGCAAATGCCAAGGTGAGGGGGTCACGCCAGAGTGGGCCAAAGTATCCACCAGCACACATGAGAGTTGGGGTCAGGTAGGCAAAGGGTGCAAGCCCATTAGAGAGACTACAGCTCTCCTGGTGAATGTGAGGGCGGTGTATGTGGTGGGCAGGATTGGGCTGAGCCACAGCATTTTACATACATCTTACAGCATGGTTTCAGTAAAATGGGGTAGGAGATAGATCTGACACAGCAATTACAACTATCAGTGTGTGTTTAGGCAGACATTCTTGATGGAATGAATTGGACCCTGTACTGGCAAGAGTCAGGTCTGGGCTTGCCTAAATGAACTGCTGGACTCAGAACTTGAACCATGATGAGGATTGTAGGATCTGTGGTCTGACTATGGAGTGCATGTGTCAGAGCTGGGCCACCTAGGTAGTTATGATGGAGTAGTGGATGGCATCCCCAGCTACACATCGAAGAAATGGCAGTGCATTGGAGCCTGCAAGGACATCTGCAGAGGGAGGAGAGCCGAACAAATTGGTCAACTACCCCAGCCAAGTGTTGACAGCAAATAGGTGGGAGAATAGCTACACTGGAGTGGACTGTGTCAGCAAATGGATCTTGGATCGGCAAGATCAACAACATTTCAGAACTATTGAAACCTCTCAAGTGGATCCCTCGGAGCATGTTTCATCTCAGTAACCTGGAATGGCATCAAGTGTCCATTTCCCATCCCTGTGTGTTGGGATGATGGGGCGGCTGGGTGCAGCTTCTCCCCTAACTTCCCACCTTATCCCAGATACAAAAGGAAGAGGGGGGAAAACTTGGAAACAAATCTTTGATCTCACCATGGTCATCTTTGTAAACATCATGAAAAATAATTTTTTTTAAAAAGTTCATGAAACATAAAGCTAAAAGTTATGAAAAAGTTTGAAGTCCATGCACACAGGAAGTCTTCAAATAGTTCATGAATTTAAAAAAAAAATCTGCACCATAATAAACTCATCTTTAACTTCACTTTTCGATGTCTACAGAATAAAAATATTTTAGAAAAATAATAGGTTCCAATTAGTCACCTTACAATTTTATAGATTTGAATATTATTTGTAACATTAGCAACTTGTAAGTCATATTGTCAAGTGTAAAACAGCAAAAACAATTTTCATTATTCTAAAAATTTATATAACATGAGTACACTTTTAGAAGCATAGGGGATCCTTCCCTTCCCTTTCTCTCCTACTCTTATCTCCCTCCCTGTAGTGCCCTCTTACTGTTTTCCACAAACCTGAAACTCTTTTTTAAGAGTAGGTAACTAGATAGCTTAATAAAGAACATGATTTTTTCTCACTGTTCTAGACATTGGAAATCCCAGATCAAGGTACCAGCAGGTTCTGTACCTGGTGAGAGCCTGATTCCCACTTTCCAAGATTGCGCTCTGCTCTTAACGCCCTTTTGAGCAGACAAACACCACATCCTCACCTAGCAGAAGGTATAAAAGCACAAAAGGGACAAGCGCTATGTCCTTACATGGCAGAAGAGTGGACACCCTACAATAAAGGAAGGCTCTTACCTCATGACCTTTAGCATGCATCAGAGATGAGTAACCCAATTCTGAACTTTGGGAGAGAACTCAGATATGTCTTATACTTGTCAAAGCAATAAGCCATTTACTTCCTGGTTCTTACCAATGTCAGTTGCTCGAGCTGGTAAAGGCCTCCGCCACTGGGTGACAAATTTGTATGCATCCAGTCTGATTTCAATGATATTATTTAACAAAGCCAAAAGAGGTGCCAGGGGAAAAGCAGCAACAAAGATGGTGGTAAAACCAAACTGTAAAACTGTCAAACAAGAGCATTAGAAAGTTAATACAGTATCACGTATTGGGTGTCAAGTGGACAAATCAGGTGCATTATACAAAAACCATGCATAATGGTTTCAACATCGCTTTAAATGAACATGTTTGTCTTATTTTACAAATGAAGGAGATTTAGCACTCATAACTACATGACTATGTGTGAAAGAGGTTTTCTCAGTAACAGCCAACTAGAAAAATATTAAAACCTGCCCACAGATTCAGTTGTGGACATATTTAAATTCTGTATGGTCTTCACCTCTCTATAGTGAAGGATGGCAAAAGAGGAAGGACAAAAATGGAGAAGAGTGGCAAAAGGCAAGACGACGGGGTAGAAGGAGGAAATCAGAGAGAGAAGGACAAGAGATGAGAAAGATAAAGAAGAAAAGGAAAAAAAGGAGGAAAGAGTAGAAAATGCATATAAGGTAACAGGTTTTGAAATGAAAATGGTTGGTTCTAGAGGGAGCCCAAGGGATCTTCAGTAACCTTGTCCTGTCTTTCTATAGTAAGAAAATTGAGGATCAGAAAAATTCATACCTAGTGATAGCAACACAGTGGGAATTACCATATTCTTAACAGAATTAAAATTCTCGATGATACTAACACAGATTGGGGTTACACAAGTTTATTGTGGAAAAATAATTTTGGCTACGTGGGTGTAAATGATACGTTTCTTAACAAAGAATGGAGTTGAACTTTATGTTTTTCTTTAACATATCTTCTCAAAAGCTAGGTGCTCCACAGTGGGTAAAGCATTCACTTCTGTTAAATGTGAGGCTGTCAAAGCATCCAGTGTGTGCTTCTTTCAACAGCACTGCTTCACACCTCTAGCACAGAGATAAAATTGTACACCTGCTTTAGAATATGTGGGGTTGGAAACCAAGGATATGGATTTCTCTTCTGAAACGAAGCCTAGGTGAAGTAGAAATGCAGTATCAAGGAGGCCAAATAGCTGCACAGAGATTTTTTGTCCTTACCCATTTCTAAATACTCATCCATCAGGCCATGGATGTTCATGGGCTGCAGATTCCAGTCATTTTCCCACTGAGGGATAGAAGTGTCTTGTATTCCCCGCTTGATTTTCAGGCGTGACCACCAGTTCTGAATTAACCTACATCATAGAGCAGACCACCAGTTTTTATTTAAGCATCTGGTTACCAAGGCTGAGTATTAAAACATGAGAAACACAATCATCTTTGGGCGACACTGTGCATGACTGATAATTGGAGATGCTTGAAAATCTTAACATTTTAAAACTACTTTAAAAAGTCTCACTTAAAAAAAACTTTCAGAAAATTTAAAAATATTTTTAAATTTTTAAGTAATTTATTTTGACTCTAGAGGCCATTATGCTTAAAGAAATAAGCTAATCCCTAAAGGACAAATATGTTCTCTCTGACATATGGCAAATTTATGTAAAATATAACATCAATAGGTATACAGGTAAACATGCGTATACACTTTTTTAAGATTTTATTTATTTTTATTAGAAAGTCAGATATACAGAGAAGAGGAGAGACAGAGAGGAAGATCTTCCATCCGATAATTCACTCCCCAAGTGGGCACAATGATCACAGCTGAGCTGATCTGAAACCAAGAGCCAGGAGCTTCTGCCGGATCTCCTATGCGGGTGCAGAGTCCCAAGGAATTGGGCTGTCCCCTACTGCTTTCTCAGGCCACAAGCAGGGAGCTGGATGGGAAGTGGAGCTGCCGGAGTTAGAACCGGCGTTCATATGGGATCTCAGCGCATGCAAGGTGAGGTCTTTTAGTCACTAGGCTACTGTGCCAGGCCTGCACACACATATACTTAGAGGAGCTGTATGATGGAGGTATGTGTATCATGAAGTTAAGGCACATTGCAGTATGTACCTCTACTTCTGAATAAAAGATGGACTTTCAATGAAACATTGTGTCAATGAATCCATTTTTAGACCTGAAAATGGAATAATAGTGCCTTCTTCAACTAGAAATTATCTTGAAATTATGTGATTTAGAAATATTCTGAAATACTTAGATCATGGACATTCAGATAGTGAATTATTAAAAGCTGAAGAAAATTTTCAATAGGATAAGGTAACTCTCTCAGGAATTATTATGCAACTCTCAGTTTGACTCATAGACCTGGAGTTTCTGTATCAGTTTGGAAAGCAATCACAACTGTAACAAAATGTCCAACTGGACTCCTACGCACATTCCACAGAGATTTCTTACAATGGGGAACCAGATGAGCATGAAATAGGTTGGAGGTGAGCAGGACAGCTTGTTTCTCTTAGGTGTCTTGGTTCTGCTTGAAGTTTCACATGAGGATAGAGACTAATGGAAAGCTTGAAAACCATTGCTCTAGCAACTCTCCAACTAAAATTTTCCAGCAAGACCTTTACCCAGAGTTTGGGAAAACACCAACAGAACGTCTCATCCTGGAGCTCTAAGAAGCTGATAAACATGTTTCATGCCGATCATTTAGATAAGGCGATGAAGGAAATTTATTGAGAGCAATCTATGGACATAAAGAACATAACATAAAGAACCATTGTTAATACTATAATAGCTACTAAACCACCTTGATGGTTCTTGTGAAATATTCACAGCTTGCAGATCCAGTGCTTAATGTTTAATCTTTAATTTCCTTGTGTACTCTCAAATAATGTCTCCTAAACACTGTCTCAGAGAGATGAGTCAGGGATCAAAAGGACAGAGCTTCCCAATCCTCTGCTGTCTATTCTCTCTTCATTTACAAGAGATTTGCCATAAGCTGTTTTGAATATTGAGGATCTGCATAAAAATCTCTTTTTCTCAAATGCTGTGTTATTTGTAGTGAAGGTTTAAAAACCATTAAGTCAGCTCACCTCATTTTCATAAATCCTCTATTTTAAAAATGAAAAAAAAGTCTGAGAGGTCAAATGCATTTTTAGCAAAAATTGGCAAGGGACAGAAAAGGAATTTGAACCAGCCAGATCTGGGTGATTTTGTAGTCTGTGCCCTGAAGACTGCTGGAATTTAACAAAACACTATGGGAACTTTCAAAATTGTCATCAGTTTTTCAAACCATATATCTCTGTGCAGGACTGCTCTGATAAAAGTTATAGGCCAACAATGAAAAAAACAAAGCACTTGTATTTGATTACGAAGCCTAAGCTGTACATGTCCTCAATCAACTAACCAATTTTTCCATAGTTAATAAATTACTCAAAATGGATTCATTTGTAAACTTTGATAATTAGGCCCACAAGTGTTATTAATACATTGTTTCAAATACTCAGGATTTTGAAATAAAATATATTTTCTTACATGAAAACACAGACATTCTGTATCTCCATCATCATTTCAAGGTAAACATTGTACAAAAGGACAAAAACAGAACATTATTATTTGATGGTATCACTATGAATTCCGTTCTAATGATTTCTGTCTTTTCTCTCATACTCTACACAAAGTACAAAACCTCCCATCCGTGATTTTATCTTTGTTTTATTATTTTGGCATAGACAGTTGTTCCTTTTATTTTCTAGCAATAATCATATTCTAATGGGAGCCAAAAGAAACCATAAAATTCTTCATATTCTTTAGGACTTACATTGTCAATAACATTTTTTAAAGGGGGTATATATTTGGTATAATAGTTAAGACACCTGTAGAGACACCCACATTTCATACTGCAATGCCTGCATTTGAGATCTGACACTGCTTTGGACTCCCGTTTCCTATGGTTGTGCTCCTTGGGAGGCAGCAGTTACGGCTGAAGTCATTGAGTTCCTGCCATTCACATGGGAATCTTTGATTGAGTTCTTGGCTCTTGGCTTCAGCCAGGTCTAGCCCCATCCATCATGGGCATTTGAGGAGTAAATTGGTGGGTGGGAGCTCTCAAATGAAAAAATAGTTTATAAATTTAATAATAACTGGTATGAATGCATTTAACAAATAATGTCACATCCCTTGTTCTCTTTGATTCTTACTTTTTATTGACATGTACTTACCATTACTCCTTTCTAAAATATGTAAAACTAAGACTCAAAAAGTTCATTAACGTTCACGTCGTCACAAACACACTGAGGAGCAGAACCAGAAATGAATCCTTATATAACCCATGATCACACACAAATGCTGGCACACTATTCATGCTACTTGTTTCTTCTTTATATCTCTATATATGGCAAGTTAAAAATAACATGCTCACGGGTATCCAAGTTCCATGAAGTTGTTCCATATTTGTTTCAAAAACATAATCACACCCATCTGCAGGCAAAGGTCTATCAAACAGCCACTAGGATGACACTAGAAAAGAATGATAAAAATATGGCAGTGATCTTACTCTTCCTAGCTGGCTCACATATTCCAACTTTAAATTATACAGTGAATTCTAAAGCCAAGTCACACTGTCACATGCATGACAATTAAAAGCAGGGGGGTAAACAGCATTATGAAGACAGATGATTGAAAAATGTTTAGTATCTGCTGTGGAATATTGGTCAATATTAAACCAGTAACAACAAGCCGTCGATGAACACTCTTTGCGAAGCTCTGTGTTAGGTGTGTTAACACTTAAGGAATGTTTTCAAGACTACCTGAAGCAGCTCCAAAAGGATGTGTGGAAAATGTGAACTGCAAAAACATTATGTGTGGATTTTAAAATATTTTGCACCAAAAGGCCCTAATTTTTACTTGCTATTTCAAATTTTTTAAACATTTGCTTACTACTTCAAAATTTTACCCATTAATGATCAGGTAAAACTATTCTGCAGCATACTGTTTATATTATTTTAAATAATCATTTTATTTTCAATTTTAGATTTATAAAACCTGCAAAATTGTTACAGTTTACAAATATTTCTTACCCAGTTATCTCCATCACTTCTTATATATCCCGATGTTAAAGTTGGGAAATTAGCATTAGTAGGTTACGGTGAACTACACTAGAATCTATTCTCATTCCATCTTTTGTTCCCTTTATGCTCCAGAACAAATTAGCATATCTACCACACTACATTTATTTTTCATTTCTCCCCTGACTACTTTAGTAGGTATAGCTTTTATAAATTGTAGTTTTAAGAGTTACTGGATTGATAACCTATGGGATCCCCTAATCAGAGTTTGTCTGATGATTTTATCATGTTGGAACTGGGATTATGAATTCTTGGCTCACAACTACAGAAATGAAGGCCAATTTCATCACAAGTATCAGGGCTGTGTTATAGCAACACGACATCACTGCTGATGTTCACATTTATCCATTGCTCAAGTTAGCTTTGTCCATATAGTTCCCTTTAAAAGTTACTCATTTTGTACCTCCTTCTATTCTTTAGAACTGCACCAGCAAGTTTAGCCTACTTTCAAGATGGAATGGGAAGTGCTAAACTCTACCTCTTAGTGTGGGACCAATCTTTATAAATGAGGGGATCTTTACAACATTTGTGCAAAACATGTATTATTTTAAAAGTTATCAACAGATCATTTTATAACATATGGATTTTTAAATTTTATTTAAATAAAACTATCCTATGTTACATATACTTCTAAATAACTTTTTAAATGTTGTCAACTTTATTTTTATTTGAAAGGGGGAGAAAAAAAAAGGGAGGGTTATGAATACAGAAAGAGACCAGTTTTCCACTGACTGCTTCACTCTCAAATGCCTGCAGCAGCTGGAATGGGCCAGATCAGGGTGGGAATCCAGCACCCGATATGGTCTCCTACTTGGGGAGCAGGGACTTAACAACTTCAACTGTCAACTGCTGTCTCCCAGAGTGCACATGAATGGAAAATTGGAATTGGACACAGAACTGAGATTCAAACCCAAGTACTATGATATGGGTATGGACGTTCTAAGTGCATTCTTAACCACTGCACCAAATATCCATCCTCATCTCAGAGTGATACAATAAATATGAGTGACTAATATTTACATAAATAGTTGCTATTATTCCTACTGTTCTGCTTTTGTTGGTAAACAAAATATCAATTCAATGAAAACTGATCCGAATGTCATGCCAGAGAAGATCTTTGGGTGGATAAGTGGGTCTGATTCTTTAGAGAAGGATTAACTTCCTGCTCACAAAGATGATATTTTCTGTAGCTTTGATCAGCAGTTTCTATTTATATCAAATTAGTAGTCGTGGGACTTCAAAAAGGAGCAAATTACTGGGACAAAAAGAGCCTGTTGTTTTTGTTCTGAATCAATAATTTAACATTCTCTAATCTGAGCCAGAAGGTAGATTTGCCTTGTGCTAAATGGTTTAAATTCTTCCCTTTATCATGGGATGAATTTAGGGACCCCTGAATTCGGCTATGCATATCCAATAAATGGGTCCAGTAGGCTCTCTGATGTAAAATGATTACTAAGCTGTGGGAGCAGATCATAGGTAACAGCTGCAGACTAAAGCTCTGCAGTTAGTGGGTGCCATAAGGATAAAATCCCTCATCTCTTGCCTCCTAAACTATTACTTTCTTTACCATTCTAAAGATGAATTCTTTTTATCAAATGTGTTTTGTGCCTTGAAATATGGATTTAGCACCAGCGTACAGCAATTACACACACAGAAAAAGACAAGCAGAAGCTCACATGATTGATGACTTATGATTGGATCACTCTCCACAAAGGATAGGCAAAAGTGAGGCTAGAAAACACACTTTTTTGGAAACTGAGCCTTGATGAATTTGTGATTTATAGGAAGGAAAAAGGAATCTGATTGTGAAATTCTATGACAGTCAAATAATGATGACGTTGAGCTAAAACTACTAATTCATTGCTCTAAAACACTCATCTGGCATAAAATATTTATGCTTAGAGTGTGTAAAAGAACATCAGTGACTACGCAGAAGTCAGAGGCATGCGTTTGCACTACACCACCCAAAAACCCTTATCAGGGACAAGTCAAAGTTAGGGGCTTTTACATGTGTTGTCTTAGCTTGTCATAAGCAGTCCTAGCAAATCAATAATAATCATTGCCACCACCATCATCATCAACTTTTAGCAAAATACGTTTCCACTGAGTCCTCTCTTGTGTCTATCAACAATCTTTACTGTTCAGAGCACATATTCTAAAACTATATTGCTTAAATTTGAATGACATTTCTTAATTTGTGAGTACATTTATGTGATGTTAGAAGAGTTACACCACTTTCCTATGCTTTTATTTCAACCTATGTAAAACAGAATGGTGAGGATTAAATTTACTGAATATATGGAAGAGTTTAGTAAATATTGCTGGGACATATCAGTATGTAGTAAGATGCTAATTGTAATTAAAATATCAAGTATTAATTTAACACATTAAAATATTGAATTAACATAAAATATTTATGAAAGACACAGTACAGCAATATAATGAGACACACCAGGGCAGTACAGTTTATAAACATCCTAAACAAAATTGTAGCACATTTTACCTGCTTTATTACATTACCATTGAGATAAATTCTTATTACCACTTTACAAAATCAGAGACTGAGATCTACATTTACTGATTTCATGCATCTGGGCAGGGGAAATACTATAATTTAGACTATAACAACAGAAGAAAAATATGTGTATTTCATGATTATGTCATATCACCAAAACTGTTAACATAATCAGGAGCCAGTGTCATGGCATCATAGGTTAAAATTTCACCAGCAGTACCAGCACCCAAATGGGATTGGTTAGAGTCCAAGCTGCTTCAATTCTGATCCCCCTCCCTGTTAGTGTGCCTGGGAAAGCAGTGAAAGATGGCCTACGTTCTTTGGTCCTTACACACACGTGGGATATCAGGAAAAAGTTCTTGGTTCCTGGTTCCTGGCTTTGGACTTAGTTCCAACTGACCATTGTGGAAATCTGTGGAGTGAAGCAGAATCTCTCTCTCTCTCTCACTGACTCTCTTTTTCTCTATAGCTCATTTTTTTTTTCAAATTAATAAACTGGTAATAATCATAATCAAAGAAGAGAAATGGACTCCATTTATATAGTTTGTAATGCTATGTAGACATATGGGATGATGTCAATAAATATTTATCTTTAAAGAATTATTTATTTTATTGAAAAGATAAGTTTACAAAGCAGAAAAATGGAGGGGAAGATTTTCACTACCAAAGTAGTGAACCAGAGCTAAGCTGATCTGAAGTCAGAAACTGGGAGTTTCTTCCAGGTCTCCTGTGTGGGTCCAGGGTCCCAAGGGTTTGGGCCACCCTCTACTGTATTCTCTGGTCACAAGCAGGAAGTGGAATGGGAAGTGAAGCAGCTGGTTTGTGTCCTGGATGCTCCACTTCCCATCCAGTTCCCTGCTAGAGCCATAGGAAAGCAGTTGATGATGGTCCAAGGTCTTGGGACCCTGTACCCGCATGAGAAACCTGGAGGAAGCTCCTAGACATTGACTTTGGCTTGGTTTAATTCTGGTTGTTGCGGCCATTTGAACCAGCAGATGGAAGATATTTCTGTCTGTCCTGTCTGTAAATCTGCCTTGCCAATTAAAAAAGAAAATAAAGTGATGGAAAGAAAAGGGAACAAAAAAAAAAAAAAAAAAAAAAACATAAGATACATCGTTTCTAATTAGGAAAATGTTTACTCCATAAACGCTTAATGATCAGCATATCAGTATTTTTTTTTAAGATTTATTTTATTTTGGGCCCGGCGCGGTGGCGCAAGTGGTTAAAGGTCCTCGCCTTGCACGCCTGGGATCCCATATGGGCGCTGGTTCTAATCCCGGCAGCCCCGCTTCCCTTCCAGCTCCCTGCCTGTGGCCCGGGAAAGCAGTCAAGGACGGCCCAAAGCTTTGGGAACCTGCACCCGCGTGGGAGACCCGGAGGAGGCTCCTGGCTTTGGATCGGCATAGTATCGGCCCATTGCGCTCACTTGGGGAGTGAATCATCGGATGGAAGATCTTCCTCTCTGTCTCTCCTCTCTGTATATCCGCCTTTCCAATGAAAAAATAATAAAAATAAATCTTTAAAAAAAAAAAAAGATTTATTTTATTTTTATTGGAAACGCGGATATACAGAGAGGAGAGACAGAGAGGAAGATCTGCCGTCCAATGATTCACTCCACAAGTGAGCGCAATGGCTGGAGCTGAGCCAATCCGAAGCCAGGAGCCTCTTCCGGGTCTCCCACGCGGGTCAGGGTCCCAAGGCTTTGGGCTGTCCTCCACTGCTTTTCCAGGCCACAGGCAGGGAGCAGGATGGGAAGTGGGGCTGCTGGGATTAGAACCGGCGCCCATATGGGATCCTGGGCGTGCAAGGCAAGGACCTTAACCACTGAGACACTGCACCGGGCCCAGCATATCAGTATTAAAAAATATTTTGGCATGACACAAATCTCAAAATCCAATGAAAAGAGTGATACTTAAATTAGGAAGTTTTTTTTTTTTTTAAGATTTATTTATTTTTATTGGAAAGGCAGATATACAGAGAGGAGGAGAGACAGAGAGGAAGATCTTCCCTCCGATGGTTCACTCCCCAAATGGCCGCAATGGCTGGTGCTGAGCCAATCTGAACCCAGGAGCCAGAATCTCTTCTGGGTCTCCCACGTGGGTGCAGGATCCTGAGGCTTTGGGCCATCCTTGACTGCCTTCCCAGGCCACAACCAGGGAGCTGGATGGGAAGAGGGGCCTCTGGAATTAGAACCAGCACCCATATGGGATTCTAGTGTGTGCAAGGCAAGAACTTTAACCACTATGGTATTGCGCTGGGCGCCGGAAGTTTTTCTTCCTAAGATTTATTTATTTTTATTGGAAAGTCAGATACACAGATAGGAGAGACAGAGAGGAAGATCTTCTGTTCACTGCATTACTCCCCAAGTGGCCACAACAGCCGGAGCTGAACAGATCTGAAGCCAGAAGCCAAGAGCTTCCACATGGGTGCAGGGTCCCAAGGATTTGGGCTGCCCTTGGCTGCTTTTCTAGGCTGCAAGCAGGGAGCTAGATGGGAAGTGTGGCCATTAGGACATAAGCCAGCCTTCACTTGTGTTCACAGCACATGCAAGGGAATGACTTTAACCACTAGGCTACCACATTGGGCCTGATTAGTAAGTTCTATGCAGTCTCATAAAAATAGATTAAAGCAAAATTAGGCACACAGAATAACTGGGGAGATGTGTGGCCTTAATGATACAACTGTTCATTGGAACTCTTGCAACCCATTGTGGAGTATCCATGCTCTAGTCTCAGCTCTGCTTCAGATTTCAGCTTCCTGCTAATGCTCACCTGGGAAGGTAGCAGATGATGTTTCAAAGCTCTGTGTTTCACTCACTCACAGGGGAGATCTGGGCAGAAGTGCTGGCTCCTGACTTGCACTTGCCACACAAACATTTGGGGAATAAAGCAATAGTTTGGGAGCTCTGTTTTTCTCCATCTTCTGTTCTTTTTCTCACTCAGTCTCTCTCTCTGGATCTTTCTAAGTCTCTTATGCCATTCTGCTCTCAAATATATTTTAAAAATTAAAAATAATTTTAAGTGACACAGAAGAAAATTTGAAAAGGCTGCAATTTTGAAATATTAGGGTCTAATTTCATTAGTACCAAATTAACAGGAAACCAGATAAATAAAATGGATTAAAAAAGAAGCATATGTACATCGCAATGTAAAAATGTGCAAAAGCCATATAAAACATTCATTTAATTTTAGTCAAATAAATTAAAAAGAAATAAATTTTTTATCATTATGCTAATAAAAATTTAAGTATTTCTATTGGCAAAATCTGAGAGGAAACTAGATGTATATTGACTAGGGAATAGATTTCTAGATGATGACTATTCAATGTCAATAAAAAGCTACATTATGCTGGGCCCAGTGCGATGGCTCAGTGGCTAAATCCTCCCCTTGTGCATGCTGGGATCCCATATGGATGCCAGTTTGTATTCTGGCTGCTCCACCTCCCATCCTGCTGTCTGCTTGTGGCCTGGGAAAGCAGTAGAGAGGATGACCCAGAGCCTTGGGACCCTGCACCAGCATGGAAGACGCAGAAGAGACTCCGGCCTTCGGATTGGCTCAGCTCTGGCCATTGCAGCTACTTGGGAAGTGAACAAGCCTTTTTCTCTGTCTCTCCTCTCTGTAAACCTATTTCCTAATAAAATCTTTAATAAAACAAAGCTACATCATGCTTACATTGTAACCTGTCACTAAATCTTTTAAGAAAAGGTTTACACGTTATACCTTTGTATGTCAATCAATAATAAATAGGAGCGCCAGTCAGAGGTTAAGAATCAGGCAAGACGTGGTTTGGACTAAAATTTCCCTACCTAAAAGGAAATCTAAAATGCTTAAAAATGCGAAAACCCATGCTGCAGATGGTACTAACTTTTGAGATGAGCAGAATTACTTTTGTTCAATTTCTAGGGCTTCTGACGAGAAGAAATATATAAGATAGAATAAAAAGTGATGGGGTTTTAACTTTCAGCTTATCCTTTGGTTTGAAAATACATAATTGCTTTTTTTCCTGAAGCCAAGTGATCTGTTCTCTAAAATAATGTGTCTTTTTTTAGACTTCCCTGAGTTTCTGTTTCTCCGCCCAGGCCCTTTCTTCCCATAGTCAGTGGTCCATATCCATACCCAACCTCTCACAAATTCTCATAAAGTTACTTACTTCCTCCAGTCTCCACCGGTTAAAAAGTTTATTATATTTTCCTGGGTGGCCTACAAATCTGAGAAGAGACATTGTAGTTAATAGTTAAGTGGAGATGAATGAAGAGCATGTACTAGCACATCACAAAGAGTGCATGTGTGGGTAGACATAAATGTTCATTGGGGCAGTTTGTCCAGAGTTCACTTTTGCTATGCTTAGCCAACATCAAAGTATTTGACTTAAAAAGAAAAAAGAAAAGACATATCAACTCAATACCAGTGGGCTGAGAAAGTTCAAAACAACCAAATGACTTTTTTTTTTTCCATTTTCACATTTTACTGTCTTGCCAACCAAATTAATGAATATTACAGTAATTTGCTGAATAGTTTGGGTTCAAATGTTCCCAGCCCCTGTAACTTTCCATTACATTGTATGGAGTGTAAAGGAACAGAGCAATGGAAATTAGGATCTATTTTCCAGCAGAGGTCTCATGGTTGTGTATGCAACCCAGGCTACACGTCAAATACTTTCTTCATTAACAAAGTCCTTCAGGATTGCTGTATAGTTAAACTTAAATACAGTAAATGGGTTATCTTTGCCAGCAATAACTGATTTGCTGCCAGAATCCATGTGAAGACTGTCTTCCAAGGCAGAAGATAATAATGTCAGCTCTCTTAGTTAAAGGGCAATGAGACTGTTGACACTGTGTGCACAGAAATAATGCATATAAAGTTAACTTACCTCCCCAAAAAGAAAGCAATATAGAAGATAGAACTGTTTAAATTGACAAACTGGAAAAGGAACATCTTCAGAGCAAAGCTGTTTTCCCATTCAGATTCAGTTCGAGGATACTCTAAAAACAATATTAGTTATATTTACATAGATGACATGAGTGACCAAAGCTGGGCACAGAATCAGCCAGCAGCTTCATATGCAAGTTTTCATTTAAAAATTTCCTAGCTGTGTGACGCATTTAGGATTTCAGAGGTCTCGTGGTTGTGTATGCAAACTGTGAATGCCAATATCTGCTGGGAAGATCTGATGAAATGATCCAGTAAGACTATCTTTTTTGGACCCGGTGTGATAGCGTAGTGGTTAAAGTCCTCGCCTTGCATACATGGGGATCCCATGTGGTCGCCGGTTTTAATCCTGGGGGCCCTGCTTCCCATCCAGCACCCTGCTTTTGTCCTGGAAAAGCAGTTGAGGACGACCCAAGGCCTTGGGACCCAGCACATGTGTGGGAGACCTAGAAGAGCTCCTGGCTCCTGCCTTCAGATTGGATCAGCTCCAGCCATTGCAGCCGCTTGGGGAGTGAACCATTGGACAGAAGATCTTCCTCTCTTTCCTTCTCCTCTCTGTATATCTGCCTTTCCAATAAAAATAAATAAATCTTAAAAAAAAAGATGAACTTACTTGCATTTCTTGCAGATGAGATTACAAACCTTGTTATTAATATAGAGATTGTCCAGATTACATTACTATTGCCAATTGAGGTAGCTGAATATATAAATTATATCTTTCATTCACTCAAATAGGTTCATGCACAATTTGCAGAGGTTAATTTTCCAGAGTTCTTTGAAGAGTGAATACTTTGTGTGTAAAATGAAGTAAATAGTCAAAAGAAAAGCAGCATGTTTGCATGAGAAGAGCTGCACTGTCTCAGCCTTGCACCCGACTTGCAGGCAATCAGAGGAAGATCACTTCAGACTTGTTTAAGTTTTCTCGTTTGTGACATGAGGGATTTAAATAAGATAATGTGAAAGAATGCTGTAAACTCATGTCTCATCATTCCCCCATGCAAAGGAAAAAATACAGATAACGGGGAGACTGGTTGAATCCAGCAGCATTTACTGCAGTACACAAATAAACAATTATTTTACTATTTTAATTTTTTTTTTTTTTGGAAAAGCAGGTCCACAGAGAGGAGAGAGAGGGAAAGATCCTCTGTTGGCCCACTGCCCAAGCGGCCATAGTGACTGCAGCTGAACTGATATGAAGCCGTGAGCTTTTCCCAGGTCTCCCATGCGGATGAAGGGTCCCAAGGATTCAGGCCATCCTCCACTGCCCTGCCAGGCTGTCGGCAGGAAGCTGGATTGGAAGCAGAGCAGCAGGGACACAAACCGGTCCCTGCATGGTAGCTGGCACATGGAAGGTGATGATCCAGCCACTAGGCCATCCAGTCTGCTCCCAAAGCAGTTATTTTTAAGAAAAACTTCCTTTGACATAATTGAAGAATTCAAAAGCTATTTTTTTAAAATCTGATTTCAGTAAAATACAGGCCAATAGCGTCTGGGAACCCAGTCATTTGAAAGGAAGTGGGTATCAAAATGTATTAGATCCCAAAAGTGAGAAGGGTCTGCAGACCATCCAAAAGAGTGACTGTTGGTGTATCTTGGTAAAAGTTGATAACAACATAACCCCACATGTTTTGACACATGTATTCTCACTGTCATTTACCCCTTTTTAAAATTACAGCATCCTCTACATGGGGACTGAAGCAGTCCACTGAGTCTACTAGAACTCATAAGAGGATTGGCAAAGTCACAGGTTATAAAATGAACAAGCAAAAATGATTATCATTTGCATACATAAACAATGGCATGACTAAAAAAGAACTGGAAAGATCAGTTTCATTCACAATATTATAAAAGTTTAACTCCCTTAGAATAAATCTAAATAAGGAAGTAAAATATGTTTACCATAAAAAATTTCAAAGCATAGAACAAAACACACATGCAGAAGGAAAAACTTCTGTTAAAGAATTGGTAAAATTAATATTATCAAAACATTCATACTGCAAAAGCAATTTATGGATTTTACAATCCCAATCATAATACCATCTGAGATATAGGGAAAAATCTATTTTTAAATTATATGAAAACACAAGAGATCTGAATGGCTAAGGCAATCTTAAACAAAAAAATAAAGTTAGACTTATCACAATACCAAAATTTTAAAGAAATACTATAGGTCGTTATAATCGATATACAATTTTTGTCCCTGGTGATGGTACAAAAATAAACATGTAGACTAATGGAACAAAAGAGAAACCCCAGAAATTAATCCAAGCATCCATAACCAACTAATGCTTGACAAATTAAGTAAAATCATTCTCTGGAGAAAGGATAGTCTGTTCAACAAATGGTGTTAGCAAAATTGGATCTATATGTGCAGAATATGAAACAAGACATCTCCCAGATCAGTGATACAAAAACTAACTTACAATGAATCAAAGATATAAATCTACAGATCTACTAAAGAGAAACACTGAAGAATTTTGTCAGGTATTGGCACAGAGAAAGATTTCTTGAATAAGGCCAAGAAGCACAAACAATAAGAGTAAACATTTTAAAAAGGATTAAATAAGGAAGAAAATATCGCATAGCAAAGGAACCACTGCACAAAGTGAAGAGGAAACTGACAGAATGGGGAAATACTTGCAACTGCAAAGCTCATCCAAAGCTCAATAAGCTCAACAGCAACAGAAAAAATAATCCAGTTAAGAAACAAAAAGACTTGAATAGGCATTATTTCAGGATTGAAAGACAAATGTCCAACAGACATGAAGAATGTTTAGGATGGTTCCGGAGTGTGAGAGAGATCATGCCGAACCCAAGTGTAGAATGTTAGGGGTCTTTATCAGCCAATCTTGGCGACAGCCACTCCTGCTACACTCCAGACACCACTGCCCCACACTGGCAAAGTCAGGTTTTGTTTTTTCTTAAGATTTATTTATTTTTATTGGAAAGACGGATATACAGAGCAGAAGAGAGACAGGAAGATCTTCCGTCTGATGATTCACCCCTCAAGCAGCTGCAACAGCTGGAGCTGAGCCATCCGAAGGCAGGAGCCAGAAGCTCTTCTGGGTCTCCCACACAGGTACAGGGTTCAAAGACTTTGCGCCATCCTTGACTGCTTTCCCTGGCCACAAGCAGGGTGCTGGATGGGAAGCATGGATGCCGGAATTAGAACCGGCGCCCATATGGGATCCCGGGGTGTGCAAGGCGAGGACCTTAACCACTATGCTAATGCGCTGGGCCCTAAAGGTAGGGGTTTTTAAGCTCTCATCCCCAATCTGATTGAGTGCTATACTGTACAAAGTTCCCATGTGTTCAATCAGCGAAATACAAGAGGCAGGAAGGAAGCTGTCTAACTTAACACAATAGGAAGCAGGAGGAAACTGGCACAGAGCCTCCAGAGCCATTTTGTCAATTAACTTGAATGGTGCAACAGTTTCCATTCTGTCAATGAACCCAACAAGCAGGTGCTAATTATCACCCAGCTGCACCCAGTCACGGATCACTGACCGTCAGGGAAATACAACTAAAAATCAGTAAGGAGATTTCTCTGTCATCTGAAAATAGGTCTACAGAATTCATCCAATGGAAATAAAATCAGCATATAAAAGAGTTACTTGTATCTCATGTCTAAGTCATCCCCAACTCATGACAGATACGATATGAAATGAATCCACATATCCATTAGCCATCAACTAGATAAAAAAAATGTAGCATATATACACCAAGGAATATTAATACAAATAATTAATGAAATCTTGTCATTTAGGACAAAATGGATGCAAATGTAGACAATTATGGTTAATAAAACAAGCCAGTTTTCAAAAACAAACGTCCCCCAGCTACAGGCTACTACGTAGACTGCTTTCTTACTCGGCCAGTATTACATTGCAGAGGGAAAAGCAGCCAATAGCTTGCTGGCATTCTGGGCTTTGTTCCTGATCACGTTGTTTTAACTATCAGTGTGTCAGCATAGTTCCCTACTCTGTAACATTGCACCAACAAGGGTGTGGGGGTTGAAAGAACTGCTGCTATCCACTTGCCAGGTTCAATGGACTGAGGTGGAGACATTGAAAGCTTTTCATGTGGTTATAGCTGTAGCTTTGCACCTCCCCAAGCCAAACCACTGCACATGCCCAAGTGAACAAGAGCTGAGGATGGGCGTGGTCCAGGTATGGGAGAAAGTGCCATGGACCTCCTTAGTCCAGGTTGAAGACCCTTGCGCATGCGTGAGATCTGGGGCCAGAGGTTTAAAGGGCTAGTACACCAAGCTTTCTAGGCCAGGCCACAGCACTTGTTATTTGGAGAAACCCATTAGTAGTTTTTGGCAGTGGCAAACATCATGTCCTTTTACTTCCTGATGGCCTCAGAAGAGTCAGGTTCCCAAAGTTTAGGAATCAGAACATCTGAGATGTGTGTCTGGACTTGGTACACAGACTATATGATTATGCCACCTACATTGCTGGTTCCAGTGCAAAGAAATTAACAGCAGGTTGGTGGAACTCAGGCTGGTCTAGGCTGGAGACTTGGGATTTTAGCTCTTTTAGCATATGGCTACAGCTGGAGGAATTCTGGCTGTTCTGGGCTGGCGGTTTGGACAGAACTCACGCTAGTGTAGGCTGGAGGACTTGGGGTGTGGGGTTACAGAGGGTCTGGGTAATGACATAGGTAGGGGTGAGCAGCAACCTGAAGGTTCATGTCCAGGTGAGGAATGACTTTGAAGGACTATCTTGGACAAGGCAACTATACCTGCAGGGCTAGATCATGGAATCCACCAGTGAGAGTCAGAACAGGAATGGGTAATGTGAGGCTGAGCCACGACACTAACCAGCGTGCGAACGAACCAGGTCACAGAGTAGAATCTATGGTGAGTATGTGGGCTCACCCATGTGGAACAGCAATCTCTGTTGGCCCGAGCAAGATTTGTGGCTGGGAATAGGCCTGGTTAGGGAGCTAAGGGGTCACCCTAGCTGGGTTGGAATTCCCACTGGTGAGTGTGACAGATGGAATGGGGCAGCAGCCTGGGTTAAACATGGCCTACCTCATGGAGAAAAGTTTTCAACCCATGCATTCTCACTCCACATTCTACACTCTTAACAATTACTGGGCACTTCCTCCATAAAACATGACATTTTTGTAACAAGAACCAAATGACAAAGGAAATGGATACTAAGAATGAAAAGAATGTCATATATTCTATGAAGTATAAAATGTGATGAGATATAAAATATCCAGAAGAAGACAAGGGAGATAAAAATGACATTGTATTGCAAAAACCCTAAGGAAGTTCATAGTAAAGGAGAAAGTAAAGGAAATCATATTAAAGAATGTGGCAAGAAATAAGTAAATATAAAGAGCCTCAAAAAAGAAATAGGATGAGAGAAGGAAACTATCAAACAATTTATTAAAAAACAAAACAAACAAAACAAAAAACTTCTTGAAGGGAAGTTGCTGACTTTTCAGGAGGAAATTTGCCACTAGAGTTTTTCTTGTAGCAGAACTTGTTCAAAACCAGAACGCAGTTAGCTCACAACTACCAGCTGTTTTCATGCTTTTAACAGCACAGCCTTCAGACTAAGACCTCCTGCTTCTCAGGCCTCAAGGAACCAGTAGCTCAGCAACGATAGGGCTACTGAGACATGGCCAAGTATACTCAATGCTGGGTTCCTCTCAATCCTTGAGATGTTCTTTCTAGAGATCTCCACTGGTTTAGTGAAGACCACCAGCTCTGTGCTGTTATATGAAGCTCTCCCTGTCCCACCCTGCTCTTGCCTCATGCTTTTTTTTTTTTTCAAAAAAATATTTCCTAAGAAAACTCTCATTATCCCTGACTCCATTTCATGTCTATTTCCTGAAAGACACAACAGATACATAAACTGTGTTGCACTCAGAACCCAACATAATGAATTCTTAAATCTCTGCCCAAAGTCTATTATTTTGAAATCTCAACATGAGAAAAGCAATTTTTTCTAAAGATTGAAAACATCCAAGCAGGTCACAGCATGTGACCATGTGATTAGTTTTCCCTCCAAAAAATCCAAGTAAATTTGTTACTTCTTTGAAGTTATATTTCATGACACAATGGGGTGGCTTTAGTGACTGATACTAAATTATAACATATACAAAGAATTGTAAGGAAAGATATGATATGCTCTACATAGGTAAAATATATATATATATATATATAAAGCCAAAACATGATGACTGGTCTGCAGCGCCGGCATCCCATCTGGAATCCTGTGGAATCGTGGCTGCCCCACTTCCAATCTAGCTTCCTACCAATGTTCCTGGGAAAGCATCAGAAAACGGCACAAGTGTCACTACAACTATCTGAGAGATCCAGAAGAAGCTTCTGGCTCCTAATTTTGGCTGGCCTTCCTTAGCCTAGCCATCACAATTACCTGGGACGTGAATCAATGAATAGACTACAAATGGATAGATAGAATTTCTTTGTAACTCTGACTTTGATATAAATAAACATATAAACATGAATAAATAAATCCATACTCACAAAAAATTGAGTTGCTTTATTTGATCAGTTTTTGCTTTATGCATTTGTTGTAAAGCTATACTCAACCCCATAAAATGTATGCTATTTATGAACATTTTAAAATAATTAGACAATAAATTGCTTTTTAAATCAAAGAGAAAAGAAGTGTCAGCTTGGAATTCAGTTATGAAGGAAAACTAAAATAAAATTTGAGGTTAGAAAAAAGATGTTTTCAAAGATGCAAAATTCCAAGAAATTAATACGGGGGCAGCAAAATAAGAAATTAAGACAAAATAGAAGAAAGAGAACTAGGTAAATAGAATCCAACTGAGGGAAAAAGGTGAGAGGAATACAAGGTATTCCTAAAAGCAAGTGGAAATGCAGGTGGCCATCATACAGAAAACAACCCACACAGATTAGAATAGAGAGACAGCTCAGGAGGTTAACTTCAGGAAACCAATCACAGTCCAGAATATGTTATATGCTTAAGTGGACTTTTTTTAAAATCTTGAAAAAAGGTTTAGGACAAATAAGAAAAGTTTTAGAAACTCAGCATTAATGTCATTTAATCAACAGAGTGGTACTAAGCCATGATCAGGGTACATGACATAATTTAGATATCAAACTAGCTATATGGCCATAATTATGTGAATATAATTATTAATTTAGTTGTACTGCTGATACTTTGGAAAAAGAATATATGACAGCTGTGTATATAGTGAGGAATGAAGAAGCATGCACAACCAAGTACTTCAGGGAGTTTTAAGAGATACGTTCTCTAGCTGGTACTTTTAAAATGGAAAAGAAATAGTTTCTCAAAGATAAACTTCAGTGATGGAGGAAAACAACATTAGAAACAGACTGAAAAAGAGCATAAGACACTTACGAAATATTTTTAAAAAATTGCTGTTTCCAGTGTTTAGGAAACAGACCTGTCTGTGTAAAGTGGCAAAGGACTGATTTTCATCAGAAATCTCTCAATACACTTTTTTAAGTTATTTATACGTCTTATTATACTTTGATTAAAATAGCATAAGAAAAAACTAGAACCGAAAATTGGGGAAGTAATTGATTTCAACTATGGCATATTACATTTGCTAATTTCTACTAATTATGTTTTGAAACTGCATGAATTACAACTCTATTGTCCAATATAGGCTAACTTCTATATGATATTTCTCATTTTTATAGTATATATAATTAAATCACCAAAGATATTAGAATGTTAATATATGTCCAGGATTTCTAGGATGATATACTCATAGTTTTCTTACTAGATATAAAAAAGAAAAATACACTTACCTAAATTTGTCAGGAGGTAAGCAATTTTTTCATATGCCTATATTAAAAGAAAACACATAATAAATGCTATGTGCTGGTACTTACACATTCAAAGAAACAGCTAAGGTGTAACTTGTAAGATGGTCATACTTAGTATTATATAGACACATTCACTGAATGTCTGAATTTACATTACTGAATTTTCCAAATTATGAAGACAATGAACATAATTGCACTTTTAAAAGAAACAAAACAGTTTTTCTGATTAAGAGAATTGTAAGTCCAAACTGTTGACCTTGTAAATAACAATCACAAAATAATTTTCTTACAATATTTTCATTTTCATTTACCACATACTACTCTGAACACCACATATAAGATTCAATTAAAGGACACACATCTTACAATATTCCAAGTAAATATATGTTTTTCTACAGAAAGAAGAGTGGCATATTTCTAAATAAATGTATGTGCATGTAGATATATAATAGCAATATTCAAAAGCAAGTTTCAACAAATAATTTTAGCAATATGATCTCCTGGAACTCAAAATTCAAAGATGTGTATCCACACACTTTGAAGATTGTTCTCCTTCCCTGACAATTCTTTTCACAGAAGGTTGCTGAGAGTTTTCTCAGGGTTACTGAAAATCACATCATACAAGAGTCCAATAGTATAATCAGCTAATGTAACCATGACAGTGAATTACAAAATTAATTAACTTAAATTCAAAACTACAAAGTGCAGGAAGACTCTGTGCTTTAAATATAACAAAATACATGGTGTGTAAAAAGAATCACTTCGGCAAGATTTACATGTCTCTGTGAGGTGTGCCCTGGAAATGTATGTGGGGGAGGGAAGGTGCTAGGGCTTCAGAGACAACTGAGTCTTATGGTCTTTACCAATAACATACACATACAACCCACACATAGGATACCATGCTGAAAAACTTAAACTCTTAAAAACATCACATTAACATTTAAATAGGCTCAGACTCCTTGATTTGTACACATAAATGAGATTAAAACTTTTTTTTACTATATATGGTAGCATTTGAGGAACTAGATGACATTCACCAAATAAGCATGTCTCTGTTTTTGTAATTTAATGACTCTTAAATCTTAATGTGTGGAAATAAATACAAAACAAAAATGTGTTGGTCTCAAAGTTATAAATTCTATCAGTGGCACAAAAAGGCTGATTTGAAGAGAGCAGTAGTTGTTAGCACCCTGTTCTATACAACGTTGAAGCAAGCCTTTCTGGGAGGTCCACCTTGTAGCATGAAGTAAGGAATGGGGTCCTACAGAAAACTGGGCTAAATAAGCTCTCTCCGAATAAAGACACAGTGATGTAGATGCCCTGAGACTGACATGGATTTAATGAATTTCACCAAGGGGATGGAGGAGAAAGGGTAGGGGTGGCAACAAAGCAGTAGCAAAGTAGCAAAATAAGGCAGAAGATTAGTAGGAGGCGGGTCACAGACATCTCAAAAATAAATACTTGGGTGTGTGTGTGGGTGGGTGCAGGAGGGGCAGCACGTGAAGTCAAAATAAAGATTTTAGAAAGTACTGTGGACTAAGAAATCATCTTCTCTCCAATGCATTTATTGGGCGTTACGTAAAAATCAATTTGTGGGAGAAGGAACAGCAAGACAGGAAAAGGCATGGGTGTGTGACAGTTGTTTAGTAGTCTTCTGAGCCAGAGTTCCACAGGCTAAACTTGATCACAAAAACAAATTCAAAACAGGCTTCTGCAAAGTCAAGAGGAGACTGCTCTTTCCCAGTAATTTACTGTTCTGAATTGCTAGAAGCCATGGACATGAATGAACTAAACAAATAAATATATATTTTTTTAACGTAAGCCCTCTTATTAAATGAGTCACTTGGCATTACCATCTTTCCTTTTTAAGATCTGCGGCCCAACTATTTGATCTGCCCTATTGCATAACAACAGATTTGCATTATAATTGTTATCCAGTGGTAACCTGGTATTAAGGAAAGTAATCGGGTCCATGAAAAAGAGCATAGGTGTGTATGTTCTGGACTGTACAAGTTAAATGGTTGAAAAATGGGAAAGAATCCAGAATCAGCAGAGAACTTACATTAGTCACATTAGGGATTTAGTGTAGATAGATTATGTATGTGTGTGTGAGAGAGAAAGTGCATGTATGTTTTTTCCTTCTTATACATTCCCTGCACAACACATGACATTTTAGATAACAGAAGGAAATTTAATGGAGTTCATTCATCCACTAAATGGTTCAATTGACCTAATCTTACACATTTGAATAATAAATGACAATTCTAGTTTTCTGAATGACAATTCAGAAAATTTATAAAAGCCATGTGAGGTTAGGCAGTTGTGATATGACAAAGTCTAAGTATGACTGAAAACAACATTTTTCAAAGAATTTCATATTTCTGCTTTATTGTTTATTTTATTTATTATTCATCAATTTTATTTATGTAGCTTATTTGTTATTTTATTTATTATTTGTTGTATTATATTTTTGGTAATATTTCCTGATGTGATAGTAACTATGCTACACAAGGCATCCTTAACAGCATGTATGCTAAGGTGGCCACAAAATTCTTAAAAAGGCCAAATTCAGAAAAAGTAATTTCCAATTTCAAATTCCATCCTTCCTTATTCTTAGTCACACCTAGGGATGGAATTTTAAAAATAATGAATTGATGTTTTAATTACTATTATGGGATTTAGAAGATTTATTTTTATTTCAGTTGTGCATAAATGATAATTTATATTGAGAGCAAATTGCACATCATAATACAGATTTATTTTTAAATATTTTGATTTAAATTTAGCTTGGTTAACTTCACAAGGAAGATTCTGAGTGGCAGTCCAATCTGTCAGTTTTCCAGTTGATTTAATTCAAAATCATGATAAAAGACTTTTAAAATTGCTTTCATGTTCTGTAACATGGTCTTGTCATCAGATTTTTAATATATATTTGCCCACAATTTTCTTCCAGTTGACTATTTACTTGGAATGCCAAGATTTGCCAATTTAGACATCTTGAAAGAGTATGTAACTTTGGTTAAAGTAATACTGCAAATCTAAAAGACATAATTGGGATAAATAAAAAATATTACAAGCACATGTAGTATGAAAGATGCTAGCTGGGATATTTGGATTATAATACATATTTCAGATATATGAAAAGGATATATTGTAGAATACTTTGAAGGACTAAGCAGAAACTTGTAGATAGAAAATTGAGAAATGACAGCTCTGCTTGGAAGGAACATGCACTCACATAGCCTGGGAAAAGGCAGGCATTGTAAGCACTACAAGATTTCAGAAAAGAGATTGCTTTGTTCTACTAGTAGAAACTGACGGAGAACAAAGAAATGTCCAATCAGCTTATAAGCAAGACAAAAAAAAAAAAAAGAAGATATTATGCAAGTCAACATAAGAGACTGAGAATTTTCAAGATGAAGAGATAGTCTCCTGGTGTGACAAGGGAAAAGGGGCATTGCAGACTGAGGGAAGCCTGTGAACTAAGGCCAGAGTGTGAAAGTCAAGTGTCAGAGGGCCAAGTGAAAGTGGCTCTGTGGGTTGGTATGCAGGGTGGGGAAAGGGGTGAGCTAGAGTCAACTTTACACAGCAAGAGCAAAGAAAGCCAGGTTTACATTACCAGAAGGATCCTTGGGCCAGGTTAATGGATTTAGAATTTTGTTCGAGGCAATGCAAACTAAGAAATAGTCTCATACAGAAAGTAAAGTGATTAAACTTGCAATTTAGAAATATCCTTTCAGCAATTGTATGTAAGGGAGAGAGGAAAATGTTAGAATAGGGACAGGGAGATAATCAGTTCACAGTTTTTAATGGTCAAAGCTTAAAATGATCAGAAGCTGAACTCTAAGTGAGGATGATAACCAGGAAATGTTTCAGAGAGATCATAGGAGCAAATTCATAACAGTAAATAGATAATAAAATAAAGGAGATAGGGAATCAAGATGGCAGAATAGAATAAGGACACATTTAAACAGACAGAGAAATATTAGACAGTGTGAAGCAAAGGGGGCGCATTCCAGGAAATAGCAGAGGAATAACAACAGCAGAGGGGTATCTGGAGACTGACAGACGCAGGAAAGCAGCAGAAACAATGCTGTGCTATTGCAGTGACTGATAGTCAAGCGGAATTCAGCAAATGGCGATCTGAACTCCACTGGCAGCCAGAACTCCACCAGCAACAAGGTGGGAAGGGATGTTTACCTGGAGCTGCAGAGGTGAAACCAGACAAAGAACTGCCTGCCCTGCTGGTCTGTTTCATTTGACCAGGAGCAGAGACAAAGCAGCAGGTGCCAAACGGGCTGTACAGGAACAGGGTAGATTTCATAGTTGAGTCTGCCTCCCTAGAGCCAAATTAGGTGCCATTTTGTTTAAGGAAGCAAGGTTATGAGGCAGGACTATGCATCCATGGAGCTGGGAGTGAACTCATTTCTGACTCAGTGAACTGCAACGACAGGTTCCACCCACGACAGGTCCAGGTAGCCCTCAGACCTGAAGGCCAACAGATAAAGAACTCAAGTAGTGACACATCAGGCACTCGGCGAGCACTCACTGAGCTCAATGCATTCCACTGGTCCACATAATACCAATTATGGCATTGTACAAGTCAAAATAGGTCTGTGTGGCCCTCAGACCTAAAGGTCAACAGGTTCCTGCAAGATCAGTACCACCAACAACCTAGCTGTATAGGACACATGATGTCTCTTTAACCCCGGACCTTCTCCAACCAGAAGTGGGAGAAAGGTTGTACACACAATGGTGCAGCCAGGACCTGGGGCTACAGAGACCATGATGGAAATCTAACATAAGAACCCAGACCTGGGGCCCGGCGCGGTGGCGCAAGTGGTTAAAGGTCCTCGCCTTGCACGCCCGGGATCCCATATGGGCGCCGGTTCTAATCCCGGCAGCCCCGCTTCCCTTCCAGCTCCCTGCCTGTGGCCTGGGAAAGCAGTCGAGGACAGCCCAAGGCTTTGGGAACCTGCACCCACGTGGGAGACCCAGAAGAGGCTCCTGGCTTCGGATCGGCATGGTATCGGCCCGTTGCGCTCACTTGGGGAGTGAATCATCGGATGGAAGATCTTCCTCTCTGTCTCTCCTCTCTGTATATCCGCCTTTCCAATGAAAAAATAATAAAAATAAATCTTAAAAAAAAAAAAAAAAAAAAAAAAAAGAACCCAGACCTGAAACAAGCTAGAGGGAGTGGTACAACTGACTTCAAACAAAGAACGGTGTGCCAATTGCAATAAGTAAAATAGCATTGTAGACCTATGGGTAACATAGCTTAGAAACCTGCCCCAAGGAGAATACTCTGATAATGAGAAGTACAATGGACAAGGGCAAAAGAAGAAACAAATGCACAATGAATATTACTGAAGACTCTCCTGTAAAGGGGCAAAACCCTTTAACAACCTCAGAGTTAACTGAGGAAGACATCCAAAAATGGGGGATACAGAATTCAAAACACTTGTTAAAAAGCTTCTTATAAACAACGAAAAGCATGTAAAGCAGGCATTCAAGAAATTCAAGAAATATGTCACAAGGAAAATTAATCAAATGAAAGTTGCTCTATCAGAAATGAAGAATACAGTGGAGCAAATTAAAAATATAGTGGAGAGTCTCCAAAATACACTGAAGGAAGCAGAAGAAATAATCTCAGAAGATATTTCCTGTCACCAGGAGGAAGCAAACAAAATTCTGGAAGCAGAGCTGGAAGCAGGCCAAAAAAAGTATTCAAGAATTGAAAGACTATTAAGAGGCCTAACATAAGAGTTATGGGAGTCCCGGAAGATGCAGAAAGAGAAGTTGAGATTAAAGGAGTATTCAATGAAATAAGGGAAAATTTCCCTAATCTAGAGAAAGAATTGGGAAACAACATCCAGGAGGGGCACAGAACTCCCAACAGGGTTTACCAAAAGCGATCTTCACCACAACAAATGATAATTAAGTCCTTTTCAATCAAACATAAGGAAAAGATCCTTAAGTGTGCACATGAAAAAAATCAACTGACATATAAAGGAACACCAATTAAACTCACAGGGGATCTCTCACAGGAAACTCTACAGGCCAGAACAGAATGGAGTGACATATTCCAGATTCTAAATGCAAAAGATTGTCGACCCAGGGTAACATACCCAACAGAACTTTCCTTTGTCTTTGAAAATGAAATAAAATTCTTCCACAGTCAAGAAAATTTAAAAGAGTATGCCTCTTCTAAACCTGCCTTACAAATGATACTTCAAGATATTCTCTTGACAGAGAAAATAGGTCCCACGAAAACCAAAGGCAAATGCAAACAACATCCCATAAAATAACAGCAGTAGACTAAATGAATGAATGACTCATTGTTAAAATGACAGAACCAAATTACCACCTATGTTGTATTAACTCTGAATTTAAATGGCTTAAACTCATCAATCAAATATCATATTAGTATACTGGATTAGAAAGCAAATCTCATCTAGTTATTGCTTACAGGAGACATATCTCACCAACAAAGATCAGCAGAAACTCTCTCATGGATTTTGATTTTTTTTTTTAGCTTCATCTCTTCAAAACCCTTCTCATTAAATTCTTCACTGACTCATAGATCATACAGTAGCATCATTTTCTTCAAGAAGGTTCTTGATTTTCTTTTTCATTTCTTCAGCGACACATTAGTCATTCAGTAGTATGTTATTTTACTTTATGCCATTGTAAATTTGTATTTTTCTTTCTGTTGTTGATTTTATTTTGTGGCTTTTCATTTAAGGGGATGTATAGTAACTGTGAAATGGAGACTATCATATCCAGATGTGAAGATACAATGCAGTATGCATCTCTATTTCCAGACAAAAGATGGACTCCCAGTGAAACTATTTACTATATTTTGATAATAGGATGCTAGGGTCTCTGCCATTGTGCATGCCCAAAATGATGGACATATGATTGTGTATGAAGAACTACACTATAGTAATGGTATAGGGAAACTCAGTGAGGAGGGAGGGAATTGGGGAGGAGAGAGGAGAAAGCCCACGATCTATGGAACTGTATCATAAAATGATAACATTAAAAAGAAGTAAAAAAAAAAAATAAAGGAGATAAAAGAAATGCATAAACAGCAGCTTAAATTTTCGGCTGTACACACTATCCATTACATTTAAAAAAATTTAAAGCCTCATTGTTTCAAAACATTCGTAGTCTTCATTTAATTATTTTTTGTATATGTATTAAAGCTGGAAAGCACATTATTAGAATACAATAATTTTCAATGGAGCTATGTCTTTCTTTCACAGGAAATGATGACATAGTAATTTAAAAATCAAATAATTTGTTATCAAAATGTTGTATATGTAGCTTTTATTTCAAAATACCACAACAAGACGTTGAAGGAAGCTCAAATTGCAAGCATATTGCTAAAGGAAAACATTAACAAAGTAGACTGAAGCTGCTACCTTCTATTTCCCATTTGTTCCATATTTTATGGTATGTTTGGTATAAGTTTTAAAAGATTATGTATATTTACATACTTTTTCCTGACTCTGAATCAATGTCTATGTATAGAAATTACTATTTGAAGGTCCACAAAAATATTATATTACATGAAAAGTATATGCCATATATTATTCCGCTGATGGTAGATGAACACTGTAACATTTGATTGTTGTGTCCTGCTGTTTCAAAATTCTGGTTTGTGGCTCCATTTGTATATGCTATAGAAAACAGAATCAGGTAAAAGTCCACAGCCTTTCTCTGTAGCTGTATTTTAACTCCTCAAATAATGTTAAAATTTAATAGTGCTTAATAAAATTTGAATTTTTGTTCTCTTACTTTTGGAATACGTAGGGAAATCTCTTTTCTAGTTTTTGCAAGTTTAAATAATAATGTACATATAATCATGCTTCATAAAGTTAAGACAATAGATTCGATGAATTTTTAGTGTGAAATGCCAGGAACTAAAATCAAAATGTTTTCTTTGCTAATTTAAACAGAAATGTATTGTAGAGAATCTACAAAATTATGTGCATCTGCCAAAAATTAGATAATATTTGAAGAAAACAAAACTATTATCCTATTTTTCAGACATAACTACTGCTACTACATTAGTATGCAGTTAGAATTACTTATGTGGCGATAAATGCTAAGTAGCATGAGTTTTGGCAGTAATTTTTTCAAGCATATTTTGAAAAACCGCCTTTTGATTTGCTCAGGAAATGTTATAAGTTTGTCCAAATATTGCGTTATTTTGTATGACAAAAGTTTTTTATTTTATACACAAAAATTTTAATATAGTGCCTATTGAAATGTAATATTATAAAGACTTACAAGATTAAGCAGCATAATGATTATAAAGTTGATACAGACAGCAGCAGCAGATGTTGCAAACTGCCAGTGTTGCTTGATAAAATTCCACTTGAATGATGCAAACTGCTCCATGACAACAAGGCGATACACTACTACTGCAAACACCGCAGTGATCACCAAGGAAATCTGCAGTATGGGAGAGCAGAAAAGATGCGAAACACAAATCACATACACTGCATTAAGTGTTAGTAAAGAAATTTACCTTTTTTAGTAGATTAACACATTTAATTTTCTGCCTTAAGAAAATGGTAGTATAGGCAGAACATGACGGCCTAGTGGCTAATCCTTGCCTTGCAAGGATCCCATATGAGCACTGGTTCATGTCAAAGTTGCTGAACTTACCATGCAGCTCCCTGCTTGCAGCCTAGGAAATCAGTCAAGGATGGCTTAAGGCCTTGGGATCTGCACCTATGTGAGAGACCCAGAAGAGGCTCCTCGGTTCTGCCTTCGGATCACTTCAGCTCTGGCAGTTGGGGCCACTTGGACAGTGAACCAGTGAATGGAAGATCTTTCCCTGTGTCTATACTCATCTCTATATATCTGTATTTCCAATATAAATAAATAACAAGTTTTAAAAGTAATATTAAAGTAAAAAATTTGAGATTTAAATTGTAACAGTAACTATTAGTATATATTTTAATTACCTAGATCTATTCATACACATGTATGCATATGTTAAAGACTTCACATGGCTCACTATACATACACAGAATTTTATTCGTAATTTAATATAAATAACCACAAATAGAAACCCATAAATATTTGAGTTGTTTTAGCATTATAAAATTATCACACTGAAATAAAAACTCTGTTCAAATTTCAATTTCCAGATGGAAATCGGTTTTATTCCCACTAGACTCATTTTTTTTATCCATTGCTGAAAATCCCCAACTAGCTTGGCTCAGCTGATTTCTGTACCACTAAGTCCTTGAATCACTGATAAATCATTTGGTGATACACTTGGTGTTAACGTAGAAAATCTAATTTGTCAGGGAAATTTTCAATTTTATATTGGGTGATCACTGTTTCTCCCAATGACTGATTATCTAAATAGGAGCACAACTTTGCTTTATGAGATCTTAACATTTCTCTAATTTGTTTAACTGTATGTATTTCCATGTATTGTAATGGGTTTTTTATATTCTCAGGGTCACATTATCTATGAGTTGGAAATCCTTCCAAACGTGAATTCCCACAGCTCTCTGAGACTGATGAGATACATTACCATGAAGAATATTCCTGAAACGGAAACAAGAAGACGAGTGATTTTATCTGAGGAGGGCTGATGTGGCTCGGGTTTTCCTGTGATGGGATTAATGACCTCCATTTTGTAATACTTGGCTTCAAACTGGGGACGGAGTGTTTCCTATGAGAGAAATGGAAGTTGTCTAGATATCAAAGTGCAAAGTTAGAAGATATCTTAAAGAGCAGATATGAAACTCTTACATTTGACCTACATTTACATTGTCTCATGAAGAAGCAACTTTTAAAACATAAGGTGAAATTATTTTCCCAATAAATACTACAGTATGTTGTATACAGTATACCTGAATGCTAATGTAGTCAAAACACAAGATAGCAGGGGTTTGAAAACTACACGCTCATTAATCTCTATTATCCTTGTTAAATGGGGGGGGCATAATTACAAAAAAAATGATCAAAGGAAAGGGCAAGGTGGTATCTCAGCTCTCTAACTCTCTAACTTGCCTCCCATGTGGTTGTCAATTCTAGTACTGGCTGCTCCGCTTCTGATGCAGCTCCCTGTGGCCTGGGAGAGCAATGAGGATGGTACTAACGCTTTTGACTCCACATTCACTTGGGAGATCTAAATGAAGCTCCTGGCTTTGGAATACAGCAGATTCAAGATCTTTTTCTCAGTAATCCCTGACTGTATATATACCTTTCAAATAAAAATTTTAAAAATAATCTAAAATTTTAAAAAATCCATTGATATATAACTGTTTCTAAGCCTGGGTGTTAAAAGTTAATTATTTTCTGCTTGTCCGATATCCAGTTTTTCTTATTTCCATGTTTTATAACTTCTTACCTCTTCTTCTTCCCATTCCATGAGATCCCAAGTATATGTAAGTATACTTCTTCTCCTTTTCCAAAATTCCAGGAAGACTGTGGCTGGAAGACACAGTAATAATAGTTCTTTATTCAAATCACTTCATAGTGTATTTCTTCTTCTTCTGACTGATGCAATTTTGCCATGTTTTGAAACAAAGTTAAATTATCACTAAAATAATCATAGTGGAATTTTCTGTTTTTCTCTTCTCCATATCTCTATGCACTGCTGTGAGCATGTACTCCTAGAGAATAATGATTTGTTCATTAAAATTAACAGTGATATATAGGCATACTCAATAAACCATGTCATGAGAAAAAAGCAGGATTAATAATCTAGGCAGCATTGTCCCTTTTTACCTATACATGACTATTTGAAGTTATATAAAAGGATCACATTAAACATTCTCCAGGAATAACAGCTAAGATCAGAGCTACTGGTTCAAATGCTACTGAGAGATATGGATCAGAAGAGAGAGGGGGGAAAAGCAAGTCCATCACAAGGAAAGGAAGACACGGGAGACTGAGCGCACTGAAGGTGGACAAAACCTATACTGAAAGGGAGTCAGTGAAGAAAAGTAATGCCTAGACCATCTACTTAATTTTCTGCATAAATGACAAAGCTCAAAGGAAAATGGACCACAGGGTTTGTTTTCTGATTTCTTTGTACCTGAAAATCAGCATAAGTATTGCTAGGAAAGAGCTTTTTGTTTGTTGTTATATTATCTGAATTTTTTTCACATATAAAAATTTATAAAACTTTCACTTATTTTAATTGTCACTCATCACATTGACAAAGATGTAAGTCAGGTATTATTATCACTTAGATATTGAAGACACAGGTGATATCCAAGATTAAATGATCAACAAATAATACTGAGGATAGAAATTCTTAAAAGTAGTTCTCCATCCATAAGGTATAATCCATCAAGTTCTCAGGAAGTAAGTTTCTTTCTTATTCTCTCTCTTTCTATCTTTCATTCTTCTCCCTCCCTTCCTCCCTTTCTCTTCCCTCCTTTCCTTCTTTTCTTTGAAAGAATGTTCTTCAAAATTATAAAGACTATACATGACAAACCAATAGCCAATATCACTAAATTATGGAAAATTTGCAAGCATTTCCTAGGTTACTGAGCGGGGTGCTCCCATTATCTCCAAATGAAACTGCTAAATATATCTTGACAAGCAAATGCTAGACTCATTATCTGTGTCTTTAATGCCAGGATGCACTTAAATAGCAGAATGGTGGACTTGCAACTATTTTTGAAGTATTATACTGTTGTTATGATATGGGGAAAATATTGGATGGGAGGTGGAAGGGGTGGAATAGGGTGGAAGGAGAAAACCCCTGAGCAAAAAGAGCTGTATCAAAAAAAACTTTTTTTTTTAAATCACATTTTTAAAAGCACAAATACCTGCTATTATCCTCCTAACTCAATCTACTGTGGAAGTATCAGCAAGAACAATTACGGAGAAGAAAGAAATATAGGATATCAAAACTGGAAAGGAATGTTTACTTTAAACTTCACTACTGAGCTAAGATTTTTATTTAAATCTCAATCTGAACTTGACATGTATCCATACATTCATCTTTTTCAAAGCTTAATTAGCATAAACTCTTAAGTGAAATCATTGTTTCTAATTTTACTTTCTTTTATTCATTAGAAAGAAGGCACATAGATTAGTTTATCAAAAATAAACCTGAAGGAAATAATTGATCATTTGTTCCTTTCTACTAAATTTGCAAGTAAAAATCAAGTTAGTATCAAAATAGTTAATCAAAAATTAAAACAACAGCTGCTTCTTGGGGTTGGGATGACTAGAAATCAATGAAAATATTCTCCATTTCAATTTGTAGAATGTTTATATACAATTAAGTATAATTTTCATAAGTATACACAATGCATTGAAGATCTGTGGATGTCTCTGTATATCAATTATAACTGAAAATAAATTTACAGATGAATACTTTTTAAAATGCCAGATTATTACTGATATTACTTGATTTGATCCTTATGACTACACAGTAGGGTTTTCTTAAGATTTATTTTATTAAAAGTCAGAGTTACAGAGGCATAAAAAGAGATAGAGATATCTTTCACCCACAGGTTCAATCCCCAAGTAGCTGAAGTAGCATGAGCTGGGCTGGTACAAAGCTGAGAGCCAGGAGTGTCTTTGAGGTTTCCTATGTTGGATCAGGACCCAAATGTTGGACCTTGGTCCATCCTTTGCTGCTTTTCCAAGCCATTTGCAAGAGGCTGGATTAGAAATGGTGCAGTTGAGCTCAAACTGGTGCCCACATGGGATGCCATCACCATTGGCAAAATATTAAAGTGAGTTCCACTGCTTCAGCTCAACTACACAGTAGTTTTATACAGCAAAGGAAGACTCTAAGCTTCTATTGAAGCACTGAAAAAGAAGTGATAAGGTGAGAAGAAAGTATTACCAACACTGTTGGACTGGAGCTAAGGCGTTGTCAGTGCAATGAAAAAGCCTGCATCCACTCTCTGGAGAAGCTATGTTAACCAGCCTTGGGAAAGGAATGGATGTAAGACCTAGGTAAAATCATGAATCACAAATACCCAACTTACATGACTCGAAGGTCCTCCCAGATAAATTTGCATGACCAAGTATAAATGTAGGGGGGAAATATGGTATCTAAATATAACCAAATGTCAGTAACACATAATGACACCAAGTTCGCTGCTTTAGGTCATCAGCAAGATTTGACCCATTGGAAAACATGATGCCATCACTATTTTTTTTTTCCTTCTAGGAGAGTCAAAGTAATTTAACCTCTTCTGCAAGAGAAAAAAGCTGAGCTAGCATCAACTTTAGGATTAAGCATGAGGTGTGTGTATTTCAAAATGATACAAGGATCTGTAAAAAGCTCCATGATCAGTGACTGAGAAACATACCTTGTAAATCATAATTGGGGCAAACAAATTAGTCATTATTTCATACTTAGTAGTGGACACTATGCACATATCATGTATAGCTCAGGCAAACTAAAAAAAAAAGCAACAGAAGGTGAGGTGAGTGCAGGAACATTAATCACAGAGGTCAAACTTGTTTTTGCAGTGCATGAAGTTTTAGGGAGTGTGGAAGAACTGGATAATTAGATTGGGGAGACTGAAATAGTTAAGCATTTCAGAGTTTTATTCTAAAAACTCCCAATGACTAGGTTACATTGAAAACTGACTAAATCGAGATTTCTGGGGACAACATTTCAGATTAGTACTTTTTACAGCTGCAACAGACTTCCGATGTGCACCAAATGTTGCATACAATCATCTACAAGAGAAGCAGTGCGTTGATGAAGGAGGTGGCATGGAAACCAAAGCTTTGCTTAATGTTAGAGAAAAGGTCAACAATAAAAGTATAATAGAAAGCTGTCAGAAATGAGCTATAATTTTGTTTTGCTTTCAACTATTTCTGAAACATTCTAACGATCACTTTTGATACACTACTTGTAATATCCATAACATTCATTCAACTGTTGACAAAAAAATTGAATGGCAACTATTGCATCAGGTATACAAAAAAATGTACCATAAGTGATCCAAAGTACACATTAGGAATTTGGAATTTTGATGGGATTATTAAGCCATTGAGTCAGCATGCATGGTGGAAGAATGGAACAACCTAGTTTTGAAATAGTTCATTGTTTACCATACATTTTGTCCCTGTTTGTAATGAGAAGACATGGAGATGGAGAAGCCAGTAGGTAGGTTCAAAAATCTGGGCAAAGCTGTGACCTTTGTGAAGAATGAAATGTACTGGAGATAAGTGGATATGGAAGTTAGATAATAATAGAAATCAAACAGAATGAGGATTCAAAGAGACACATTTGAAGATAAGTGGCAAAAGGACAATGACAAGAATGAATATGGCAGCAGAGACAATGAGAGGGTAGGATTTATAAGGAATGCATTAAACTTGAGGCCTGGCTTGGTGGCATTTCATGGTAATCATTTGCCTGTGATGTTGGCATCCCAATGGGCACTGTTTCTTGTTCCAGATGCTCCGTTTTAAATAATGCGCCTTGCTAATGTACTTTATAAGGTAGCGGAGGCTGTCTCAGCTCCCTGGGCCCCTGCCTCCACATGGGAGATGTACTGGAAGCACCTAACTTTGGTTAAGCTCAGCTACAGTCGTTGTGGCCATGTGGAGAGTGAACCAGAGTGTGGAAAATCTGTTCCTCCTACTCTCTCTGTACCTCTGCATTCCAATAAAAATAGGAAAGTCTTTAAAAATGGTAATAATGGTGTGGCATGCTTCTTGGTAATGTCAGTTAAAACACTAACATACATCAGGCTCCTTTGTTAAAGCCAGGTTTTGACTTGGTTCCTAAATCTACCTTTCTGATAATGTACACCTTGGGAGTCATCAGGTAATGGCTTCATTAGTTCGGTGTTCATTTCTTGCCATTGACATGGAAGATTTGAAATGAATTTCTAGTTCCTGGCTTCTGATTCACACAGGCTCTACCACTGCAGGTAAATAGGCAGTGAAAGAACAAATGAGATTTTGTGTCTTTTTTGTCTCTCTGCATCTCAAATAATTACCCTTTCATAAACAAAATAGAAAGCTTGAAAAGTGCTTTAAAAGTGAAAGTGTATGCAGTAAATGACAATGTATTTATAAAGAATGAGATACCAATGCAGACAGATCCATCCATGTAGGGAAAGTTTAAAAATAAAGATATAGATACAGATTGGCATTGTATATTCTTTTGATTTTTTAGATTTAATTTGATTTTTATTTTTTATTGGAAAGCCAGGTAAACAGAGAGGAGAGACAGAGATAAGATCTCCCATTTATTGATTCACTCCCCAAGTGGCCACAATGGCCAGAGCTGAGCCAACCTGAAGCACCAGGGTCCGGAACCTCTTCCGGGTCTCCTACGCAGGTGCAGGGTTCCCAGGCTTTGGGAAGTCCTCCACCACTTTCACAGGCCACAAGCAGGGAGCTGGAAGTGAAGCAGGGCAGTTGGGATTAGAACCAGTACCCATGTGGGATCCTGGCATGTGCAAGGGGAGGACTTTAGCGAATAGGCTATCATG